ACCCATCGTTCCAGTCCTCCTACGACTCCACCCCCTTGTTCTTCCTCTCTCCTTCCATCACATTCACCCTCCGCACCTCCCGCTTTTTCTCCTCCTCTACAGCCAACGTATCATCCACCCCAACACCCCTCTCTCCTCTTCAAACACCACATTATCAAGATTTGGCGCCCCACCATACAGCCTTGCAAGATTATCCGCTATTAATTCTAGTCCGACGATAGAGTAAGCCACTGCTAGACGAGATTTCTTGCGAAGAGCGTCTGTGAGTTCATGCTACTGGGGGTTTGTTAGGATGGGTTGCGAGGAGCGCGTGGAGGGTGTTTGCGATGGCGGCTGCGTCTTCGATGGCGGCGTTGCCGCTTAGGGCTGAGTTTGGGGAGGTATGCCTACGTTTTCAAAAAAGATTGTTCTCAGTCCATATGTTGGAATGCTGGAAGAAATATTGGGGGTTAATTTATGTATAGCGTCACCAGCCAAGATGATGCGCCCAAAGGACCAAAGCTCCAGTGCAACTTCTTCGAGAGAGATCATTTTCACTCTTTAAATCCCTCTTCCAGAGTTAACGGATTACAACTATTTCAGTGATGGGGCACTAAAGGAGGTTACTAGCGAGGGTTTGCATGTCGGTAGAGGCGTAGTGGCGGCGTGTGGGTCAGGTACATTGCTGGTCCGCGGGTAGCTTGCTGTGTACTGTGATGGAGATCCAATCCGGTCAGCAGAAACGGAGAAAGGAGAGGCTTTTGTTGGGTTTGATGTGCATGTCGTGAGATTCGAGACCGGGGACGAGAGAGCAGGTCATTACAATGGCGATGTACTTGGTTACCATGGCTGGGAGAAGGAGGTGTTCGTGACGAGATAAAAATTTCGTTGTCAACAAGTCAACTAGAACTCACCACACTTCTCCCTAACAGTGACCATGCTAGGGCTTGCCATATTGGCCTTATCCCACATGATCTTCCGAACTTTAGAATGGACGCCATCCGCACCAACCACCACATCATCAATGAACTTACACCTGTCCTGTAAAACGACATCAGTCCTTCTTTTCTCCTCAAAACATCTCCTCTATCCATGCCATTTCATAGACTTTAGACTGATCTGGTAGTTTTTCGTACAGTGTGCGTAAGAAGACTTGGTGGTCCAATACCCTCGTATCGTAGCCAGCACTTGAATATTACCGTTAGACAGAGTATGCGGCATGCAGAAGAATAAGATTGAAATTAACAACATGGAACTTCCTCACTACCCCAAAAAGCCATTAGATGCAAAACCCTTGCCAACGGGATCGCGATAATGTGCACCACCCATGACATGTATGTACTCAGTACAGCGTCCCAACAGCCCAGTTCATGCAACCCCCAACATCAGTGTGGCTGCAGCGTAACTTTTGCTCCAAATTCTGAGGCTATGACGCCTCTGTCTAGCATACATAGTCCGGGATGCTGGCTTTGGCGAGGCAGTGAGCTAGCGTCAGGCCCGTAACTCCTGTACCGATGTTGATGACTGTGGAATTTGGATGGTCGTCTTCTATTATAAGGATATATTCAATGTTATGATCAGTTATTATGGTGGGTATGTATGTTGGAGAGCCATATAATTAACTTCAACTCCGTTCTAAAGCGGCCATGCTGGCCAAGATGGTGGACATTAATGTCACTAGTTGCACACATGGACTGTGAGATCCAAGGCGGATAACTCAAGGCCTTAGGTTTTTACAGCGTCCGCATACCTTCCGGCCCGGTCGAGTGATGAACGGGGTGCATCCAAGAAGCGGCCAATGGGCACCGAGCAGCCGTTCGGGTCCTTCCGTCCGTCCCCAGCAACAGAAGCGGCATAACGCAAGTGTTGCGCGATGTGTGAAGCTATGCCGGTCAGCCCTTCCAAGGACCCCTTGTTTATTCGAAAAACCGAACAAAAATGCACATATCAAGTCCGAAACCCCCAGTTATGACTCCAACATTATCTCTTGTTCCCCTCATACAACACCCAACCTCCGTTTCCACCACTTAACCCAAGATGCCCCAACTGTCCTCAGCCCACTTTCTCCATCTTACCGCCCTAGGAATCTTCGGTCTCTAGGTCCTCAAATCAATAGTACTTTCCCATACATCAGGTAAGCAAATTTCATCAGTTTCGCCAATACACGAATAATAGATACCGTGGTCTTACAAAAGCAATGGAAACCCTTCGCACCCAAGAAAGAAACCCTTACTGTTCTCTGGGTATACCTGGGCGTCCCTTTCGTTTCACACTGTCGTTCACCCAGATCGACCAAGACCAAGCGTGCATCATCCGCGGGACCGCAATGCCCTTTGTAGATCCTCCGCATGCCAACGAGGTTCTCGCCCCCCTATGTGGAGCCTCCAAGTCATGACCTGCGCGGAAACTTTTTTTCCAACCCAAACACAAAGAGACATGTATGTTGGTTGGCTCATGATTGACGTTTTCCAAACGATCTTCTCAAGTACAGTAGCTCACATGTTCGCTCAGTCTCCATGACCCCATGCAGCCTCGCTTGTACTACCGAATCGGCCAGGCTGCATAAGCTTGGAGATGACCCGCAGTATGCAATGGTGCCCGACGATTGCGAATGCGAACGAACATCGAAAGAGTCCAAATGCGCATAAGTGATGCCGAATAGGATTGGCTGCGCAGGAGAAGAAGAAAAAAAGGAATTCACAAGTGCTGACGGGAACAACTCCGTGAACCAAAGCTCGGCGCCTTGTTATCATGTGGCATGCAGGCCCCCCGTCGGGGGGGGGGGGCGTCGCGCAGAAATGGCATGTGTGCGGCCTGTGCATGACATGGCTTTGTCAATGGTATGTCCCACTGTGCCGCAACCAACGGCAGTGTCTGGAACAAGGTCCCCGTTACGACTCCGACTCCACATGTTGGGGTGGTAATGCACGTTTTGTCCATGGAGGAAGTAGAGCGATTGGCCAGGGTGTCGTGGTGGACAAAGCGAACCCACCTAAACTCGCGTGGAAGTGCTTTGGGATCCACATGTCCTCTGCGCCGGAGTCGGGTCGGTTGCTTTGTGGGGAAGGGTATCCAGACCAATGCATCGGGGTGGCAGTAGCCGTGAGCAAACAGCCAAGGGTGAGTAGGGCACGGCCAAAGCGAGGGGTCAAAAAGATAGACGTTGAATTCGAAAAGGTATCTCGGGCGTTAGAAGAAAGTACCCAAACTGAACCCATGACTTTTCCGTCCTTTTCCAGGTTTTGAGGTAACCAAATGCCATCGCTAACAAATAACCACATGCTACCACCAGCACCGTCTTTTCAATTGTCAAGATGTGCGTGCTTGCAACCCGCCAGCCCTACCCACTAATCAATTCAGCCGTACAGTGTCGTGCAAGATCTCAAGTGCCGCACAGATCTCAGTCGTAAAGAAAATAAGAATAGGCTAATGTTCGTAGTACTCCAGTTACTCCATGGGCCTCATGCAAAACCAAAGCGAGACCGTTGATGCAAACGCCGCTCATATGCCGACGCCTTGTTGAGTGCTTTCTATCAGTGACGAAGGCCATCGACGTGGCAGGTGTCGAAGGCCGATATTGTGCAGTAAATCCAAATATGTATATCGGAAGGCATGCTCCATGCCAGGACAGGGAGCATGTCGAGCTGGTCGCTCATAGAATCACACACTTTGGCTTGTCCTTGCCCCTCTTGCCGGTGCTGTTCATGCCTGTACCTCGTGTGCGGCGATCACTGGTACCGCGTGTTCGGTCCTTTTCGTTGTAGCCGGTGCGGACGCGAGCGTCTTTTCTGTCTGATGGGGAGCGGCCGCTGCCCTGGTGTCGTTGTCGGCGGAGCTGTCTGACGACATCGAAAAAGGCCTTTTCGACGTTGACGCAGTTCTTGGCCGAGGCCTCGACAAAGTCGCAGCCAAGTTCTTTTGCGAGGGCTTGTCCTTCCTGGGTTGAGACTTCGCGTTCGGTGACGCGGTCGCATTTGTTGCCCACGAGCATGACGGGGGCTTGGCCAAAGACGGGTGCTGAGGCGCTGATGGGTGAGCCGGGGTAGGTAGGTGAGCCGGCCATTGAGGATTCCTTGACGCGCTGTATTTGGCTGTGGAAGCGTTGTATGCGGGCGAAGGATGAGCGTGATGAGATGCTGTAGACGAGAACAAAGCCCTCGCCGTCACGTATCCATTGGTCTCGCAGGGCAATGTACTCTTCTTGGCCGGCTGTGTCGAGTACCTCGAGCATGCATGACTGGCCGTCAATCTGGACCTGCTTGCGGTACGAGTCTTCGATGGTGGGGTCATACGTCTCAACAAAGTGGTTCAAGCATAACTAGGGCTGTCAGCCATGTCAAAGTGCAAGAGTCAAAGGGGGAGTCGTACCTGTATGGTTAGGGCGGTCTTTCCCACGCCGCCGTCGCCCAGCACCACCAACTTGTACAGCGTCATCTTCCCCGCCATAGTGCCGAAGATGGAGCAGCGAGGCCCTCGTCAGTGTGGTCTTTGATGTTGGAGGGAGGGCGCGAAGGGCAGATATCGAACAGACTCTAGATGATCCGAGGGGGAGTGGGGGGATTAACAGGGGGGTTCTATACAAAAGGGGCGGCGCGGGCCAAAGTGCAATGGCGAGTCGAGATGATGGCAGCAACTCGGAGCGCACTCGCACGGTGCGCGTGTGTATTGGAGCAGCAGACGCTTCAGAGTCGATGGGGCGTCGTGGACACGGGGAAGTTTGAGCCAGACTGCGGAAGAGGATCGAGGCGGGTTTTGGCGTGGCCTGTGCAGCAGCGGCGACGCACAAACGGGCTCCTTTTGGACGGGTGGGGGTGTTGCTTCTTCTGGCCTGTGTCGGGGTAGGGGAGGCAGACTCTTGTCGTGGCAGTACAGTGGGAATTGGGGTAGCGACGTTAGGCTGCTGGCGAGGGATTGGGATTGGGATTGGAACGGTGACGGCTTCTTGTGGAGAACTTGGGAAGGGAGACGGTGGGTGCAAACACAAGTGCAGCTCCTGTGCTTGAGGCTGGCCGGGGGCTTGGCAAGCTGGCGGGCTACGGGCTACGGGCTACAGGCTGGCGCTATCACTATCACGTATCAACCACGTCTGTCGTGTACCGATATAGTCTAATCGGCGGCGTGGGATGGGGAGTGGAGTGATAGCGGCGTGTGATGGATGAGGGAGGTCAAGAGAAACGCGCGATTAGTCGACATGGGCGGCCGGGGGTTTTACGCTGCCACTGCGTCGAGGTTGGCACTGGCAGCACCTTGGGCTGCCAAACCTCAGCGTCGGCCTAGTCCTGTCCAGGCCAGGCAGAAAGCCTCGCCGACCCGGGGCCGTCACCGTCACCCAGTTGACAGTAATGATACATGTGCACGATGCTGTGCTGGCTTGACGTGGCGCTACAACTGTACTGTAATGTGTAATGCACGCCCGTCTCGACTTGATGCCTGGACTGCAGTGCGACGTCGCCTGTCCGTCTCGCGATGCGCAACGGGCAGTTGTCTCAGCGGCAATGCCCTAGCACTGCTACTATCCTGCTACTATCCTGCTACTACTGCTACTATCCTGCTAACGGGGGACCCCCTTGAAGCCCTTGGAGTCCTTGGAGCCCTCCAGACTACGCTGCTTTCGGCCGCTGCTGCCGTGGCCCGCCTTGAGCACCACGTCACGTGCCCTGCCCACGACAAACGACAACCATCTCGGCCGTTCAACCTGGGAGAGCACTGCAGTCTCGGCCTTGTCGTCGCTCTGCTTTGGAACAAGACTGCAGCTGCTGCGCCTTTGATTACCTCCGTCCGACTTGCTGGGCTAAAAACATGCATGGCTCTTGATTGCATCGGCCTTGCACACGGCCCTTCATTACACCAAGCCAGAGAAAAATACTCCTTGTTTGCGCCAGAGTTTCAGTCGCGCCCGTCCAGGGAGTCCACAGTCCAGAGTCCAGAGTCCAGGGTGGGTAGGGTAGGCTCCGGGGAACAGGCTCCCATGCCGCGACAGTCTGTAGCCGAAAACACACTTGACCCCAATAACTCAAGTACTTACTTACGTGTCTACCAACACCACCACTCACACACACCCACTCCCGAGCCGACGGCTTCGCTGCAACTACCAGTACACACGCCGAACGCCTTTACCCTAAGCGAGGCGTCCATGTAACCGACCCGATGTCCAAAATACGCCCCGTCAGCCCATCACCCGTCTTCCCAACCGTTGCAGCTGCTAACAATTCGGCCGGTACGAGAGGGAAAAATATTGCGCTAGTGTCATCCCGAGCCCCGACATGTGCCCACCCCATCATGCTCACTCCGCCACCAACCCGGGAATACCTGGATAAGCTGTGCTGATGAAGTGTCAAGCGCCCCAGGTTGGCGGGCACAACCACTACTGCCCTACCACCCGCAGCAACTGCCAGGCACGTGTTAATGTGGGGCCCACCCCTTCCTGCCGCCGTCTGTGCAAAGACTTGTAGTGTTTTGGCCCAAGGTGATCGACTATGCGTCGACGGCGCGACGTTGAGCCTTGGAGCCTTGAACGGAACCGTTGCTGTGTGCAAACTCGATTTTCCCCCGCGCGGCCCGCCGCGAGTCTGACACCGTTGAACTGGTCCCAATGTCTCCGTCAAACCGCCAGCCGATACGTGGCAACAGCCTCACTCCGCCTTCATCCCCCGCTTAGACTTCGTGTTGCCATGGGTTGCCCCATGTCCAGAGAAGCCATTCAGAGAAGCTCCAGAGAAGCTCCAGTAAGAATACCAAGAAACCCCTATTCATTACACCTTAATCTACAGCTTGGCACGCGCTTCCGTCGCTTTGTGCAGCCCCTTGCCTCTGACCTCAAAGTACTCCCGCACCTTGTCCCTTGCCACACTAACTGCCTCACGGTCCTCAATCGTGCTCGGCACATTGACCTCCTTGTCAAAATCTCCGTGAGTTGCGTTCTCGATGAGTTCACGCAAGACTCTACGCAACGTCTTGCCGCTTCGTGTCTTGGGTATCATTGACTTTCCCTGTATGATACCACCGAGGCTCGCAATGGCTCCAATCTGCTCACGTACCAGACGTTGAACCTCAGACACGAGTTTGTCATCTGGAACTGCTGATTCAGGATGGTCATGGGTGGACAATGTGACGAAAGCGAATGGTAGGTGGCCCTTCAAGGCGTCGGGAATGCCAACTACAGCAGCTTCGGCAATCGATGGATGAGTTGTGATGGCTTGTTCGATGGCCCCTGGACTTGTTAGTACCCTGACATCGCTTACGATACACAATGAGACTTACCAGTGCTGAAGCGGTGTGCCGCGACGTTGATAACATCGTCAGCTCGGGCCATGATGGAAATGTATCCCTCTGTATCCATCATACCAGCATCACCAGTATCAATCCACTTCCCGTTAAACCTCTTCATATACCCCTTGTAAAAGCGTTCTTCGTCCTCCCAAAGCGTAGTAAAGGCCGTAGGTGCAAGAGGTATAGCCATGACAATATTCCCCATCTCACCTCTCTTGACTTCGTTCCCACCATCATCCACAACCCGCACGTCAAACCCCGGCATCGCCTTCCCAGCCGAACCCGGCTTAACCGGCAGTGGCTGAGGACGGTCTTGCGAGGCGAAATCCAAACCCGAGGACGCACTAAGCGCGATCCCAGAAATGGGCGAGCCCGACTCTGACGACCACCAGTTATCTACCACCATGGCACCAGGTGCGCAATGCTTGGCTAGTAGTATCTGATACATTTGCACGATACTAGGTTCGCTCCTCTCGCCCGCCAAGAAAAGCGCTCGAAGCGTCTTCAACGCACCCCTCTTGCCTCTCGCTTCGAAAAACGCATTCTCGCCGTCGTCCCTGCGTATGGCGCGGAGAGCAGTAGGCGCGGTGAACATGGTGGTTACCTTGTAGTCCTCAATGACGCGCCAGAAGGTGCTAGCGTCGGGTGTTCCCACAGGTTTGCCTTCGAACAGGACGGTAGTGGCACCTGCTAGTAGGGGTGCGTAGACGATGTAAGAGTGGCCAACCACCCATCCGATATCGCTGGCGGTGAACATGACATCGCCGGGGCCATGGACTCCGAAGAGGTATTTGATGGACAAGTTTAGACCGACGGCGTGGCCACCTGCTGAGCGAACAACGCCTTTTGGAAGTCCAGTAGTACCGGATGTGTAGATGATGTAGAGTCCATCCCCACTTTTAACAGGTACAGCATCAGCTTTCAACCCTCTGTTCCTCGCGCTTTTGACGAGTCGCTGCCAGTTGCGCTGGCCCTCTTCTTTGAGCACAGGATCCCATCTCAGCTGCTCTCTCTGCCACACAATCGTCTTATCCGGCTTGAAGCTACTCTTGCGAATCGCGCCTTCAATCATAGACTTGTATTCTGCGGGTTTCTTCGCCCCTTCTATGCCGCAAGACGCCGTCATGATGGCAACGGGGCGACTGGCTTCAATCCGTTGGGCTAGTGCTGCAGGCGAGAAACCGCCGAAGACGACGGCGTGGATGGCGCCTAGACGGGCGATTGCCAGCATGGCGAAGACAGCAGCGGGTATCATGGGCATGTAGATCAATACCACATCACCCTTTTTCACTCCTTCTTCTCTTAATACTCCGGCAAGTGTTTCCACTTCTTGTAATAGTTGCGCATATGTGAACTGCTCTTTTTGGCCTGTTACAGGACTGTCCCAGCAGATCGCTACATTACCGCCTCTGCCGTCCGCCACGTGTCGATCCACACAATTGTAAGTTGTAGAGATTTCGCCATCGGCAAACCATTGCCAGTGCGCATGTGTGACATTGCTCTTCTTGAGATGTTTAGTCGTTTTTTCAAATGCTTTGGTGGGCTTCTTGTGCCAGTGCAAGTAGCTGGCCTGGCGCTGCCAGAAGGCTTCTGGGTTGGAGATTGATGAGGCGTAGACTTGGTCTTGGATGTGTGTCTGGGCCATGACTTCGGTTTTGTTTGGACCAGGTGTGTTTTTCCAACTTGTGAGCTTGCGAAGGTATGTCGATTGTGTAAACGCGGGGCGGAGTGGATGATGTCGAATTAATTGAAACTCAAGAGCTCTTGAATCCCCTTTGGCAACAATTGAAACGCGTCCCTCTCCCTTTCCACAGACAAATATCAATGTCAGACCGTCACACGCTCTTATGTACGCCTGCCACGCCGAAATCTAACAATGGTGCGTCAAAAAGCAAACGGTAGGTACAGCATTCGTAGCAGTCAAGCAAAACGAAGTGACTTCTTTTCAGGAGAAATGCATCATCGGCGTCATTTTAAGCACCAAAACTACTCAACGTTGCCGATCGGCCCAAGGGGACTGGGCGAACGTCTGACCTCGGGCATGGAGATGGCTCGGACATGTCATGTTTCCCCGCAAGGCGCTAGCGGGGAAATGGTACTAACGCTTCTTGGATGCCGGCCGGCCGTCGGACTAGACTGGGCGGGCGCGCGGGTTCGACAGCTAGGTGAGTACCTGTGCAGCGCGGGATTGTAGCTAGGTGTTTCGTGCTAGTTTTAGTGCTAGAGGTATAGTGTACGAGCTGAGATGGTAGTCGTACGATTTTGTTGTTTGGGAAAGACGGTAGACTGTTCACTGAAACGAGCTTGGAAAGTGGTCTGAGGTGTTTTTGTAATGCGAAAAGTATACTCGGCTAGTTAGCAACTGTAGGAGTAACTGTTGCATATCTTAGCTAAACGCAGACTTGGTGTGGATTTGTAATGGCAAGGCCACCATACCCATCTCCTTACCCATCATACCAATGACGTATGTACATAGATCCACGACACAACCACAACCACAACCACAAACCCCTCCAACCTAACACACATATCCACCCTCAATCTCATCCGTCCGACCACACCATTACCAAAACATATCCTCCAAACACAAAATAAAACTTACAAATCACAACCCTATCAACCATGACCCTCCAACCCACCCCCCGCGCCCTCCTCTTCGACGTCTTCGGCACCTGCGTCAACTGGCGCAACTCCGTAACAGCCGCCCTCCAAACACTCGCCCACGCCTCCCTCAACTCAGCCACTGCATCCCTAGCCTCGACGTTGCGTCTGCGGGCGTCCTCAATGACTCCAGCAGATTGGGCCTTATTCGCTCAAGAGTGGAGGAACAGTTACAAAGTATTCACCAAACAGCTTGCAGCCGACACTTCGGTGCCATGGATGTCTGTTGATGAGCACCACTTGCTGTCGCTGAGGGAGCTTTTGCAGAAATGGGGCTTGGAGGGCTTGTGGAGCGAGGAAGAGGTAAAGGAATTGAGTTTGGTGTGGCATAGGCTTGAGGCGTGGGGGGATGCGGCGGAGGGGGTGGGGTTGTTGAATACGCGATTTGGTGAGTTTGTTGATAACCTTTTTTGCTTGGGCTGGTGTGCGGTTGTTTTGCTGACGTGATGGAATAGCTACTTGTACGCTTTCGAATGGGAATGTGAGGTATAGTTGACATTTGAACTTCCAACACTTTCGCTGCAAGGATTAACACGATCGTCTACACAGTCTACTAGAAGATCTCCGAGAACACAGCAAAATCCCATTCACCCAAATCTTTTCAGCGGAGCTTTTCGGGACATATAAACCCTCGCCTGCGGTTTACCTAGGTGCAGTGGAGAAGCTTGGTTTGCAGCCTAATGATTGTGTGATGGTGGCGGCACATTTGCCAGATCTCAAGGCAGCAAAGGAGAATGGGTTGCGGACTGTTTATGTGGAGCGGGCTGGGGAGGAGGATTGGAGTGAAGAGCAGATTGATGAGGCGAGGGAGGCGGGTTGGGTGGATATTTGGGTTGGGGAGGGGGGAAATAGGGGGTTTATCACGATGGCGGAGAGGTTGGGTATCGATGTCGAGAGTGGGAAGGGTGAGAGGTTGAGTGCTTCAGTTCCTAGTCATATGGGCTGAAGTTGAGTGAACAACTTCAAATCCGCAGATAGAGGCAAAGAAGTGGTCAAAAATACATATTGGTAGTGAATGTTGAATCCGGATAACGGAGAATGATATCAAATCCATAGTCGTAAATCAGCAAATACCCACAAAATCGTTCGTCAACACGTGCATATCACACAGCACTCGTCTCCCTCGCCTCCCTCCTCAACCTACTCTTCTCAATCGCCTCTTCAACCTTTGTCTTCCTCCAACTACAATTCTCGGCAAAATCGCAAATCTGACACTTGAATGCCTCTTCAATCTCCACGCCCTTTGCCTCTCTCCGTCCCTTCCACCAATCCATCTCTTCAGAAAGATACTTTTCAATCATCTCCGAGTCATAAGCCGTGAGCTCCGATCCAATGATATCCCCCGTTTTGGCGTATCGGTACTCTGCTCGAAGTATGTGAGATAGACTAGTCGGTGGCAAAACGGCCTGCATTTCGCTAACGAGCAAGGACCACAAGGAGAGGAGATTTGTATATTTGGAGGCTTCGTCATGAGGACCCATGTCATGGATTTCTTGCAAGAAGACTTCGGTGAAGGGTTCGAGCGGTCGGAGATCGTAGCGGAGAAGGACTGTTTCGGCGTCGACTGTGTTTAGTGAGAGTGACTCGAGGAGTTTGCGGTATATCATTAGTTGCATCCAGGTAGGACGCAGTGCAGCGCCTTTGGGTAGCGAATTTGCACCTCTTGTCTTTACATCGGCAATGTAGACCTGGCGGTCGGGCTCCAGAGTGGCGTCTTGGGCTTTGGAAGCCTTTGCAAAGGCCTCTGATATACCGATTTGGCCGGGTGGCAAGGGAAGAATACCGCCACTCTTCTCGGCCCTGGACTTCTCGAGCTGTTCCTCAAACTCGGCATCAGGACACTCGTACGATAGTTCGTCGATGACGCCGTTGACGACCTGGCCCTCGATAATACCCCACACTTCCAGCTCGCGCGTCAGGCCAGTCTCACGCAGACACCGTAGACCGGATATGATATTCCAAATACGAAGACCGAAGCGGTCTTCCTTGGTCTCAATCTGTACCTGCACGGTTGTATGTACCTGATCTTCCAGCGTCTGATGTATCTTGGAGCCAGTGCGCATAACCTGCGTCCGCGGTTTACGCCCAAACTTGCTGAGGGTGTAAAAGTACTGCAACTCGCACCATGCTGGCGATATCAAGTCTGTCACGGATAAAGGCTTCTTGGGTTTTGTACGAAAACGCTCAAGTGGTGAACGCGTGTCCTCTTCAGCTACTTTTACGGCTTCGGATTGGGGAAGAGCGCCCTTGGCCTTTGTTGCGGTACGGTAAGAGCGGGTGGGTGAGGGTGTGGATGGCGAGGCAGGGTCTTGCATAGGTACTAATCGCTGTTAGTTGTCAGTCTCTGCAAACGCCTCTTCATCTCATATTTAACAACGTACCACTCCATGCCCGACGCGAGATTTCGTCGTACTCGACTTCCAGCGTCGTTCGCTGCCGCATAGGGAGGCTCTGCGTTTCCCGCTGCACATGGGCATCGACCCTACTCGTACCCTTTGCCACGCGCAGAAGCGCAGGCCTGTGTATCTGCACGAAGCCGTCCACATCCTGCTCTTCGTCTTCTAGTTCGCCCTCTTCAAATTCAACGCTAGGCAAAACGGCTGGTTTCTCAGCAGGCGCTCCCTGATTTATTGTCTCGAAAGCGTCTGCGAGTATGGTATCGTCGTCGATGTCAATGTCAATATCAATGTCGGAACCATAGTCGCTCGGCGTGGCAATAGAGTTAATCTCAATGTCTGAGCCGTACTCGCTCGCACGCTGTGTCAGCTGTGGATTCGGCAAAGCCATGATGCCATGATCTGGCCCGGGGGTGCTGGGTATGCGCGTGGCGACAGTGGGACGCGCTTCGGATGGCGCGCTTTCGCGTATACTCTTGAGGTCATTAGCTAGTATGCCCATCGATGAGTTGTGTTGAAGTACCATACCGACAGGATACTGAAGCGCTTCTTGTACAAATCGGTGCGTGGGTAGTAGTAGTTATTTCGCAAATTGTCGCGTTATCACTGAATGGCTGTGAATGCTATGATGGAGGGGTACACGCGTGATACAAAGCGTTCCATGACATTACTCCATCATTGGACGCGCCTCGGTTGGAAATGGAATTTCCTTTGTTGTACGCTTTTCACGCCTGTCGTCAAAGAACTATGTAGTGTCTATATTTTACATGTGAAGATGCAACAATGTGGTCGGACGGTGTGACATTCTAGCCTCGCACAGATTCTACAGTGCCATTGCGCGCTCAAAGCACAGCATCAAGACCGTGTTTGAAATCCGGCATATCATCCGCGCGCTCGTCCTTCCTAGTCCATCTCACTATGCCCTCCCCGTCTACGGCAAAATTGCCCGCCGTCTGCCACCTGCTGCCGCTCTCTGTAGATCTGACACTGATGCCGTCCTGTTTGAGCTTTGAGACGCCTGATATGCTGCCTAGGACATGCCATAGGCTCGAGGTGCCCAGGCCCCATGCAGCATATGCCTCACGTTCCGCGTCAACCACCATCTGGAGATTGGGTTGCGTGTTCTTGGACGGGTCGGGCAAGGACGCAAGCCATCGGTCCGTAGACTCTTGGTCGCTATGCGAGACGGCTATGAAGTCTATGTCTGGGTGGGCGGGTGCGATTGCGCGTAGGCTTAGGTATGTCTTCTCTGCGACTGTGATGGTGTTAAGGACTGCGTTTGTAGAGGCCCATATTACCGTAGGCGTGATACGTACATGGGCATCCACAGTGCCTGAGGAAAGTGACGATTGTAGGCTTGCCATTACGTGCTGGAATAATCAGCTTGGGTGTTGTAGGCGCTTTCTGGCCAACAGCCGGTGTCTCGGCCGTCTGCACCGCAGGCGGCGACATCCACGACCAGAACTCGCTTTGCCAGGTCATCGTGGGCCCGACGCGTTGCAAATCGAGCAGTAGACGTGCGCAAACATGTCGCACAGTCTACATTTACATGGCCTTGTATTGGTGTCGGCGATGCAGGTTGTGCACTGTAAGAGGCGTCATTGCGGGGTGGGTGGCGGATCGCGACGTTTAGCGGATGCATTAGGCGGTGTACGTATCCTGCAAAAGCCACCCGCATACCATGCTCTTCGCCACTGCCAAACGTACAAGTCAAACATCACAATCAAACAAGGGATAGGCAGTTGAAATAGAAATCTGTTGATTCCGTGGAAAGTCGACAGTGTCCATCACTGATTAACCTGGATATACTACATCTCAGCACACCGCTCGTGTGCACTCATAAACCGAGTTTGAAGACCGTGAACCGTGAAACCCAAACGCCTGAACTAGCCGACCCAAATACCCTTCACCGACCCGAAGAAGTTGTCATGTCGTGTCGATATTGGTGAGAAGCTTAACCGCGCTCACCACGGAGGCGGCGGGCGAGCTGGATGTCCTTGCTCTGGATGGTGACACGCTTGGCGTGGATAGCGCAAAGGTTGGTGTCCTCGAAGAGCGAGACGAGGTAGGCCTCGACCGACTCCTGGAGAGCGCCGATGGCGGACGACTGGAAGCGCAAGTCGGACTTGAAGTCCTGAGCGATCTCACGAACAAGACGCTGGAAGGGCAGCTTGCGGATGAGGAGCTCGGTCGACTTCTGGTAGCGACGGATCTCACGGAGAGCGACGGTACCAGGCTTGTAGCGGTGAGGCTTCTTGACACCACCGGTTGATGGCGCAGACTTGCGAGCGGCCTTGGAGGCGAGTCTGAGAGCATGTTAGCGACGATGCGATGATGATGATGATGATGATGATGAGGTGCGAAGCTAAGACTTACTGCTTGCGGGGGGCTTTGCCACCGGTGGACTTGCGGGCGGTCTGCTTGGTGCGGGCCATGATGGTTGATGTTGATGAAAGTGTTGTAGAAAGTGTGGTTGATGGTTATTGTGGTGTTGATGAGATGGGTGGAGATGAGTGGATGAGAGATGGAGGAAGGTGGGTGGGTGCTGCTTATATGGTAATTGGGGGGGGCGGGCGGCAGCTGGAAAATCAATCTTTGTTGCGCTGGTTTGCACGCGCCCCAGGAACACCAAAACTCGCTGCTTTGCTAGGCTGCCAACGCGCACTGCGAACTTCAAACTTGACAAGTGAGCGCGGCTGCCGTCATTGGCTCGCTAGCTGCGCTGCCGAATGGGGAAGGGGCACGGTCGTTGATCTGGAAAGCGCGCCCGTGCGGCGGCGCGACGCATGGAATTGGCGAGGCAGGTGTGTGATCCGGCGCTCCAGAGTGCACGCGCCCCACGCCTCATAAACACGACCATTGCCGCGTCTCCAATACTCCATCATCACATCTCAAACGCGTCTACAACCCTCTACTACTCTCAATCAACTCACCTTCTCCCACCACAACAACTCCCCCCCAAACAACAACAACTCTCATCATGACTGGACGCGGCAAGGGCGGAAAGGGTCTCGGAAAGGGTGGCGCCAAGCGTCACCGCAAGATTCTCCGCGACAACATCCAGGGTATCACTAAGCCCGCTATCCGTCGTCTCGCTCGTCGTGGCGGTGTCAAGCGTATCTCAGCCAGTATGTCCATCGCTCCTTCTCCAACATTCCCAAGCTAACCCAACCCAGTGATCTACGAGGAGACTCGCGGTGTTCTCAAGACCTTCCTCGAGGGTGTCATTCGTGACGCCGTCACCTACACTGAGCACGCCAAGCGCAAGACTGTCACTTCTCTCGACGTTGTCTACGCTCTCAAGCGACAAGGCCGCACTCTCTACGGTTTCGGTGGTTAGACGCTTTCTCTTCACGGTTTTCATGTCACGACTTTTGCCGGCTACTTCAGTCCATGGTCGGTTTCGGTGCTTGGTGGGATGGTCATAGCCTTGTACAGTAAAATAAGGCTCGGAGTTACGGTTATATCAGTCGGGTTCTGGTTTCCATGGAATGATACCATAATACTTCAGCTACTTCCCCATTTGCCTTGTGATGTCTTGCTTCTTCTTGTGTATTGTCAACGCCGTGGTCATAGCCATGTTACTCCGCAGTACGCGTCTCTATAACGTGTATGGCGCTAGCGTAGCCGTGTGCCGTATCGATGCCGCTCTCCGTGCTTTCTGCTTTGGTGGTTATGTAATCCGCAATATACTTTTGCAATGGCATCCAGCCATCGATTCATTGTTGTGACGTGACTCATTGATTGTTGCCTAGATAATGACGAGATGACTCACACATTTGCCACAGTCTGGTAGTCTATCCTGATTTCAGGGTCCCGTATGCGTAAATACCCTGCCTGGTACAAGTGAGGAATCCTGCCATTGGGCTCCGGTGATTTGTATAATGAGTTAGTTTTGGTTGTCGGACATTATCGACTGCTGGGAATTAAGTATCGAGGCTTGTGGTGTGTTTTCATTTGGAGTTGGTTGAAATGCGTCACTCATATGCCTCGCTGGATGTACACGAATTCTCCGCATTCTGGAATTATCATCTAAAACTTGATATACACGGTCTTCCATATGCCAATATCGTGATTCCAACTTTTGAAGTGTTTTGAACAAGTTGTGGTTGTGCTGGGATTTTTTGAAATGTTACGTGTTTGGCTGTAAATGCGAAATATTGTACCAACGCAACTGCAAGTCTCAAGAATATGGCGAACACTTGTTTGAGCTAGATACCAAAACTCATAAATTTGTTTCGAGGAATACATTAGAACAGTTTAATCTTACTAAAAACGCGTGTTAAAATATCTACATCACGTCGCAACGCGTGTTGTGCGGTGGTGAGCTTCATGTGCTGCATGGCTGTGACGACGCGTGTAAAACCACCATACAGGCTTTCGTACCTAGAACATCGGTTGGAAGCACGACATCTTCACATACAGTTAATTAATCGGGACACAGTATCCCTCACAGTTCACAAAGACAAGCGTTTTATCATGGTTTCATTCATCAATATCATATGCTAGGGCAAACGGCCATAGATACACGAGAGCCGACCACGGCTGTGAGCCTGCCTTCAGCTCTATTTTTGCTTATACCCCGACACTTCAAATCGCACGAACCCCTACTGGCCACTAGGAACCTGGTACGGTCCATAACCCGGCCTTGGGAAATTCGGTGTGCCATCTGCGTTCCAGCCGAACTTCTGAGCGCGAATCGTACGCGCACCCCAACCATTAGTAGGATCCTTCATACCGTGATAAACAACCCAGTCCTCGGTGCCATCTGGAGACTTGGTGAAAGACGCGTGACCTACACCATATGCAGACACGCTGGGGTTCTGGTAGAAGACTGGGTAAGGATGCTTGCGCCAGTCACTAGGGTTCATCGGATCGTCACCAACAAGCTCGAGTTGCCCAAGGCAGTAGTTGCGGTTATCTGAACGTGCGGCACTATAGATGAGAAATTGCTGGCCCGTAATAGGGTTGGTCAACTGCTGGGGCCCTTCGTTGGAAGATAGGCGGTCATTTGTCGCGCGGCCGAATGGCGTCTTCTCCCATGCATGGTCGGGGACCGAGATAACCTGGCGCTCAGAGAAGGGTGACACAGTCGTAGATGGGTCGGACATCTTGGTGATGCAGAGATTAGCTGGCCAGCCATCGTACTTGTGGTACCAACACGAGTAGATGTGGTACAGCTGATCCTTGTGTTGGAAGTAGGTTCCGTCAATCGCGAACTGGTCGTATGTCTCAAGTTCGCTATGGTAACGATACTGAGCAGTCCATGGATCCGCGCCATCACCAACGGCGGTGAACATGCGGTGGTTTACAGCCGGGCAGTTGTACTCGCACCACATCTCAACCTCGGGTGGAGGAGAATCGAAGTTGGGGTCAGCAGTGAAGATGATCCACCAGCTGCCATCGATGTTGTGAATCTCGGGAGCCCAGAGATCAGTTGAGTAGGGCATGTTAGGCTCTGGCTGAAAGATGGTCTTAGACTCTGCCGATGCCCAGTCGGTCAGGGACTTGCTGCGCCAGAGCGTGACATTGACATTGTTGGTGTATGTCATGTAGTAGTAGTCATCGTGGCGGAACATCCAACTATGTCGTCTGTGATGAGCCATGGAATATTTTCGGACAAGAACCAACTTACGGATCTGCTCCAACTGTCTCGACAATTGGATTGGTGAAAGTCGTCGAATTGCTCGAGTTACCAAATGCCGGCGGGGAGTACTGCGCGACACCCACAGCAACAAGGGCCGCAGTCACCCAGAACTTGAACATACTGATGATGGAGACTTTCAACAGACCGGCAAGTTTGAGGTGATATGGATGAAGTAGATGAAGAAACCGGGCGGCCCAAGTACCTATTTATGCGGAGAGGGCGGGGTGGTGGATACTGGAGCGGAAAGCAAGTGAGAGAGGGAAAGGCGCACAAAAGCATAGTAAGTCCCAAACAAGCATTTGCTATGACGATCTGGCGTAACTGGGATACAAAAACTTGGTTAGCACTCTGTCAGTCTTCTGATCATGCATTGCATTATGACAGGGATTATATTCCATTGATTACTTCTACCGAATAAAGGCTGGCGAGGCACAAGACCAATACGATCTTCCTAGACATTCAGCTGTATGAATATAGTCCAAAATACACACCACCGTGTTCGTGTTGATGATAACACGCCCAAGTTCAGCAAGGCGGGTGTTGAGCTCTATTGGGGACTACCCAAACTTCCCCGCCTTGCCCAGCCCAGCCACGCTTCGTTAGTGTTAGCGTAGTCCAACCCGCGTTATGCAGGCGCGCGACATCAGCCGAGGAAGAAAGCTTGGCACGACTTTTGCGTATTACCACGCTCTAGACAAGACGCGCGCACACACCACCATGAACAATTCACAGTTTCGAAGACTGTTGGTCGAGACACCAAAATCTCAGGACGATGGCAAGGGCAAGTCTCCTGCGGCAGGGATCCCGAGGGCGGTGCTGGGTGCGCGCAAGCACTCCAGCATACCAATGACGCCGTACGTATTATTCTTCCAGTATCCCGCAAGGCTGATACTAACAGACATACAGTCGTCAGGTAGGCAGAGGCTCAGTCCAGGCAGACTTTTCGCGACAACTCGCTGAACGCAACGCCAAAAACAACCCCCAGAAGAAGGCCAGAGCCTCGGCGCCAAAAGGGACGAAACTCGCCGCAGGCTATACCGACCGTACCAAGGAGCGCACTGATGACGAAAACAACGAGATAGAAAAACGTATCAAGAACCTCGAAGAGTCTATGAAGCTTGGTGAAATCGACCGTGAGACTTTCGAGAAGATGGTACAGGAGATTACAGGCGGTGATGTTGGCACTACGCATTTGGTCAAAGGACTGGACAGGAAGCTGCTTGAGAGAGTTAGAAGGGGTGAGGATGTTTTGGCTGAAAAGGACAAAAAGGAAGAGGAGAAGGAAGAAGAACAAGCAGAAGAAGTACCAGAAGTTGAGGATGCTTTCGACGAGCTGGCTGAGGCTGAGATTGGGCCCATCGCACGCGAAAAGGCAGAAAAAAAGGGTGAGAAGATGAGGACACCACCCCCGGTCGCTGGTGTGAAGCGGAGCCGTAATGACATCTTGAAGGAGCTCAAGAGGCAGCGGGAGGAAGCAGCCGCGGCGGCAGCAGCAGAGCACGAGAAGAGGTTCCCTACCCTAGGACCGGGTTTCCGCAAAATCAACCCCAATGGCGAGACACATCGTATCGAGACGGACGACAAGGGCCGCGAAGTCCTAATCATAACTGGTCCAGATGGCAGGGAGAAGAGGAAAGTCAAGAAGCAGAAGGTTGAAGAGCCCGTACCTGAAGTGCGTCACGACCTGGATGATGCAGCCAAGCCAATCAATATGCACAACTTGCCAGAGCCGAAGAAGGACGAGTCTGAAGATGATGACATATTTGCAGGAGTCGGATCAAATTATAATCCGCTTGCGAATCTCGCCGACTCAGACGACGACTCGGATGAGGAAGAAGCGAAGGCGGTATCCTCTGCGCCGAAGGTTGATGATGGAGAGCAGCCATCAGAAGGCGAGGTTTCGTCTTCGGAGTCAGGAGAGGATATCCCAGAGAAGGCCAAAGACACTGCGCCCGCTGTACCCGCTGTACCCGTCAAACGAGATTACTTCAAGTCTACCACTCTCAGTACCGATACCAAAGAGCCCTCCAACCTTTCCGCTGCCGACGCCACTGTTCGCGCCGCCCTCGCCAAGGTCCGCAACCTCGACGAGAACTCAACACTGCTACAAAACTTGGGATCTACAGATGCAGACGACCCCCAATCGAAAGAAGCACGGCTCAAAAAGCGCGCCCTCGAATTGGCGGCGTCAGATCGGGATATGGAAGATATGGATTTGGGCTTTGGTGCGTCACGATTCGACGATGCTGACGAGATGGAGAGAGAGGGTGAGAAGATCAAGTTTAGTCAGTGGAAGGGACTGGGAGCAGAAGGTGACGACGACGAAGGCGAAGATGGGAAAGGACCGAAGAAACAGCGGAAACGCGGGGGTAAGAAGAGAAAGGGGGATAAGAATAACGCGGAGGATGTTCTTAACGTGATGGAGAGGCAGAAGGAAAAGAAGGCAAAGCCACTTGGCTGATGACAAGATGCAATATTTATGCGTCTAGGGCTTCTGGTTTCCTATCACGAGCTAGGCTCAAGGCTTGGATGGGGTAACATAATCCCTCGCGCCCTCAGTACTAAACAATACCACCACCGAATTATCATTCAAGCCTAGCTTCGCCTTCTGCTCCTTGCACAAATTTTTCAACGCAGTCATCGTAGCCGCTCCACAAGGCCCATTCTTGATTCCCTGGCTATGCAAATATTGCAAGTCATTATGAACATCGATATCCGACACAGTGACACTGATATCCACTCCTTGTCTCAGAACCTCCCACGCTGTCGTCGAAGTAGTCCCACAATTCATGCCATTCATAATGGTATTTCCAGTTGAAATGGGTGTGACTCGCCCGGCTTCAAGACTCGCCTTCAGGCTCGCTGCTGTATCTGGCTCAACCGTGATGACGGTGGCAGATGGTGACTGGGCTTTATAATGCATAGTGACTGCCTGGGCCCACGAACCTACACCAACGGCTGCGATGGCATGGGTTGCTTTCTGTATACCCAATTCTTGTAGCTGTCTGTCTGTCTCAGTGAGCATGGTCATATAGCCTTCCACAACCCACTGTATGCTATCAGCCTCGACCCGTTTTCGAAAAAGGCGTACCACGTCACCTCTGGAATCTCTTCATACCCCTTCCACGACACATCCATGACTAGCATACCGCCCTTATCCGCCTCCTCTTTCGCCTTTGCAATCGAATAATCATAATCCCCATCCACCACCACGACCTTCGCCCCTTCACTTTCAATCTTCCTCTGCGTCGCCTCATCCATAAAGTCGGGCACAAAGATGACAGCTTTAATCTGCATATACTTCGCCATTCTCGCTACTGCTCTTCCCCAGTTCCCCTCGGTACATGTGACTAGTTCGATGCCGGCGTTCCGTGCCGCAGCACCCATTTCGTCCAGGGAAGTGGTCACGGGGAGGTTGCATTTTGAGGCTACGGCTTTGTGGATGGCCCATGATGCGCCTAGGATCTTAAAGGCTGGGAGGCCTAGGCGTGAGGATTCGTCCTTGAGGTATACATGGCTGATGTTGAGTTGTTGGGCTAGCTCTGGTAGGGGGGTTAGAGGGGTGACGGCGTAGTCGGGTAGAGTCTTGTGGAAAGCCTCGACGGCTGGGTTTGCGCAGGGATTTGTGTATTTCCATGATGCTGCTGAGGGGTTGTGGTACATGGTATATTTCTGCAGTGGGTATACTGAAGGAGAATGTCTGTGACGATACTGTGAATTGGTTTAAATGGGACTTGAAGAACGTTTAGACGGCAGATTCAATGAATAAAAGAAAGACGGTTGTAGGGCACCCGATTTGACTGTAGATCGCCCGTATTGTTATACCTGTCTCTCAGCTGTAGCTTGCCTCTCCCGACGGAAAGCGCTCAACGCGGTCAAGCTCAGCGTGGGGATGCGGGGACGGCTGCTCTGCCCAGGGTCGAAGACAGAGCCCCCGTCATCGAAAGAGATGAGATCTGACGTAAACGTCATCTTCTACATAGCTATACAGCGCGGTACGTATTCTATGAGGTATCGTCACTTTCGCGCTGGATGGGTTCGATGAGTTAGTCTTCACCATGGAGGGGTGATACGTCATCCTGAAACGGCTGCCTTGCGACGCGTCTTTTCCACTGCAGACCTCGGCCTTGCTCCAAAACGCCATACACCAGCAATGTCACCACAGAGATCGCAGTCGGCGCTGGGTAACATACCAAGAGTAGTAGTGCGACCAACATGGGATAATGTTGTAGCAGCGAGCTACCTCATCAAGGTATTGGGGGTTGTCTTGTTGGGCCCGCCTATAGTTGTGCTAACCATCGATCAGGGAATCGTCTTCTTCCTACTTCACCCGTTTCTACATCCTCTTCTGAAAGCACGACTGCTTCCTGCCTTCCTACTCAGCGTATTCGTATACTTTAACCTCTTCTTCTGGACATTATTACCGCAGGTTCTGTTCCTAAAGTTGTTTCATACGGTTGGGAGTGCGTGGGTGAACGCAGTATTTCTGGTTCTTGGAGAGGGAGCTGCAGTGGTAGCTCTGCTCTTTGAGTCTTTCCTTGTGGTGAGTTATGCGCTTATGGCACCAGGCGTCTGTTCGCACAGTGTATGACTTGCACAAAGTACATGTAGATGCTGACGCGACGCAGGATGAGTCCCAAGTTGACATATTTGACGCTGTTTTAATCTACAAAGGCTACGAAGACTTGGTCCGTCAATACCGACCCGTCACGGAGGATGCGCTGAATGATCCTGTCCGCCGGCTCGGAAAGCCCACACGCTCCTCGGTCTATGCACCATTCTCCTTCCGCCAGATCGCCGAGTTTGTCATGCTGCTACCGGTCAACTTCATACCATACGTTGGAGTGCCGGTATTCCTCTTGTTGACAGGCTACCGAGCAGGCCCGTTCCAACACTGGCGATATTTCCAACTGCTGGGTTATGATCGCAAACGTAGAAATGCCGCGATCAAGAGCAGGCGCTGGCAATACACTTGGTATGTTCCATCATGTGCTTCTATGGCAGGGGCTGACGTATACAGGTATGGCACAGTTTATCTGTTCCTGCAACTAGTGCCGCCATTTAGCATGTTCTTCCTGTTGACAGCACCAGCAAGCTCTGCACTGTGGGCGGCAGAGCTGGAGAGGGCGCGAAGAGAGCAGGAGGCAAACTTGGCCCAGGCGCCACAAGCACAGTACACGGATGAGCCAGAAGCGGTAGTGTGATGTGTGCTGGCCGTCTAGTGCAGTTGTTCCTGAGCCATAGTGATAGGATGGGAGCATAGTGCAATGTACATGTCTAGGACTATCCAAGTTCCTTAGAAAAAGCCAATAAACTAGTTAGCCTCGAGTGCTGAGGTCATTGAAACGCGACAGGCACGAACAATGGGTTGGCGGCTGTCGCCCCGGACTCTCTGTGGCCGGAACCTTTATCATGACAAGACTCGCTACAGTTGCTCCCGTTCAAATTTATATCTACGCTTTCATCATCTCTTCATTCTTTGCACTTGACAGATGCTGGCTGCATACTGCATGCACATGCACTGCAAGCGCAGAGGGAGCTAGAGACAGTTTCGCGTGGTGCTCGGTTGGGCGGATCCTGAGGCGCAGGTACGTAACAGGGAATGTGACACGCTAGGCGTAGGTGGTGGGCGCACGGGGCGTCTTAGGCAGTCGCATTGCGTCAATCGCCCGCCGCGCCTTCCCCAGCCGCCCCATAGATAGCTCCCCAGCCAGCTCAAGCTTAAGCTCCTTCTTCCAACACCCAACCCTCCATCTCACAAACACTCCCCACGCACACATCCATCCGTCCCATCTACCTATTTCCCATCTCCATCTTTCGTTTATATCTCATCTTCCGTCATCATGAAGACGGCGATGCTTCTCGCCGCAGCCGGCTCGGCGACTGCGGCTGTCTACAAGACACCACTTAAGAAGGTCTCACTGTCTGAGCAGCTGGTACGCCATAGTCGCAATCACATGAGCAAGAGTACGGTCTGACATTGAGCAGGAATTTGCCAACATCGAGACCCAAATGGCTGGCCTTAAGCAGAAGTACTCTCAGCAGCACATGGCCGGCTTCAAGCCCGAGTCTCACATGCAGGCTGCGTTCAAGGCGCCTTATATCGCCGACGGAACGCACCCTGTGCCCGTTACCAACTTTTTGAACGCCCAGTGTAAGTCGCAAAGGCTCTGCGCAAGGCGTAGTATCGTATGGCGCATGCTGACAGGCACCAGACTTCTCCGAAATCTCCCTCGGAACGCCTCCCCAGACCTTCAAGGTTATCCTCGACACGGGTAGCTCTAACCTCTGGGTTCCATCATCTTCTTGCAACTCGATCGCCTGCTACCTTCACACCAAGTACGACTCGTCATCTTCGTCAACGTACAAGAAGAACGGCACTGAGTTCGAGATCCGTTACGGATCTGGTTCGCTCAGCGGCTTCGTGTCCAACGATGTCTTCCAGATTGGCGACCTCAAGGTGAAGAACCAGGACTTCGCTGAGGCGACGTCTGAGCCAGGTCTCGCATTTGCCTTTGGCAGGTTCGACGGCATCATGGGTCTTGGCTACGACACTATCAGTGTCAAGGGCATAGTTCCTCCCTTCTACAACATGCTCGAGCAAGGTCTCTTGGACGAGCCTGTTTTCGCCTTCTACCTGGGCGACACCAACCAGCAGCAGGAGTCTGAGGCTACCTTTGGTGGCATCGACGAGAGCAAGTACACTGGCAAGATGATCAAGCTTCCTTTGAGGCGCAAGGCCTACTGGGAGGTTGAGCTTGATGCTCTGACCTTCGGCAAGGAGACCGCCGAGATGGACAACACCGGAATCATTCTGGACACCGGTACATCCCTGATTGCCCTTCCCTCGACTATCGCCGAGCTCCTGTAAGATCTATCCCATGCCAACACAAATACTCCTACTAACAATACATAGCAACAAGGAGATTGGTGCCAAGAAGAGCTTCAATGGCCAGTACACTGTCGAGTGCGACAAGCGCGACAGCCTGCCAGACCTTACTTTCACGCTTACCGGCCACAACTTCACCATCAGCGCCTACGACTACATTCTCGAGGTTCAGGGATCGTGCATCTCTGCATTGATGGGCATGGACTTCCCTGAACCCGTAGGACCTTTGGCCATTCTCGGTGATGCCTTCCTCAGGAAATGGTACTCTGTGTACGACCTTGGCAACTCTGCTGTCGGTCTCGCAAAGGCCAAGTAAGATGATTCGGGTTAAGCATGTCTCTGGCCTGTCAACTTGACACGTGTGACATGACGTTGCAAGCGTCGTTTTGCAATGGGCGGCGTTCGGCTCAAATTGTACCAAGGCGGTAATCACTTGGGTATTCTGATCACATAACTACTTCATAGCAGTCCGTATAATATCGAATGAGGGTTGAACATCATTTGTGCCATTTGTGCCGTGACGACTGTATATTTTCTCCTGATGATGTTTGCCACGGTCCCACTGCGCCTCAGTTCAGCACCGTGGTGTCTACGCGTCAACGAAACACAACACGCTAGGTGAATGACAAGCCGCGCCCTGACCGGAGGCTGACCCACACGTGCCCGCCGTTATCGATAGTCTGAGCCAATGACGTCTTCCGGCTGGCTGAAGCGGAGAGATAGGGGTGTGGGAGTTTTGATAGAAAGTAGGATAGATAACGGGAGTCAAAAGACGGGAATGCTGTATGCTCTCTGCCAATGATGGTGTCCTCTTAATCAGGTCGCCGTTGGTGCCTAGAAAGTGTGCGTAGGTAACCTTATCGTGTCACGCTAGGAGGTACCCTGCGCCAGTCTCGTGGCTGATGAGCGTGCATGGCTCACCGCGCAGACTGGCAAGTCATTCCTCCATCCTTCCAGTATGTGATGTATAACGAATCCGTCATCTGTCTCGCAGCGAGCGATAGCCTCCACAATAGTCGTATCAAGTAAACCGTCTGAACCGACGCCGACGTCTTTGATCCGCCGCGGTAAAGACGCCAATACTCCGCAAAACAACGTCGACGACCAATAGCTGTTGAGCACAAGCGCACGTCACATCGATCCAAAATGGCGTCCCAGGACAGAGGCAGGGACAAGATAAGCCGCAGGACAAGTAGAAAGATGAAGGAATCAAGAAGGGAATCGCGTGGCATGTCGCTGGATATGCCGGAACGCTTCAAGGACGGAGACGACGCACAGGAAGACGTAGCCGCGCCGAAGCGCAGCAACACTGTGTCGATGAACCAGTCTCTATTCTCCATGATTGCCCGCGCCGGCCAACAGTCACAAGTAGATTTGGCTACCATGCAAGAAGCGGACTCGGGCGAAAGTGATGACGAGGGTAAGCCAAAGACAGCCTTCCGCGGCCTGGAGGGTGCTGCCAGACTAAGTCGCCTGAGCTCTGCGAACAACTTCCAACCTCCGGCAGAGGACACAAATGAAGGGACGGTCGACAAACGCAAGCACAGACGTACGCTGTCGGAGAACAAGCTATTACGGTCGTTGCCCAAGTTGAAGTTATCCAATCGGAAAGAAGCGCGAGATGGTCAACGCAGCGATCAAATGTCCTCATCCCAATTTCTTCCGCCTAAGCCGCCATCGACCGAGTTACCGACCCCGCCGAGCGATCAATCGCCCAAGACCGACATCAAAGAGAAACCCACGACTGGCGAGGAGATCCGCTCCGAGAAAAGTAAAAGTTCTGGGCGTAAGAGCCGGCATGGAAGCTCCGCAGGTCTGGCGAAGAGCAAGACAACAGTCACGCTTGCGCAAAGAGTGCAACAGATCTTTGAGTTTGAGGAAGTCGAGGAAGTCATTTCTGAATATGCATGTTGGTTGCTTCAGAGTATCCTGCTACAAGGATACATGTACATCACCCAGAAGCACATATGTTTTTACGCATATATTCCTAAGAAACACGTAAGCAGATCCCGCCTGGTGAACACCACATTTTGCTAACTCAAGAAGCACGACGTCAGCAAAACTGGGTATTTGTCCAAGCGGGGTCGGTCAAAATTCAACAGATATTGGTTTGTCCTACGCGGAGACGTCCTTGCGTATTACACCAATCCAGCAGAGGTCTATTTCCCCAGAAACCGTATTAACCTTCAATATGCCGTATCTGCTGAAGTGATCGAAAGCACGAAGAAAGGAGAGGAGGAAACCAGCTTCGCCATTACTACCGACGAGAGAAGATATCTGTTCAAGGCCGACAGCGTGGCCAGTGCCAAAGAGTGGACCAAGTCGATACAAAAGGTCATCTTCCGCACCCACAACGAAGGCAATAGTGTGAAGATATCCCTTCCAATCCAGAATGTACTGGAGATAGAGGAGAGTTCCATACTGGATCTTGCAAACACCGTCAAAGTCCGTGTGATAGACAACGACGAGACGTTTGCCATCGATGAAGTATGTCCACTTCAATCATAGTAGCACTAGCTAACCGCAATAGTACTTTTTCTCCTTCTTTAACAAAGGCCAGGATGCTCTAAATGTTTTGCGCATCATGATCAACGACAACGAGCATCATCAGGGTGACCGTGAGGTGGCTACGCCGACGGGCCAGCGTAATTCGGTAGTGTCACCCACCCGCACTGGCGCAACACCACACATAAGTGAAAACGTTCGAGCCACTTTATCGCCACTACCCGCACCGCATACGAGAAGGTCAAGCACAAGTGAAGCCTCTACGCATGCCATCGCTGATGTGACTGGAAAAGGGCGGGATGTACGGCGTAGCATGGACGCTAGCCGTACCTTTCAACGCTCAAGCTACGAAGTGCGACGACCTAGCCATGAAGGACGACGAAGCTTTAGTGGTGGTACGCAGTATGCGCCGTCGAAGGCTCGTCCAGGGGACCGGTCCCCTCAATCACCGCGAGTGGCTGATTCAGAGTCTGCTACACTTTCGCTTGACCCAGGTACCGAATCATCGGCCGCCATTCAATCCATGGATGAGAGCAACGCTTCCGCGTCTCAAATACTGGACCGTTCCGATGTATTCCGTGCACCGAACCACCCACCCGCAATCAACAAGTTGGACCATCAAGGTCGACATTCACAGGAGACAACGAGATCAAGTCAGCTAAAATCTCCCAATTCGGGCAAGCGCGACAAGCAACCCCAAACCCCGACAGGTATACCTGATTTCGAAGACGATACCGATAACAGCCAAGCGCATCGATTATCTGGTTCCTCCTCCGCGCTACAGGATATTGCCTCCTATCCGCTTCAAAAGGCTTCGGGCCTAGCAGGATTCTTGAGGAACCGATCGAAGAAGATGGGTAATTTGCTAGCCACTGAGTCTATGGGTTATTATGAAAAGGTATCTGGTATGCTTGCAGGTGGACGAAAGCACTACAACACCGCAGAGGGCCTGGAGACTGGAGACCAAATCCATGGTTTCGAGGATGACGAAGATGCAGCGAAGGCTGCGGAGAATTTTCGCGATCATTTCGCCTTTCCAGAAAGCGAAGTACTACAATCGTCTTTCTTCGCATCTTTGCAGCGGGTCCTACCAAACTATGGCAAGATTTACATCAGCGGGAGGTATTTCTGCTTTCGCAGTCTGATGCCCACATCCAAGACCAAAATCATACTTCCGATGCGGGACATTGAGAACGTCAACAAGGAAAAGGGGTTTCGAATCGGCTACCATGGCCTCGCTATTGTTATCAAAGGTCACGAGGAGCTCTTTTTCGAGTTCTCAAAGGCAGAATACCGCGACGAGTGTGCAATCACTGTACTCCGTATTCTGGAGAACACCAAATACCTTGAAGACGAGGATTCGTCTTCTTCAGGAGTTGATAGCGAGGATGAGGCCGCCAAAGCAGAGCACGATCTGCTTCAACAGGCACGTGAGCTTACCGACACGGATAAGCACGTGAACGTATCGGAAATTGTGCGTGCAGCAGACAATGACCGGATTCCTCTTATATTCGACGACCCTCTTGCTTCGTTTGTGGATTTTAAGCCTTCAGAGCCACTGACGATCGTTTGCCTCACCATCGGATCCCGAGGTGATGTTCAGCCCTACATTGCGTTGTGCAAGGCTCTCCTGAAAGAGGGTCACAAGCCACGCATTGCGACACATGCCGAGTTCGAGCCTTGGGTTCGCAAACACGGCATTGACTTTGCGGTTGTTGATGGTAACCCGGCTGAGCTCATGAAGATTTGTATTGACCACGGTATGTTTACGTACGGCTTCATGAAGGAGGCCAACTCCAAGTTCCGCGGATGGCTCGACGACGTCTGTAGCTCCTCTTGGCGGGCGTGTCAAGGCGCAGACGTGCTCATTGAGAGCCCAAGCACTATGGCAGGAATCCACATTGCAGAGGCTCTGGAGATTCCATATTTCCGCGCTTTCACGATGCCCTGGACACGCACTCGGGCATACCCGCACGCCTTCTCCGTTCTGGAGACGAAAATGGGTGGTGGCTACAACAGCTTGACCTACATCACGTTCGATACCATTTTCTGGGCTGCCATTTCGGGTCAGATCAACAGGTGGCGTCGCCGAGAACTGGGACTTCAGGGTACAACCCAGCATAAAATGCAGGCTGCTCTCCGACCGTTTTTGTACAATTTCAGCCCCCACGTGGTACCTCCACCACTCGACTGGCCCGACTGGGTGCGTGTCACTGGATACTGGTTTCTAGACGAAAGTGACACATACGAACCGCCTGCAGAGTTGACTGCTTTCATTCAGAAAGCGCGCACCGATAAGAAGAAGCTGGTGTATGTTGGATTTGGCTCCATCGTGATCGACGATCCGGCTGCGCTCACCAAAACTGTTGTCGACTCAGTGTTAAAGGCAGATGTACGCTGTGTCTTATCTAAAGGATGGTCCGATCGCCTCGAGACCAAGGACGCTTCAAAACCCGAGGTTCCTCTTCCACCAGAAATTTTCCAAATCCAGGCCGCACCTCATGACTGGCTGTTCAAGCAAATGGATGCAGCCGTGCATCATGGTGGCTCGGGAACTACAGGAGCGAGCCTTCGAGCCGGTATCCCTACCGTTATCAAGCCCTTCTTTGGCGACCAGTTCTTCTTTGCTCAGCGCGTTGAAGACTTGGGTGTTGGCATGTGGATGAAGAAGGTCAACACAAGCGTGTTTAGCCGCGCGTTGTGGGAAGTAACGAGTAGCGAGCGTATGATTGTGAAGGCAAAAGTGTTGGGGCAGAAGATCCGCAAGGTAAGCCAATGTGGGAGTTTTGCGATAAAAGCAAATCAGCTAACATGTTCCAGGATAACGGAACACAAGTGGCGATTCAGACTATCTATCGCGAGCTTGATCGCGCCCGCACGCTTATCAAGAAGCACACGAAGCAGGATGACGACCAAACTGATGAGTTCGAAGAAGACTGGACGATGATTGAGGAAGGCGAGGAGATGGATGCAGCAGCGCATGGATTCGAGGTCCAGCAGCCACTGGCCGGGATCAATCAGGATGCATCTCGGACTGGCAGGGGATCTTTGGTGTTGGGAAACATGGTGTTGAGGGGTGCAGGCGCGCAGAAGCGTGCTTCGGAGCCGGCGCATGAAGAATGAGGTTTGTCACGTCATTCATGAGCATAGCTACAGGCGTTTGAATAGTTTGGGTTTAGACGTACGTAATGGGCTGCGTGTTAGAGCAGAGTGCACCTAAACGAGACCACGACGACTACGTATGCAGGGGCTTATTGGAGGGAGTAATTGGATTGTAATAGGATAGTTTGACGCAGAATGAGATTATGACTCTCTCACCGTCCCCTTTGCCTGTAGCCTGATGGATGTCCGCAGCATAGGCGGCGTCAAAGTCTTGGCGACATGCCTGTCTAGGCAGCAGGTAGTGAATGCAAAGTCGAATTGCTCTACGGTGAATTGAGAGTTCCCAGAATGCAATGAATTCGTGCTGGCTATGGTATGTTTGTAAAAAAACCTGAACTCGGACCATGGGCTGTGTTCTTTGTCCCGGCGGAGTGATGTTTGAGGTGTTGGCGGACGTGCTCGCAAGGCGGACGCTAAGTCTGTGGCTGCAAAGGTATAAAGATGCCCCTCGCTCGCTCCAAATATTTGGGGGAAACGTCGAGCCGCGACGCCATACGTCAATCCCTGTCGCAAGCACACCACCACAACTGCGCATTGTAAATTGCTATTTGCATTCTCCACCTCCACGACACCACCATTTTACAAGGCTCGCTGTTTATTTCTCGCCGCTTTCACGTACGTTGGTCGCGGTTGCCGGCGCCATAGCTCCCGCGCGCCGTACTGCTCGACTGTCGCGTCCGTCCCGAATGCGCCAACTAGAAACACAACGCGACCGCCATCACATCTACGCTGCCAGCCGCATGGGCTGCCAAAAGCCGGAATGAAGATCTTTTCGCCCCGGGATCTGAGTTATCCCATCACCGTCATTGACCTCTTGAAGAAGCGCGACGATGAGGTGCCGCGGTCGGAGAAGCTGTTCAACTACACGTATGAAACTCGCGTCACCGAGGGCGACAAATGGGGAGGCGAGAAGACGATTATGAAGAAGTTTAGGCAGACGTTTGATGCGAGCACCGAGGGCAAGATTCTACGCTGGTTCATCAAGCCCGGTGCCGTCATCGAGCGGTCGGGTATCCCACTGCTCGAGATCGAAGAGCCATGCACGCACGAGACACAGTTTGGCGGCCTCTGCGTCGACTGCGGCAGAGACATGACGCAGGTCGACTACCTGACCAAGGAGCGCGACGTGGACCGCGCCACTGTCAACATGGCCCACGACAATACGGCCCTGCTCGTCAGCCATAAAGAAGCAGTGGCTGCCGAAGAGGATGCCAAGAAGCGACTGTTGAGCGCGAGAAAGCTCACGCTGATTGTCGACTTGGACCAGACCGTCATCCACACCACGTGTGAGCGGACCATTGCGGAGTGGCAGGCCGACCCCGAGAACCCGAATCACGATGCGGTAAAGGATGTACAGGGCTTTCAGTTAGCCGATGACAATGTTTCAAACGTCGCTGCCAACTGGTACTATGTAAAGATGCGCCCGGGTCTGAAGGACTTCTTTGACAGAGTCTCCAAGCTGTACGAAATGCACGTTTACACCATGGCTACCCGAGCCTATGCACAAGCAGTCGCCAAGATCATCGACCCCGAGCGCAAGTACTTTGGCGACCGCATTCTTAGCCGCGACGAAAATTACACAGACAAGCTGAAGAGTCTGACAAGGCTCTTCTACCAGAACACGGCCATGTGTGTCATTATCGACGACAGAGCCGACGTCTGGCAGTACAGCCCGCACCTCGTTCGCGTGCCTGTCTTCAATTTTTTCCCGGGCGCGGGAGACATCAACGCAAGTTTCCTACCCAAGCAGCAGGAGCTGGTCTCGTTTGCCAAAGATAAAGCGCCTCTGGCGCCAAAGAAGACGCAGCCGGATGAAGAACCCACTATTAGTGTCTCCGTTGCAGGCAAACCTGCCGAACCAGCTCCAGCCCCAATACCACCCGATGCTACCAATGGCGACCTGCAACAGCTCATCTCGTTGGCAGCGACAGAAGATCTCGAGGAGCAGGCCAAAGAGCAGGAGAAGCTCATCATCGCACAACAAACCGAGCGGCCTCTATTGCAACAGCAACTCATACAAGACAAGGAAGATGAGCAGGCAAAAGACCCCGAGAGCCCTGTTCAGGTTGAAAACGGCGACGCACAGCAAGCAGAACAGCCCAAGGTCCGGCACAGCATCCTCAACGACGACGACAAGGGGCTGGAGATTATTGAGCGAAATCTGCTTCGCGTACATCGTACATTCTACGATGAATACAGGAAAGCCAAAAAAGTGCCTGCTGGCGGTCGCATCGCCGAACTCAAAGGTGAAAAGAGTCCCAAGAAACGGTCCATGGACGAGTTCATTCCTGACGTCGCTGAAATCATGCCACGTATCAAGGAAGAGGTGCTCGACGGCGCCGTGGTGGTTTTCTCGGGCATCATCCCGCTTGGTGTAGACGTTTTATCGTGAGTCCCCCCCACCGGGCTCCTCAAGCACAGCTAACAATCTCCAGATCGGACTTTGCACTTTGGATCTCGAGTTTCGGCGCAGAAGTCAACACGAATGTTACCCGACGAACCACTCACGTCATCGCGAACCCCGACCGAAAGACGACCAAAGTCAAGAGGGCAGCCCGATACCCTAATATAAAAATTGTAAATCCCGAATGGATGTTTCAATGCTGCACTCGATGGGAGCACGTGGATGAGACACCATATATAATCGAAACAGACCCCAATGATCGTGGTGGATCGCCGGGCCCTGACCTGGAAGACGAGAGTGTCAATGGCACAGGCGATGAAGAGACGGAGGTGCCGCACTCTCCGATAGTTGAAATGTCCGAGGAGGTATGGGCTGCGGTGGATGATGAGCTAGCCGAGTTTATGGACGAGTCAGATACAGACGCCGGTAGTGAGTCTGACACTGATAGTGTCCGTTCAGAAAACAGCACCGTGTCAGAAACGAAGCAGACATTGACCAAGCGGAAGCGCACAGATTCAACAGAGGTCAGCGAGGCGGAGGAGAGTGATAGCAGCGTCAACAGCACATCACGGCTACAGCGGCGGAAGAAGCGCACAATGGAGAGGGTGACATCACTCACCAATGTTGTCACTGCGGAGAAGTCATCTGGCCTCCCTAGTCCAGAGACTACCGGGCCGGAAGAGGAGCAGGGAGAGGATGAGGAGAAGGCGCCCGAAGCAAATGGTGTTGCGCCCGACCTACAAGAAGAGGACGATGAGGCGCTTGAGGCAGAGCTGTTGGCGGGCTTTGACGACAGCGATGAAGAGGAGTAGTACTCTTTTTACGCATTTCCAACCGAAAGTGACTTATGAGAACTTTGTATAACGCATCGTCTCACCTGCATAGCGAGGTGTTTGGAATTTGGGGCGTTTGACATGTTGGGCATTTTGTCTTTGGGATACCTTATTTATTCAGGGCTCCAGTTTGTAGAGCCCCAACAACGAGCAGCGGCTTTCGCTCGTGCAAATGACATGTCTGATAACGTTTTTATCTTGATATCTTACTTTGCTTACGTATCCGTGTTGGTGTTCCCTGACAGACACGAGAGCGATTCTTTGTCGTTTTGCGCAACTGTAAGCGGCCCCGCTTGTCCAATCGCAGCTAGCCAGCACATGGACGCCAAGCTTACCCCGGGTTATCAGCTGCCGCGGGTCCTTTTGGCGTGTGGACCCTTGTTCAACTTGCGCAGAGCTGTGGGTCGTTGGTGGGACAAGTGAGGCTGCGCGTCAGGTTGCGCTCGCTGCCTTGTGCTGCTCTTCAGCTGTCACTTCTACAATACACTCCCCACTTTTACCGGTCAGCGACAATCGAGGCCGCAATCATCAAAAGTACGCTTGGCCGCTAGGCATCAATCGAAACCCTTTGCCATATCACGCACTGGCGACTATATCGTTACGACGCATACCTCTCCGCGCAACCAAGAGTCATACGTGGAGAATACGCAATGGCACCCAAGCTGGCTTTTATGGATTTGTCCGTCGACTTGAAGACACTCATTATTCAACATGTAAGTCTATCGTGTAGTATTAGGATGTGCACGCAAGGCTGGAGGGAGAAATGATGCGAGTATTGTTCCGAGTGGAACACTACGCTGACAGGGTCCGGTACAGATCAATCGGCCGACAGACCTCAAGAACGTCTGCCTCACCTGTAAACAACTGCACGAGATCGCCGTCCGCCCGCTCTACTATGAGGTCACCCTCGATGTCGGCTCCGCAAGCGATACGCGCCTCGCAGCCTTCCTCAACCCCAATAACATCGGCCTAAAGCATGTCCGCAAGCTTGACCTCTACCTCGCAGACGTCTTGGACAAGTGCAACCAGCAGCAGCAGGCCAACTTTGCCATACGTATGATCTTGGAACTGCTGCCAGAAAACCAGCTAGAGAAGTTCTCGTGGCATCCTTGGTCGCCCTTCTCTGGCGACAACCTGGTTCTGCTATACCGGAAGCAGAAGCGCATGCGGTGGCTGGAGAGCATCTCACTCGATCGCAATGTCCTCGAGGATCTACAGAAGCTGCCGAACATTGACAAGTGCTTTGAAAATGTGCGCAAGATAGGACTATATCCGGATTCGCGAGAAGTACTTGACTTTTGTCATTTCCTGCTCAAGAATACGGCCGGTCGCAAGCTGGAGAAGATCACACTGCATGCCAGCTTCGATGAGCTGGACCCGTCGATTTCGATGCGTGAGCTGAATGATACGGTCAACGAGCCGGGGCTTATCACATCGACCATGTTCAGCCACATGCAGCCTTTTGCAAAGTGCACGCCCATTGCACTGAAGGAGGTTACACTACAGAAGCTTCACCTACGATATGCGTCAGAGACATACTGCAAGCTGATCGACTTTCAGTCCATCAAGAGCATTCGCATCTTTGGATGTTCTGGCGCTGACGCTCTGTTTGCAGAGCTCAGCAAGAGCACAAGGCTGCCGGACAAGCTTGAGACGTTGGAAGTCAAGCACGACGATAACGCTGAGAACGACGGTCTAGGCGCGATTGACGGCTTCCTGTGCCTAGTCTCTGGCATCAAGACACTGACATTGGACATAACCTACGTCAAAGCTCTGCCAGCCGCTGCTGGTATAGTGCGTCATGGGAAGACGTTGGAGAGCCTCAATGTGCACGCTAGTACGGGTCCCGATAGCTGTGACCCGGAGCTCGTGTACGACTATGCATCCTTTGCCCAAATCTGCAAAGAGTGCACACAGCTAGAGCAGATCTCGGTGGCGTTCCCTGGCGTAAGCGTGGTTCGAAGCAAGAACGACAGCTTTGTCAACTTTGAGAACTGCCTTGGTGATCTTCGTGAACTGGCGACTCTAAATATTACGACTTGGCCTACAAACAGCCCTTCGTCGACCAAACTTCCGCGCAAAATCTATGAGCACCTCCTTGCGGGACTGGCACAGCAGGGCTTTGAACGCAGCTCTACGCATGCAAAGGAGCAGAAGCGGTCGTCGAAACTGGGTATCATCGCATTTGGCTCATCGGATAAGGTCTACGACCGCGAGGATAGTCAGAACCAAATCAGTAAGTACAGTTTAGAGATATAATATGCCCTTGCTAACATATACGTGCGCAGTATTTGTCAAGGGCCGCCAAATTGACCCACTTGGGAACGAGACGTCGACTGCAGTGCAGATTGGGTGGTGTTTACGCAAGTTTGTGGATGCTGGTTCCAAGTCTGATATTTTGGATTTTTCTCTTACACGTAGCTCGCGGCCACCCACACGCAGCTCTCCTGACAGCGATGACAGTGATTGACAGACACGAATTGTGGAGAGTATGGACTGGGGTCATACTGTGGTCAGCCAGTGGTAGCGAAGACGATAGCAAGATGTAATGATGATAATGTGTCAATATGTTAGATATGTATCTGAATCGCGCAATGCAGCAATGCTAATCAGGCGGACCAGTGCTGCTCTGGTACGTAACTAACCGGGCCGGAAGATCCCGCTTGCGATCGGACCGCGACCCTCGGATGCAAGTGAGACGTCTAGTTATCTAGTTTCCCAGGACGTGTTTGGCTGTGATTGCAGATCGGACAAAGTGCTCTCTGGACCTTGTGAGCAGTGTTCCAAGGTTTTACTTCTCCCGAAGCTAACGCGACGTCCGAACCAGCTCCTGCCTTGGTCGCGGGAAATCGTCGGCACTCCCACCATGACGCCGTCGCCGCATGCGTCGCAGTATCCAGCGCCGCCAGACGGTCAGGACCCGCATTATACGCCCTTGTACCCCAGTACGCAGGTTCTTGATGGCCAGCCGCCACGCGTAGCTTATCCACAAGAGGCTGGCTTCCCGAAGCTCGACAATATCAACGAAGTGTTGCAGGCCCAGCAGGCCCTCCAGGCGAACCATGCCTTGAGCGCGCCGCAGCAGAGCAAGCCGAATCGCCTGCGCAAGGCCTGTGACTCCTGCAGCATACGCAAAGTCAAGGCAGGCAGCCTTTCCCCACGGCGCCGAGAGTCAGCTACATGGTTTTACTAACAAAGTCTACAGTGCGACGAGTCGGGCCCGCCATGTCGAGCCTGCGTAGCCCTCGAGATCCCATGTACCTTTGAGCGTCCGAGCCGGCGACGCGGTCCACCCAATCGACATGCTGAAGCCATCAAGAAGCGGCGGATTGGTGGCGGTGACTTTGACTCTGGGGGATCCACGCCCCAGTCACCCACCAATGCCGCCCATGCCCTGGCCCAGCTGCAGTCGTCGCATGCCAGCCAACCCCAGCTGTCCGCCGAGGAGATATGCGCGCTGCCGACGTTGAATGCCCTCATCGACGACTTCTTCAGCTACATCCATCCGCTGTGTCCCTTTCCGCATGAGCCCTCGTTCCGCCAGGCATGGGCCCGGCGCGAGGACCTGACGAATCCCTCCTTCCTCGCCCTGTTGGCCTCGATGCTGGCCGTCCTCGTTGCCTCCTTCCCTCGTACACCTCGCCTACACCTTACTTCGCAGACGCGGCGCGAGTACCCCAACCACCTTTCGTTGGTCGACAAGTGTCGTCATGTGTGCGCGCGGGCGCGCGGGCCCGGCTACCTCGACCGACCGACGCTCAACGTCTACGATGCATGTACGAGCTATTTCCTGGGCTTGGCAGGTGCCTACATCTTCAAGTGGCGGCAGTTGCGACTGTACTTTGCAGAGTGTCTGACCATCATACGCGCCTTGGGTCTGCACAAACCGGAGAGCCAGGGCTTAGCTCAGGGTGGCACGCCGGCTGCCTGGGGTGCTAATAGGCCCAACCAGGACGGCCCAGTAGAGCCCAAGGTTGACTACATCACCGAGGAAATTGCGCGGCGTGTATTTTGGACTGTGTTCGTTGGCGCAAGGTAAGCATCCGCCCTCCTCCAGCATCGGCATTGGCTGACCTTGATCTAGGACCATCCAACAGCTGGGCGCTTCTTATGGCGAGCTAGTAATCGCTCCTGCAACACCTACTGAACCGCTACCTCCCTTGCCCCGGGAAGTGGATGATGTACACATCTTTCCCAACGAGATTCAGCCGCAACAAGAGGGCGTAGTCTCTATGATGACCGGTTTCAACATCAACGTGCGCATCTACTTGTCCTACTCGTCGCTAGCTACGGCAGAGATGGCCTTTGGCATTGACGAAATCTTCGACTGGGAGAGACAACAGCGAATCTTCGAGCAGAGCTTGCAGCGCTGTAGGCAGATCTTGGTGAGCCTACCAGAGGTGCTGAAGGTACAACCGAAGACTGGCCGAGACTTTGAGCAGCAGAAGCCTTATTATCCGCCTATGCCTGAGTATTCTGATATGCGAAGTCCCGCAACAAACAACCCAAGCACGTCAGAAGCCCGTGATTCGCGTCGATACGAAATCCAGAAAGCAAATATATATGCTAGTCACCTGGCAACACGCTCGCATTTGGTCGAGAAATACTTTCTTCAGTCGGAAAAGTATCACAGGACAAACAACACTACCAACGTCCTAGCTGCAGGAATTGACAGGTTTGTACCGGCCACAATCGTCGATGCTGAAGCTTTGGAAAAAGCCATGGCCGAGGAGCGAGAACAAGTGGTCAAGGACCTTCTCGTGGTGCTGGGCAGCATCGACATGGTGAATATGGAGCCGAATGGAGACTCATTTGTAAGTCTAAAAGTTTACTTGCACGATCCTGAACTCCGATATGCAGCTACCAAATACTCCGTCTCATCTACATCATTCGACTTGTTCGACCCCAGCGCCATCAGCCCAATCGCAAGCTTACGGTTCATTCCGATACAGACTCAAAAAATCCGACAAATCGCCAGTACACTGCTTGAAGTACCCAAGGAAAGGAGAGGCAGTGTTGCGCTCAAGCATCAAGACTACCTGTACAAGTTTTTGGACATTCTGAGTAAGTTGGAAAGGGTGAGCCCCGAGGCTAGCGATCCCAACAACGGCGCGCTTGATGAGGAGAGTGAGTTACGTTTGTGGGCGGATTTGAGGGATCACCAGTTGAGGTTTCAGGAGCAGGGAGGCGTTTACGGATTTTCATGAGACTTGTTTGATAAGCACCAATGCCCTTTGGAGTAAAAGCTACATCGCAAACGTAGGGCTTTTGCCTGTTGTGTCCCAAGAAAAAGAGTTGGCGTCAAGATCATTCATATAGAGACGAGTTAATGGTAACATGTTGCGGCTGTCCTTGGACAGTCAGAATGCAAAAAGAGTATTTATACAATGTCTTCTTTCTATGCCATGGCCTCATGAGTGTGCCCATCCCATCCCTATGCAATGCACAATCCCATCTTGCGCCCGCCCTATGGCACAACCACCACACCCAAGCTACCCGCCTGCCCCACCACACTCCTCGCAATCCCCTCCAAACTCAGCCCACTCAACCTCGTCTCACTATGCTTGATCTTGGCAATCTCATACACATGTTTCAAGCTCACCGTGCCCACAGTCCCTTTTATCGCATTCCCCACCGTCGGACTACTCGTCGACGTTTTGCCCTTTTGCCCATCATGATTGTTCATCGGTCCGGGCACATTGCCCGCACCTCGTATCTTGTTCTTTGTAGGCAATACACCCGCGGCGCTGAGGAGGAGTGTAGCTGTTGGTGGTGTGCGTAGCTGGAAGTGGAAGGAGCGGTCTGGGCGCACTGTTATGCGCGCAGGTATGGGCGTGCCGGCGATGTATTGAGCTGTCCGTGCATTGAACTCCTGGGGTGGGGGGTCAGGAACAATTGGGGTCTGGTGGCGGTTGGTGGTGGTTTACTTACTTTGCAAAAATCCATGCTTTTTACTCCTTTGCTACCGAGGGCTGGGCCGACGGGCGGCGAGGGTGAGGCTTGGCCTGCGCCGACTATGAGTTTGACGATTTGGTCTTTTGATATTGCTTTTCGCGCCATGGTTTATGGGTGGGGTGGGTTTTGGGGGTTTTGGGGTGGGTGGATTGGGGAATTTGCGGAGATGGGCTCGGAGGTGTCGGTCACAGGGTTTTTCGCTGGGTTGTGAGAATTTTGATGTGCACTCGAAGGCTTTTGAATGATTCAAACGATACTTGGATCAAGCCTGGATTGGACTTTTGCAATTATAGTTCACTGATTTGCTGCAGCGACGTTGTGATGCCTGTCCTTGCACGTGACTGCGCGATGGAGCTAACTCTGACGCGTCGCAATACCGCCACCTTGGAGCACTGATGCAATTCCCGCACTTCGCTCGCTCCTCTCTCAACTCTCCACACCAAACCGACACAGGCTGCAACTTCCTCACATCATTCACAGCTGTTTCAACCCCTCATGCATCGGCCAAAATCTCTCGCCAATGGTGAGGCGACACCAGCGAAGCCCGCAGCGCGTCTGTATGGAGGCACTTCGCAGTCGACCGAACGTCTCATTAAGCCCTTTCGATGTCCCGGCTCTGCAACAGTGACCCGTGTATCAGAGAAGCCTGCGAGAAAGAGGCGAAAGGTCGACTATTCCGGCGCTGGTGGTGAAGATGGAGAAAGCGACAAGGCGTACTCGAATGAAGATCGCCTCGCTCTTGCCACACGAGACGCGAACCGCTTTCCAGTCTTCAAGCCCAAAGCCAAGGATACGGCGTTCAAGACCAAGTTCATAGTGCCTCTAGTCAACAAAGATACAGGGGCATATAATCCGAATCGACCTGCGCCGCTACTCGGTATGCGAACAGGAACTGTATTTGTTGCACGGCCTCTACACGACCCCAGTGGAGAATTTGCTATAGTACTATACGATCCCACTGTCGACGACAAACCAATACCGAAAGGGGAAATCGAGCCAAAGCTGAGTCAGCCAGAAAAGAAGGAGTTGGAGGCACCAATTGTGCACAAGAGTCTGGCTGAGATACTGGGCTTGAAGAAGAAGGTGGAGGGTGAACGGCCACGCGTGCCGGTTGTCATTGATCCGAGACTCGCCAAAGTTCTACGACCGCATCAGGTCGAAGGTGTCAAGTTCTTGTACAGGGCTACAACTGGCATGATTGATCCAAAAGCCAATGGTTGTATCATGGCAGACGAGATGGGTCTTGGTAAGACGTTGCAGTGCATTGCGCTTATGTGGACCCTTCTGAAGCAGTCTCCCGAGGCTGGAAAGTCCACCATACAGAAATGCGTCATCGCGTGTCCGTCAAGTTTGGTGAGGAATTGGGCAAACGAGCTTATCAAATGGCTTGGGAAAGACGCCGTTACTCCTTTTGCTATTGATGGAAAGGCATCGAAGGAAGAGTTGATTCAGCAAATACGGCAGTGGTCAATCGCATCCGGGCGTTCAGTAGTCAGACCTGTCCTGATTGTGTCATACGAAACTCTGCGTCTCTATGCCGACGAGTTTGGGCAGACACCTATCGGGTTAATGCTTTGCGACGAAGGCCATCGACTGAAGAATGGTGACAGCTTGACCTTTACTGCTCTCAACAACCTGAACGTACAACGAAGAGTCATCCTTTCCGGTACACCCATCCAGAACGATCTCTCGGAGTACTTTGCATTACTTAACTTTGCGAACCCGAATTACCTCGGCACACGAATGGAGTTCCGCAAGCATTACGAGATACCTATTCTGAAGGGTCGCGATGCTAATGGAACCGACGAGGATGTCAAAAAGGGCACAGAGCGTCTCACAGAGCTACTGGGCCTTGTCAACAAATTCATCATCCGGCGAACCAACGACATCCTCTCCAAGTATCTCCCAGTCAAGTACGAGCATGTTGTGTTTTGCAACCTTGCGCCGTTCCAGAAGGACTTGTACAACCATTTCATCAAATCTCCCGACGTTCAAAGCCTGCTCCGTGGCAAAGGGTCGCAGCCACTCAAGGTCATTGGCATGCTCAAGAAACTTTGCAACCACCCTGATCTACTCAACCTTCCTGAAGATCTTCCAGGATGTGAAAACACGTTGCCCGATGACTTTGTGCAGAAAGATGCGAGAGGTAGGGATCGAGAGGTCAAGACATGGTATTCCGGAAAGATGGCTGTTCTGGACCGCATGCTTGCCCGTATTCGTGCCGAGACCAACGACAAGATTGTCCTCATCTCCAATTACACCCAGACGCTTGATATCTTCGCAATGCTGTGTCGTTCGCGGGGATATGGCTGCTTCCGTCTAGATGGCACAATGAACGTCAGCAAACGGCAGAAGCTGGTTGACAAGTTCAATGATCCAGAGAGCCCTGAATTTGTCTTCCTTCTTTCATCCAAGGCTGGTGGATGCGGTCTCAATTTGATCGGCGCCAACAGACTTGTTCTCTTCGACCCTGATTGGAACCCCGCCGCCGATCAGCAAGCCCTCGCGCGTGTATGGCGTGATGGGCAGAAGAAGGACTGTTTCGTATACCGCTTCATCACTACCGGTACCATTGAAGAAAAGGTATTCCAGCGACAATCACACAAGCAGTCACTCTCTTCTTGTGTCGTCGACTCGGCAGAAGACGTTGAGCGCCACTTCAGTCTCGACTCTCTCCGCGAGCTTTTCCAATACCGCAACAACACAACGAGCGACACCCACGACACATTCAAGTGCAAGCGCTGTAGAAAGGAAGACGGAAGACAAATCATCAAAGCCCCGGCCATGCTGTATGGTGATACAAGTACTTGGAATCACTTTGTCAATGATGGCGAGAATGGTCCGCTAGGCAAGATTCAAGATCTGCTGCTTAGGCAGGAGACGACAAATGATTTGAGGGATGTCAGTGCTGTGTTTCAGTACATTAGTCATTGAGCGTTTGCTATGGGAAGCGAAGCTTGTTTGGATGGGAAGGTCGTGTGATCTGGTCATTTCAAAGGTTGTATATGGTTTTTGTAGTGCAGCGTTGAGAAGCATGGCATTGCGAGGGCTTTGTTTTTATTGTTTATAGAAGTATGATAATGGATACGAAATCATCATGTTAGCAGCATTTCATGGTACAAGCTACAAGTGTTGCCTTGATGTGGCTTGTTGAACCGCGGCTCACCCGCCACCCGGTCCAAGCTTCAACATTTTGTAGGCGGCTCTACCACCCATCATTCAACCTACCACAAATCCCTACACCTTACACTCGACGCGCGACCAAAGCTACCAAATATCGCAAACCTCAAAGACGCAGATAATCACATACTCAACCACCCAACATGGACTCCAAACGCCGAAAGATAGAGGATAACCCAGACATCGACGCGCACCGACTTGCGTCGCGACAAAAGTACCTCGCCCAACGAGAAGCGCAGCAGCTCGCTCTCCTCCGCAGACAAGTCGTAGAAGAAGCAGAGGAAGAGGAGAGGTTGGGTTCCAGACTATCAGAAAGGGAACGGAGGGAATTTGCAAAGAACCGCGAGACACTACGGCTGGCCGAAGAGCGCCAAAATATCGATGAGCATCTTGATGGATTTATTATCCCCGATGCCGATTACTCCAACAAGCACGAAGCGCTCACCAAACGCCACAAGGAACCGGGTTACGAGAAGAGCGAGGTGCAGCTATGGGAAGAGGAGCAGACCAAGCGTGTCGCGGCACAGATAAAAAAGCCAGAGAGGGTACAAGAGGAGGACTACGAATACGTCTTCGACGAATCGACAAATGTGTTCGATATGAGCAAGATTACGCCGATCGATCTGGATAAGCAAAGGCTACAGTCAACGTTGGACGAAGCAGAATCAAAAGCAAAGTCCATTGCAGATGTCCGCCGGTCATTACCCATATTTGCGTATAAAGAGGAGTTTATATCAGCCGTGGAGAACCATCAAATTCTTGTTCTCGTCGGAGAAACTGGTTCGGGAAAGACAACACAGTTGACACAATATTTGGCGGAAGCTGGATATGCTGATAAAGGTCGCATTGGATGTACGCAACCACGTCGAGTCGCCGCCATGTCGGTAGCGAAGCGTGTGGCAACAGAGTATGGGTGTAGAGTGGGGAGGGAAGTGGGTTACTCTGTCCGTTTTGAGAGCTCAACTTCCGAACACACCAAAATTGAGTACATGACAGATGGTCTTCTGCTCCGACAGTGCCTGAGTTCGGTCTTGCTCGAGGACTACTCTGCCATCATCATAGACGAAGCTCACGAGCGGACGCTTAGTACCGAAATCCTGATGGCCCTACTCAAGGACATTTGTGCTGTAAGGCCGGAGTTTAGGCTCATTATAGCTTCCGCTACATTGGTCGCTTCGGAGTTTTCGAATTACTTCGGTACAGTACCTGTACTCAATGTCCCTGGGCGTCTTTTCCCGATTACCAAGGCACATACAAGTGCTCCTGAAGCAAATTACGTCGCGGCGGCAGTCAGCACTACGTTCCAACTTCATCTGAGTCAAGAACTCCCTGGCGATATCTTAATATTTCTTACCGGAGAAGATGAAATTCTCCTGGCGCAAGAGCAGATTGAATCGACGGCCCGTAAACTCGGAAACAGAGCGCCCCCGCTCATCGTGGCACCCGTCTATGGCGCGCTCCCCTCTGAAGCACAGCAATTGATCTTCGACCCATGTCCACCAGGTAGCCGCAAAGTCGTCATTGCCACCAACATTGCCGAGACTAGTTTGACTATCGACGGTATTCGTTTCACAATCGACTGTGGCTTGCAGAAGGTTTCGCAATACAACCCGAGGAATTTTATGAATGCCTTGGTTGTAGAGCCTTGCAGTAGAGCCAGCGCCGACCAAAGAGCCGGTCGTGCAGGACGAACAGGCCCAGGTATGGCATTCCGCCTCTACACCAAACACGCCTTCTACAACGAGCTCCCCGAAAGCACCGACCCGGAGATCCTCCGCACCAGTCTAGACGGCACGATACTCATGCTCAAAGCCATGGGCATCAACGACGTGCTAAAATTCGACTTCATGGCCAAACCCCCCGTCGAATCCATCATCGCAGCGCTCGAAAACCTCTACGCCCTAGGCTACATCCAACAAGACGGCATCGTGACCAAAATGGGCCGACGCGCCTGCGAACTACCCCTCGACCCACGCCTCGGCAAAGTCCTACTCGCCGCTGACGCCCTCGGTTGCGTCGACGAAGCCGTCACTCTCGTCGCCATGATCCAAGAAGCTGGCTCCCTCTTCTTCGCCCCCAAGGACAAAAAAGCCGCCGCCGACATTGCCCGCCAGCGCTTCTCCAGCGCAGAGGGCGGCGACCTCATCGCCCTGCTGAAAGTCTGGCAGGAATTTGTGGAAAATGAATACAGCATGCTTTGGTGCCGTGAAAACTTTATCCAATACCGCAGTCTAAACCGCATTCGCGACGTCCGCGACCAACTCCTCAAACTGACCGAGCGCGTCGAAATTGCGCCGTCGTCTTGTGGTGTACATGACCATGTTAAGGTTCTCAAAAGCTTTGTCTCGGGCTTCTTTGCCAACACCGCCGTGTTGAACAAAGACGGTATGAGCTATCGTAGCTTGAAAGGTGGGCTGACTGTACATATTCATCCGTCGTCTTGTTTGGCCAAGACGAGACCAAAGCTCATTTGCTATGCTGAGCTCGTTATGACGTCAAAGGAGTGGGCGCGCAATGTTAGTAGTGTCGAGCCGGATTGGTTGGTCGAGGTTGCGCCGCATTGGCATAAGAAGAAGGACATTGATGATTTGGGCGTTGGGAAGAAGATGGGGAGGGGGCAGGGAAAGGTGGGTACGGATCGTTGAGGGTGTGTGGTGGATGTTCGTCTCTGGTGGATTGTGGGATGATATGTTTATGAGGACTTTTCAGATTCACGGTTGAATGGCTGTGTGGAATATGATACCCAATTTCTTTCATGTTTGGTATAATGGGATGATATGAATAGAACAGAATCGTATCATGCAGCAGACGCTCGAGAAGGTATCCACTTGTCTATAATCCACATTGTCTATCCGACAAACTTGCCCCCGCAGTAGATGCAAGCATCGCAGGCGAAGAAAAGCACACGCGCCAACGTGACAGGAAGGTCCCTAGTTTCCACGGATTCATCATCGTCCTCTGTGCTGTCCTCTATGCTGTCATCATCATCGTCATCGTCTTCATCGCTTTCATCATCAACCTCATACTGCTCCTCGTCCTCTAAATCACCACCCCTACCACCCCTCATCGCTGCACCTCCATCCTCAATCACCCCAGTAATGACCACATGATCTTCATTCGCTCCATCCTTCTTGCCATCAGTGTATTCCTGCGCCATGACAAACTCGTCGCTCAAAAACGGCGTGCTGCAAATGCCACAGTACTTTGTGATACCCGGAGCTTGGATAGCCAGGAAACTCAGTCCGCAGCGCGGGGCCTCGTGGCCGTTTGTACAAGTTGCTGTGTTTAGGTCCGTGAAAGGAATAGGCGCAGAACAGATGTCACATGTGTCTTGGTATATGATTGGTACAGTGGGATTTGTTGGGGCGCTATCGCCGTCCGATGGATCGTTGCTGGCTTCGTCGTCTATGGCGGAGACCTCAGGCGCGTCTCCCCTGGCCATGATGGTGTCGATGAGAGCGATTAGTTGCCGGTGTTGCGCGCGGATCTCGGAACTGAAGGGTGTGTTTGAAAGCGATGGGGGAAGATGTTGGAGTGCGCCTGCGAGACGGTACGCGATGAGAGTTTTCTGGAGGTCGATGGAGGACCCAGCTCTGCATGCGTGAGCTACAAGTATCGTGTAGCGGTCTTCCAGAGTTTCAGAGTTGAGAAAGGCGACTTTCTTGAATATTGTTATTAGTACGTTGATATCACTCGAGTTAGCGTCTAGATTAGATGTGTTTGTGTTGTCTTCAGAGATGACAGGAGCTGTGTAAGCCTCGAGAAGCTCTTTGACTATGTCCTCTGCGAATGTAGATAGCTCGTCTGGGTCTTCGACGGTGTTTTCGGCCAGCTTTTTCAAGGTATGGAGAACGCCCTCTGCGCTCACCATATCCTTTGTAAAGACGTCTCGCTGCTGGGTACTGCATCGTAAAGAGCTTATAGCAACTGTCACCCTTCGATCTGCTGGGATGCCGTATTCGATCATGTCGGAGGGGTGCACAGTGTTGCATGCTGCGATGTAGTCACCGAGTGGTGAGATTGTTAGACCCCAGACTCTTGCCTTGCTGTTTCCCTTTAGTCCGTTCTTGACACTGAAAAGTGCCATGTTGTTCTCAATCTTCTCGCGCCAGCTTGGAGTACCAAGCGTCTTTAGTCCGTCCGAAGACAACTCAATAACAGTGGTCGGGCTGTGAAGAGTCGATAATAACGAACTGATATGTAAACGAGGCGCCGCATCTGCAGGAGTATCCCAGACTACACCGGATATTGCGTCCCAACGTCCATCGAGATCATGCGTGGTCTTTTCAATGATCGATGCGTCTTGAACAGATATTGTAAGGTAGATGAGGCCTGAACTTGTGAAAAGGGCCAGTTTGAGTTTTTCTCCATCTTCAACTTTGGGGAACCATTTCATTGGGCCGTCGTTCCGCATCTCGATGCCTGCATATACCACCTCATCGCCTAGCCCAACGCTATCATGGGTATAAGTTATGACTTTTGCCCGCACGTCTTCATTTGTAGCATACACAAGCACTGAATGATACCAATCGCCGCGAACAATCCAGGGGCTCCAGGCGATATGGGAGATGTACCGCTGTTGTTTTATCATGTCTTCGAGGACAATTGGTTGCGAGAATATGCTTTCCGAATCCGGTATCAATGTGTCGTGGGTCAAAACTTCTGCTCTCCACTCTCGTTCTGCTCCCAGTGTCGATGTAGGCGATTCAACAAGTACAATCACAAGTTGGTTGTCGTCGTTGGAAAGAGCTATCAGGTGCTGACCATACAATAAGCGAGTTCCGATGACACCAGCTGGTTCAGGACAAGGTAGAGCCGGTGCCCAAGCAAAGGCCCGGATGCGGCTTCTCAGCCTCAGCTGTTCTTTTGGCCGCATAGTCAGGTGACTGGGCTCTTCGTCGTATTCGGTAAAGTACTGCATGAGTGCATCGTTGACAATGAGCCGCCGAGCCCAACTAGATTCCTCTTGAGGTCGGCCTTCATCTGACCAAATGGAAAGAATTAGACCCGTGGTGAGAGCAGCAAGGCCGCATCTGCGGTGCTTTGCAAGACCAGGTGGGGACCATGCAATGTTGATAGGAGCGTTGTTAGAGATTTCTTCACCCACAGAATAATTCTGTGCTGGCGCGGGTTCTTTGAATGGCAGTTCGTCTGTCGAGAAGGAGGGCACCTTGAGAGCTACGTGTTGCCATTGTGGGAGGATTTGGTTTCTCTCAAAATCAACTGTATTTGGAAACTAGGCCAAGGTCAGTGCAGGACGTGGGTATACGTCTATCAAGAGCAGCATACTAATAGTTCTACACGCTCATCAGACGCTAATGCGATTATCCCATCTGAAGACCAGTCGATGGCTTCGACACATGCTGGCCAGCATCTAAGTACCGTGGTGTCTGCCATGATGACTCGCAAAGTCTCTGATTGAATGGCTGCAGAAATTCAGTGGTTCTGTTCAGGCAAAGTGCCAAAATCTCGACTGGCGCTATACGAAAATCTACTTTCGATGGTGAGTTACAGAGACCCAGAGGTAAACCACCACAACAATAGTCCCAGAGTGTCATTCGATGAAACGTCATAGTATGCACAGGCAGATAGGTAGAAGGCAGGAGAGACGAATGTACTGGGAGTCGCGTTGGACACATGTAGACTAGCGTGCGGCTTAACGTTATCGATTGTGGCTGATGCCGACCGCCGACGAAAAAAGTGATTTTTCCGCCATGTTTCGCTGCTTCCTACACAAGTAGCATTGCGCATCGACAAGATGGGAAAACGACCGATTTCCGACGTCGTCACCGAAGATGGTGCGACGACAACACCAGAGCTTTCAAGAAAGAAGAGTAAGAAGGATAAGAGCAAGAAGCTTAGCAAGACCGAGACCAATGGTCATGCGCAAGTCGAGGAAACCAATGGCAAGAGCGTAGATGAGTCGGCAGACGAAGAGAAGCAGGCCAAGGCTGAGCGCAAGGCTGCGAAGAAGGCGGCCAAAGCAGCCAAGGAAGCACTGAAGACTGCGGCAGCAGCGGACACGGAAGATGAAGAAGCTGTAAAGGCAGCAAAGAAGGCAGCGCGAAAGGCAGAGAAGAAGCGCGCAAAGGCATTAGCCAAGGGCGAAGAGGTCACAGAGCCTACACCCTCATCGAAGCCTACACCAGTCGCTGCCATTGTCGAGCCTGCGACGTCGAGCGCGACGGTCGCCGAGCCAGGACACTATGAAGAGAGCAAGGAACTGACACAGCTCCCGCAAGCAGACGTCGATGCCTTCCTCGCCAAAAACACCATGACAATCCAAGACCCCCAACCTGCCGCCCGCAAGCTTCGACCAATCTTGAACTTCAAGTACCTGCCAGTCGACGATGCGCAACGTGCATTTTTCGCCAAGTTCAGTGCCCCAACACCTATACAGGCAGCGACATGGCCATTTTTGCTCTCTGGAAGGGACATGGTTGGAGTTGCTGAGACGGGTTCTGGCAAGACACTGGCGTTTGGTGTGCCCTGTGTGCGTTACATCTCGGCATTGCCTCAGGAGAAGCGCAAGGGCATCAAGGCCGTCATCGTTTCGCCCACGCGCGAACTGGCCGTTCAGATCTACGACCAGTTAGTAGCGCTGGCGACGCCTGCTGGGCTTTCGGTAGTCTGTGTATACGGCGGTGTGCCAAAGGATCCACAAGTCGCTGCTTGCCGCAAAGCACACATCGTTGTCGCTACACCAGGTCGCCTCAATGATCTTATTGGCGAAGGCTCTGCAGATCTCAGCAAAGCTGAGTACGTCGTCCTTGACGAGGCCGACCGTATGCTTGACAAGGGCTTCGAAGAAGCAATCCGCCAAATCATTTCACAGACGCCCAAGAAGCGCCAGACTCTCATGTTCACCGCTACATGGCCGCCTTCGGTCAGGGATCTTGCATCCACCTTCATGAACTCGCCGGTCAAGATCACAATCGGCGACAACCAGTCAGGCGAACTTCGCGCCAACGTGCGCATCAAGCAGGTCGTCGAAGTTGTAGATCCCCGTGCCAAGGAGCAGCGTCTTCTTCAGTTGCTTAAGCAATATCAGTCTGGCAAGAACAAGGACGATCGGATCCTTGTCTTCTGTCTCTATAAAAAGGAAGCCGTGCGCATTGAGAACTTCATCCGCATGAAGGGCTTCCGTGTGGGCGGCATTCATGGTGACCTGAGCCAAGAAAAGCGCAGCGCCTCACTGGCTGCGTTCAAGGAAGGCCACGTCCCACTTCTCGTGGCCACCGACGTAGCTGCACGTGGACTCGATATTCCAGCAGTGAAGGTTGTCATCAATGTCACCTTCCCGCTTACCGCCGAGGACTACGTTCACAGAATCGGCCGAACGGGTCGTGCTGGAAAGGAGGGGTTGGCCATTACACTGTTCACTGACCATGACAAGGCACTATCCGGATCGTGAGTTTCCCTTGGATTTTCTTATTCATGCCTTAATAACTAACAACATGGATAGATTGATCAATGTCCTGAAAGCAGCGAACCAGCCTGTCCCAGAAGAGCTCATGAAATTCGGCACTACAGTGAAGAAGAAGGAACACGGTGCCTACGGAGCCTTCTACAAGGACACGGAAAACACCAAAGCAGCGACCAAGATTACTTTTGACTAGGAGCCATTTGTTGGATTCAATTGTGCCGTATTTCGGCATCTTTCCGCGAAGTTGGTCGGCGAAGTGGAGACGGCCGGCTGCAGCTGCAGGCGGTGATCGACTTTTAGAAACAAGAGCATTTCTCTAGCGGAGGCGTTTCGGGTCATGCAGAAGCAAAAGTTCCGGCAGTATACACGCATAGATGGCCATCTTTAATCCCATGTAGTTTGGTTGGTTAGTATAGATGCTATCTATGAGTGACGAATGGAGATTCTACGTTGTATTTGGCTTAGAACAGGCGCGGTGGTATGGCAGTATGAAGGTCCAACCGTGCCATTCCTACTAGAGTGTGACATGATCCCCCTGCGTCTAGTAGCTGTACGTCAGCTCACCTTACGTGTTGCTTCCAGACCGTGATGTATGATTCCAAATGCATCGCAGCCACGTGCCAAGGTAGTATCTCCTGCTCACGCCACAGTCATGACCATGCAGATGCACTACTCACCTTCCTCGCACCAAAATGACGACGCTGCGAGCTGAAAATCCACGATTCGAACTAAGATTTGCCTCTTCCACCGCCTAGACCTGGACGAAGCCGCACACCGACCCAAATCCGATGCACACCATATCTCGCCTAGTGTCGAGTAAGAGCCCCGGAATATGAGTTCCACGATGCGCCGCTCCCGCAGACTAGAGCTGCATTGCGTTTGGCACTGTTTGCGAAAAAAAGAGAGTGCAGGGTTGACTTCGCCGAATGTAGTCGGCGACTATGGTTCGGAAATGCAGTGACAGCCAATCAGAGGGCGGCAGGGTGTCGATACGCCCCAGAGAAAATGGCGAGCACGGCTATAGAGCCCGAGGACTAGAGATATGGACGGCGTTGGATTGCTTAAGACTATACGCGTATTGAGTGGGGGTGGTATATATATGGATGGGGAGACGGTAAGATGGGTGAATTGCTCGAACGAACTCCAGCTTCTTCACTCCAGATATTCCAACGACTTTATATCTTCCACATAAGATACTATAATACGCTACTACATCTACACTACACCCTTGATATACGCCAATCGTACTCGGTATATCAAGCTCTTCGCATCAGTTTCAGCTCTCTACCCCCAAGTTACATCCAACCGTACTCGAACCATCAACTCAATCTTCATCATGTGCAAGAAGGCTGTTTGTGATTCATGTCGTACGTCTCCTCTCGTCATCTCTCGCTTTGACATAGCTCTTCGTGCTAACATGTCGCAGAAAAGACGACATGGTGGGGTTGCGGTAAACACATCACGAGCGTCATGGAAAGCGTTCCCCTAGAACAATGGTGCACCTGCGCTCCACGAGTCGAACAACAAGGACAAAAATACCCGCCCAAGGGCACGCTGTCATCTGCATGACTCCCGGTTTGGCTGAAATGATAGAGAAGACGAGAATGGACAGGGGTGCGAGCGTACGTCATTCCGGTTTAGGAATTGAAGACGCAGCGGGCATGGAAACGGCATGGAGAAGGAGAAGGCCTTTTGGAACGACTTTTATGATAGCGATGCATGCAAGGCATAATTTTTGAGAGCGTTTAGCGAATTGCAAATACAACCAGTTTTTCCCCCGAGTAGCATTGTCGGCAATTCTTTCGCGAGGATTTTGTTTCTTCTGAGCGCAAATCAGTTTCACGTGTCGATCAGCTAGCATGCTCAGCAGCCATGTATGGATGCTCTGCGGCAGCCGTGATGATGTGCAACTTGGCAAGCTTCTCGAATTTGTTTCAGATGGTTGGAATTCCTGAATTGGGCGTGGGTGAGGTGGGGCGCGTAGGGCGCAAGGATAAGACGGTCGAGAGTCTTGGTCGGGCGGCGATTGGAAATGCAGCATGGTCGGGTTGGTGAGGAATGGTTGGAGGGGTGCGATGAGCATGGTCAGGGACCAATGGGTTCGGGAGAGGGTGCACCCGTTCGGTGAGGCTGGTCTCATAAATGGGTCTACTAAGTATAGCCGTTGCAAATGTGGAACTAGGCCCTGCAGGTAGCCAGTTTCAGCCATTGCCCTACAGCTTGCGAGCCGTGAGCTTCAGCAACGAAGAGGGATGACAAGCCGCCACGGCGGTGCAGGAGGGCAATGCGGGGAGGGTGAGCATGTGGGTTGACGACTACTTTATTGGATTTGAAAGGGGGTAAAGAGACGTTTGCAGGTGGGTTAGAGAGGCGCTGTGGGTGCAAGGCTAAGCAAGAGTGGTAGCTTTGGCCTAGCGAAACAGTTCTCGAAGGTTTGGGGGTCGCTCTCGTGCATATAGCAAAAGGCACAGGATGTGACTCGCGCAGCTCACACAGTGGCTGGATCATACGGCGGTTAGCCCAAAAGTCTGGCGGAGAGCTGCGACTGGGTTGGGAAGTATATTTGGGCTCGGTAGCCCTTTGAGATGGGCGTGTTTCTGGGAATCTTCGCGCTCAACCACCTAAGCTGAAGCTGGCCTGCTGCTTGCTGCGTAGTGGTCTTGTCTTGCAGTAGATCGTACCTGACTTGCTTCGTTCGGCGTTGCTCGACCCCGCCATCCCACTTGGAAACCGCGACCGCCGCAGCAACAAATACACCATCCATCGCGCCTTCCTCGGTGTGCCCATCGCACCTTCCTCGTGTTTGCGCCATCCCCGTGCCCATTGAACCGTCGTACCGTTTGTTGCTGGGTGTTTGTGCCAAGGAGAGAGGCACTTTGATCTTGCTCACACTCACTCACACTGCACACCTCATCGGGGACTGAGCACACGCTGCCCCACCATCCGTCTCCCCTTGCTGTCACCGCCTCACTCCCCTCTCCACCTTGGACGGGCATCACCCCAGCACTCTCGAGAAGCCCCGAAGCGAAGCCTCTTTCGCTCCCGTTGATCGACCCAGCTGAACCATTGCCGTAACCAGTGGCATCATACTGTCCGCTCAGATACGAGCCTCGCAGCAGACAGACTGTACGAGGAGCCCCGAGCCAAGTGCGGGCCGAGACCAAGTTCCAGCACCGCATCCGACGTCTCTTGCGACGGGCTGCAATCATCTGGTAAGTCTGAAGCCTCGCTCCTCGACAATGGCGGCCGCGCACAGACGGCGACCTGTCCTTTGTCTCTGCTCGTGCTTCGTGTAGCCTCTCAAGGCGAGCAACGGCTTGTGCGGCTCAAAGAAGCACGTGGGGCTGGACTCTGTGTCTGACACAGCGCCGTTTCACCATGAGCGCCCAAGGCACACCTGCTGGCTAGCGAACAATGCCTGTCAAATGAGCTGCCCAGCGCGTACTTAGTTGTACTGACGGACAATGCCTTTAGATTCCTGAACATTGCCACACCGCAACCCAACTCTCTCGCTTTCCTCATCCCGTTGTCGACGACAGCAGTCGCGACCCCGCAACCATTGAGTATCCGCTCAATTGACCCCATACACCCGCCCAGAAGCCCAAAGCCACCACCGCACCCGCCAACATGCCCCCCGCAGGGAGCGGTAGCTCCAGGAAGATCTCCTTCAATGTCTCCGAGCAGTACGATATCCAAGATGTCGTGGGAGAAGGCGCGTACGGTGTTGTCTGGTATGCCATGCCCCACTATGACAGCCATCAGGCCAACCTGTTAACCACGCAATAGCTCCGCGCTTCACAAGCCGTCAGGCCAAAAGGTCGCCATCAAGAAGATCACCCCCTTTGATCACTCCATGTTCTGTCTGAGAACACTACGAGAGATGAAGCTACTGCGCTACTTCAACCACGAGAACATCATCTCCATTCTCGACATCCAGAAGCCGAGGAACTACGAGACCTTTACTGAGGTTTATCTGATTCAGGTATGCATGCCTGCAGAATAGCATGTCATTCAGTTGCTAACACCACCCCCCAGGAACTCATGGAGACAGACATGCATCGCGTCATCCGCACACAGGAGCTCTCCGACGACCATTGCCAGTACTTCATCTACCAAACTCTACGCGCACTGAAGGCCATGCACTCGGCGAACGTGCTCCACCGAGATCTCAAGCCCTCCAACTTGCTCCTAAATGCCAACTGCGATCTCAAAGTCTGCGATTTCGGTCTGGCTCGATCGGCCGCTTCGACCGAAGACAACTCTGGCTTCATGACGGAATACGTTGCCACGCGTTGGTACCGTGCACCGGAGATCATGCTTACATTCAAGGAGTACACAAAGGCCATCGACGTCTGGAGTGTAGGATGTATTCTAGCTGAGATGCTCAGCGGGAAGCCTTTGTTCCCAGGAAAGGACTGTAAGCATTAGAGAAATGACCAGACTGCATACTTCAAACTAACAGCATTCAGACCACCACCAGCTCACTTTGATTCTCGATGTGCTCGGCACGCCGACCATGGAGGATTACTACGGAATCAAGTCCCGCCGAGCTCGCGAGTACATCCGATCTCTGCCCTTCAAGAAGAAGATCCCATGGAAGGCCATGTTCCCCAAGACCAACGATCTGGCGCTTGACCTGCTCGAGCGGTTACTTGCTTTCAACCCCGTGAAGCGAATCACGGTCGAGGAGGCGCTCAAGCACCCATACCTTGAGCCATACCATGACCCAGATGACGAGCCAACTGCCGACCCAATTCCAGAGGAGTTCTTCGACTTTGATAAAAACAAGGACAACCTGACAAAGGAGCAGCTGAAGCGTAAGTGATGCTTTTATATCTGCATCGAGTCAGGCTAACACACAACAGTACTCATCTACCAGGAGATTATGCGATAAGCTGTCACGTTTTCTACCGAGCGCGAGATATACACAAGATACCACGGTCGGGTCGTTTTCCGGAGCTTGTCCGCAGCTAGCTGGTCTGAGCGCAGTACCATGTGAGAGGAGGCATACCATCTTCCTATAATTTGGATTCTCAGCAGAAGAATGATGATCTCGGCATGGCCGCAAGTGAAGCGCGGAAATGAGCTTCGAACGCCCTCTATAAAGAATTTCCTAGAATTACAATACGAGATGACAAAGTACGGGAATATCGCACTTTCCTGCAGACTGATCTCGGCACGTTTGATTGATCCTGATCTATCTCCTTATGTCTGTCCATGACCTCAGGTCCATGAGTATGCTACATCTTCAAAGCCCAGTCCATCCTATAAACGCTATCGTCTCGGCTTTCAACGAGTTCAGCTCTCTCTTGTTGGCGTCCTCTCACACTATCACTGCCTTGGTTCCAATCTACACCTTTGAAAATCTTGCCTGTACTCTTCGACCGCACTTCTTCGTCTGTAGGCCTGGTCCAATCATACATGACTGATTCGCATCTACTTCCCTCCCAAGAAGCATGGGTGCTACTACGGCGACGACTACTTCCCACTTCATTCTTCTTTGAAGCTTCAGGCTTGCTCGGCTTCTTCGATTCGCAGGAACGACTCCTGATATCGTGCTCCAAGACTGGTTCCAGCACCGACAGGCGTCTTGTAGCGGCGGTGGCTGAGCCTCGGCGACCGACCTCACTCCACCACTGTTTGTCGTATTGGCTCTGTGATAGGGACGAGTTCCGCCTTGGTAGTGTGGTTTGAGAACGAGATTTGGGGGTTGGTGGCGGATCAGCAAAGCTCTTGCGTGACTGTAGTCGAGACTGGGCGACTGGATGTGATACCTCGGGAAAGGTCTTGCGTGATTGCAGGCGGAATTGTGCAGGAGGAGGAGACGACTGCTCCGGGAAAGTCTTGCGTGGTTGAAGTCGGAAGAGGTGTGTGGGTGCAGGTCGTTCGTCCGAGGAAAATGGCAGCGTGTCTGCATAGATTGATGGGCAATCAGAGGTTGTACTTGGTGCAAGGGTACTGGCTTCCGAGTCGTGGCTCTGCCATAACGACAGACTAGGCCATCTTCTCTTCGTTTCCCCGCTTGTTCTGTCCGTGTCTGTGTGTTGGTCTCCCTGTGTGGTAGTGGTGACTGAGTCCTTCCTATGCAAGTGTGGATGTGGTATATGTTTGAAAACACTGTTCGACTTGGGCCTACCCGTCGTCTCCACCGTGCCAGCAGACGCAGACCTACGCCAAGTAATTCTTCCCATGTTTGTATTTGTTTCCGCGGCAGCAGCAGCAGCAGCAGTAGTCTGACGTTCGAGGTCGGCGGCGTCTTGTCGTTTGTGAGTAAAGTGTAAGTACAGAAACCAAGCAACGGCCATGAGAATCAGGCCTAATATAATAGACAATGCAATAGCGGAGGAACGATCGATTTGTGAGGCCGGCTCCACCGGGGCAGAAGTCGAGGGCGGGCTGGACTCGGTTATGGACTTTTTGTCGTGGTGCCGGTGGTGCGCGCTTGTTGTCACTGTGTCAGCGTGGTTTCGGAAACCGGCCATGACTATCATGGGTGCAAGGAGCATGGGTGGAGCGAGTTTTTGTACAAGGGCATGAAATGCATGTGAGGCGCGCATACGTGCGGGAAACACTTGTGTCTAGCAGTTTTATCTGGCATTTCTGAATCGCTCGCGTGTGTGGCGTGATTACCACGCTGTGAGCTCATGGCCAGGTGTTGAGCCAGATGGGCACGTGTAGTGCTTCGACGGTCTGGTAGTCGACCATTGTTTGAATGAGGGGCAATGCTGGTATGGAGAAGCAGCGACTGAGGAGTTCGTAGCCTATCTTCCCTTATCAAGTCCCAGTCTCATCTTGACATGTGTTGTTTGGTTGAGCTGCCATGACCTAAACGCCGCCTTTCACGCCCGTGTCTCTCTATTTGTGCTGTTTTACAAAGTAGCGTCCGCGCTATGTATGCAAATACCCGTCTTTTTCATGCGCCCAGTTAATCGTACAGTAATCGTACAACCTTCGTTTCTTTCGTATTGTGGGAATGACGCGTACCATCAGAAGTCACACCTCCCATCCTTCCACCCTGTTCTCCAGCGTTCCTCCCACCTCTTGCAATCAAAGGTTTGCTTGCCCAACTTCTCATTTACAGCATTATGCGCCTCGCACATCCACTCGCCAAACTCGCTTCTACTGCTCACCCTCGGCGTGTTCTTTTGCATCCAGGCCTGGAAATCCTCCGCGCAGACCCAGCATGGATAGAGTTTGCCAAACGTGGTAAGGAACGACTTAGTTTCAGATTGCAATTGAGGTGAAGGGTTTACTGGGTAGGCACCAGTTATGGAGTGCAAAAGTGTCCAGGAAGAGCGGCCAAGCTCTTCGACATCGGGAGGGCAGTCGGCGGGAAGCGTGGGTGCGGCAGCGGTGGTAGTGGTGGGTTGGGACTGGGTACGTTTCGTGGGCAGTTTGCCGGACATTGCAAAGAGGGATTTCACATCGTTGCATGTTCGACATCTGCAGAGTAGGCGCATAGATTAGCGTGTTGGCTCTTAGTAAAGCAAGCTTGTCGCAGGTCGTCAAGTCGTCCGGCGCATTGAACGACTGCTAGGTACTTACGGCTTGCCATCGGGACCCAGCACAATACCGTTTGCCAGCTTCGTGTACCCGGTTCTATCCGTCTCTTGCTTTTCGCTCGTCTCGGTGGAACTCTGCGCCATGTTTTCCCTTTGTCCAGACGCCTCGTTGTGGTTGTGATATGTTGCAGACGTTGGAACCGTGATTTCTAAGCTCTTCGATCGCCGGACCTCGGACTTATGCAGCTGCCCACCGGGGGGTCAACGTAACCGTGATCGACGACGTATCATGACTATTTCCTTGAATTGAGCTTATGTGCAACTTCTTCCTTAGTATTGTAAATCGCATGCGCCGGGTTGAAGGGCTGTTGTTGCACGTCAATTGCTCTGGGCGATTAGACGCCTCATGTGTTGTGGCCGTGCAGGGCGATGAAACACGACTCCTGAACAACACGTGTGTAACATCACCAAACCCTCCACATCCCGTATCGCCATGGGTGTGCTATAATGACAGCGAAAATCTTTAGGAACGGTAGGAGCTGAACGCCTCGTGGGTCTTCAGCTATGACCCAGCTCATGAAAGTACTTAGGTTAGTTGGTTTAAAGCCTCAGGTCCTCACGGTCTTAAGCGGTGTAGTCTGCGTCTAATGCTTCTATTTCGAGAATGCAATGCCTTCCCTTTCTTGGTAGGAACCCCTGACAGATGACTGATCAAGAGCAGGACTGCTTTCTCGATCGCGTGCTTGGTTCTAGCGTTCTGCAGCATTCCGTGTATGTCTGTTTCTACCGCACTGGCTCAGTCACCTGGGTGTCATAAAATACTGGACAGTGTGGCAATAGACGTGTCTGGCAACTACATTGGCTTTTTAACACTAGTGAGTCTAGTATTTGATGACACTCAGGTGCAGTCATGCCTTTTGTATTCACTGGTATAACTCCAAGACAACATTCCGTCCTTGATCCCCGTATCGCTCTCAGTTCGATTTGACTTGCGGATATTGGTAACGTACGGCCTAGTGCTATCCCCTAGAATGGAATGTCTGGCCATGGCTACTACTACAGCCTCATACCCAGGATCAATACTTCTGGAAGCAGAAAAAGAGCACGGAAATCTCAAGAACAGGGGGCTTTCGTTTGCCCGTGGGGTGATACGTACCAGTCTGATGACGATGCAGCGGTCAAATATGGCACTGCGCTTCACAACCTGCCACACGCCGGTATTCACAACGCCATCGGATATTGGAGAATGCCACAGCAAAACAGAAGCATGGTATCAGTTTGAGGATCGCTGTACAATCTGCGGAGGGCTGAGTACGTGTGGTGAGGTGCGCACCCTTCCCTATGGTCAGTCACGTGCCGAGTCCCTCGTCACCGCTCATCGCACCGCTTCCTGGTTTGGGTCGGTACCGGTCTGTTTATAATCTGTGACGTAGCACTATCGCTCTCCATCTTACTTTCTCACTCACGTCTGTGATCGGGGGCGACTTCCAGGCTCCAGGCTCTGTCGACTGTGGGCAGGCGCACGCACCTCTTCTCTCCACACTACCACACCCGCGCTCCCCCACACTTCAAATACCAATTACTCACGATCGCAACCACTCCCAACTTGAATTGCAATTATTTGCTGAATATAAGGGATCACAGACAGCGAAAGTGCCAGCGCAAACACACACCGTGACTAGCCTCGATAGATAATAAGTACGTCTACCTCTGCACATTTGGCCCTTCTCCTACACCCAAGTTTACTTTGCTGCTTCGACCAATCAGAGTGTTTCAATACATCATCACTACGAACATAACTTGGAGTCGGCTAACCAGCACACTCAAGACACAGCTGCGAAGACAACTGCGACAATGTCTACCAGCATCATCACCAAAGTCATGTCTCTAGACTCGCACTCAGGCGTTCCATCGGTTCCAAACCCTACGCCCGCTACTGAACCCATCACTAGTCCTTTCGGCAGCGATCCTGTCGACCCTCCTCCCGAGATGGACTACAACGCTGTCGCCAGGATACTCGCTCCCATCCAGGAGTCTCTCAATGAAGCCGCCATGGAGGCTGGCTACCCTTCGCCACCTATCAACACGCCCGAAGTTGGCTCTCCAGCTCCCTCCGTTGTCTATCGTCAACCTATCACTCGCGGTCGCGGTTTCAGCGTCATCGGCGATAGGCTCGCTCAACTGAAGATCGACGACCGCAAGCTTCGCCACCGTGACGCAGACATGAGCTCGAGCAACTACTCGCCTGAGCCCTCTGTTGCCGAGGATGAGGAAGCGGACATTGCCAGCATATCCGAGGTGTTGAGCGAGAGTGGCAAGGACAAACAGGGCTCTGCGGACGCTCGTAAGCTTCCTGCCTCTCTTGTTATAGCTACAGGCTCAGTTCCTATCGCTCTAGGTTCCCCTGCGGTAAACCCGCGCATCGAAGAGTACTTGTCTTTCACCTCCAACGACTTGCCGACAAACTCTGTTGCTCCTTGCTTTCCTTCAACGCTCATGGAGACCAGCACGGAGTCTGTCAAGACCGTTGTCGATGGCAGTGACCGCACTAGCTTGAAGAGTGACGGCGTCACTGAGAAGAGCAACTGGGCCGAGGAACTGGAGGACGCCGTCGATAGGGCATGTATGCGTCTCGAGCAACTCGCAGAAGACGAGGTCAAGTCGGACTCCAGCAAGAGCTTCGAAGACTACTACATCGCTCGTCTTGAGCGCCTGCTCGGTAGTGCCAAACGGTCTGTCCCTGTCCACATCCAGAAGGCCAAGACAGTACGCGAGGAGACAGCATAAGACTGTTCCAGAGTACACGGCGACGGAAACGGCTTCACGGTCGGTCTACTCAAAAGAAATCTAGCGGCATTCGAGCGGCGAAGGAGTGCGTGTAGCATTCATGGCACAAGTAATTGTCGGATGCTTTTATGATCATTATGATTCAGGAGTTCTGGGCAGGACTATATTCGGATTTGGGGAATGGAATGGGGCATGGCTGGTGTTCTATACCCACAACCTGATATTCGTGTGATTTACGAGATCATGATAACGAGACTGTAATCGTCTTTGGCCGTCGTACTGTTCAGCCAAAAGTAATAATGTTTTGTTTTCCCATTCAACGAGGATGGAGTCTTATTTTCATGTGAAAGTGATCAGTTGGTTCATACAAGTATACGCGCAACATATCACATAATGCCAGTACAGTGCCTCAACCCTAAGCAAAGCGATCGTACCACCCATTCCTCACACCAAGCGCCTGTAGAATGGCAACAAAGCCCAAAACCATAGCCGTAGGCTTATCATTACTCCTCCAGTAAGCTCCGCCCGCAGCAGCCATCATACCAACCAGGATACCCGCAATACCCTTATCATACACATCATAGATGCCAGTCTGCGCCCACTTGTAATTCAGAATACCTAGCAAACCAACCTGTCAGCCCCATCCACCCCTCAACTAACGCAGTTTTACGTAAACCAACGCAGTTTTACGCAAAAAAACGCAGTCCCCAAGAAAGAGAAGATACAGGAATCAACATACTCATAATCACAAAAAACCCACTCCCCTCGTACCATCCTATCTTGCTAGCGCCGCGCAGCACAATTGGTAGGGTACGCATGGTTGGATGTTTGAACTGGTCAAGGCCTTTCATCTGGATTGTACAAGTAAATGTTAGGAATAAGAGTTTGTATATATCCGGGGAGGGGGGGGGGGGGCATTTACCGTGTGCAGGAGTGCTAGGATGCCATAGGCGGCCGCTGGAAGCTTTGAGCAGAGGGTGCGAGTGCGAAGGTTGTTGATGCCATTGTTTCGTGGAATTAGAGTTTTGAGGGAGGAGAAAGGGTTACTACAATGCTGGGTATGTGCAGGTGTATGGAGATTGCGGAGACAGTTCTGGGATGCACATGTCACGAATAGCGTCGTTGTGATGGCTTGATGGTGCCTAGGGCTATGTGGGTTGAGCCGAGGTTTAGTATGCTTTTGGGATGGTATTGCCCCACTTTTTGCGGGTCCGAAGTTGACAGTACAGCTTGGAGATGGGTTTGCGATTCTGACATTATGGAATTTAAGATTGAGTTTTCAGTCAAGTTACCCAAGGCTTGCTTGGGTATGATGTCTCACTTTGACCATGCAGATCTTGGTTCCCACACTGCTGTCACGCCATGTTCAGACATACCCGCAGCAAGCTGTTGTCCTAGACCTTTTTCCTTTGTCATCCCCTCCCTCGCTTCCTACTTGTTCTCTTTGTCTTTTCCCTTTGTGTTGTCGTTATCTTCGTCCTGTCCAGTGCCCTGCACAGCAGGCATAAGTCCACTCGCAATGACATCGAGATCCGAAGGCATACAAGTAGCCGGCGACGTGTATGGTCCAGCGCTCTCTTGTCCCGGATGCAGGCCATCGACCTTGTTCTCGGCCCATGTCAGCGCATCGTCGACGGCGGTCTTGACGCTTTGTACGACTTCTGAGACAAGGATCGAGGCAGCGGATGCTGGTTCATTCCCAGTGTTGTCTGTTGGGGAAAATGTACCGTCCGTGGATACGATAGGAGTCCTGGAGTTGTTGTGGTGTTCAACCTGGAAAGATGAGTATGAGAAATGTTGAAGGTAAGCGAGTATGGAGAGCATACCTGCTGCTGGGCCGGTGAATTTGTCCGAGACGAGTGCATACTCTTGTGCGTGGCTTTTGTTGTAGCAGCATCTAGTGCATCTGGTCTCATGGTTTGTGTTGTGAATGCGTCCAGTCCTTCGGGCTTCATGCAGATAATGGTGAAGCAAAGTAGCTGTGCAACGTAGTCCTCTCTTGGGTGAAGGACAGACAGTGTTGAACCACTCCCTTGGAGTTTGCTGTTTTCGGAGTGGATGTCGCAAGACACTCTAGAATGAGCCCCATTGTTTGTTCGTTTGCGAGACAGTGGCTGTAGCGCTGTTGTTCCTTCCACACACAGACACTTTTGTTTGTTAGTGTAACAGACACGACGTCATCGCATGAAATCTTGTGAATCGTGCAATCTAGAGTGAAGGTTTCGCTTGTCACGAATGTCTGGTAAGCTTTTAATTAGGTATTCCAACGATACTTACCCTATGTTCTAGTCCCGATACAGCTTCAAGAAGACAATCATTTCAGCGATGTGTCTCATGACCCTGAGATTTACAGATGTCGTCATGGTTTGAGCAGCGAGGTATCAGATTGAGTAGTTCGGAACCATGCTACTCGGATTCATCTCGTTTATGTAGTATGATGCGAGAACCGCGTCCAAGAAATATTTTAGCCCCGGCACATACGAGCTATATCGCGAAGTGATATGATAGAAGAAATCCTCACGTATATGCCGGGGCCCGGCTGACTGGACTGTCATCTAGCCAATTCTAACAACACTTCAAGCAGCTACTAAGATCAGCCCAGTTTTCTGACAAACATGGCGCTCGGTATGCCTCAATCATCAGACTGCATGGACGAAAACGGCGGGTATTCTAATTAAGCGGAGTGCCAAACGGTGTACCCCAGGCTAGACGCATGACTGGGGTTAACCGCTTGATACGCAGATCAGGATACTCGAATACGAGCCAGCCTTGCCCAACTTCTAGAAGCCTGCTCTTACTGGACGCACAGTCAGTTGTCCCGCATACTACAAGCCGAGATTTGGAAGTGGTGGGGTAACACCATATCGTGTACCCGTTCGTACTAGCGTCATGGCTGCGGTAACGGTAGCTTACCTCAGGACTGAGTGCGCAGTCAAAGGCAGTACCTAGGGAAACCGCAGCAGATAGCGCCGGAGTCCAGCACGAATGCACATTGAGTCACCGACAAAGTTGAAGGCATAGTGTGTAGAAGGGATCCACTTCTCCTACGGCTCCTCCTACAGGAAGAGACCGGGGCGTACCCTGTGATTGCACTTGGGCCGCAATTTGATATGATATGCTGCGTGGAAGCTTTGTCGCGCCTATCACAGCGCATGCAAGTGTTCGAGCGGAGTTCGTGTGTGGCTTGAAGCAATATAGAGATGCTGGATACGCTGGTATGGCGCAGAGAGAAAGGTCATGAGGTGGTGCTGATGCAGGTCCACCAGTACCGTTCGCTGAGGGCTGCCATGCCGGACCCTCACAGCCAAGGCTGCTAGCGTGCGGCGTGCCATAACTATCATTGGTCTGTCTTTTCTGACATTCCCTAGCTTTAGGCTGTTGTACGCGGTTAGCGCAATGTTTGGCCTCATACACACACAATTGACACACGGCATAGCGAGCGAGTGAGGAGATGATGGGGCTTTGGCTTGCTCCGTGCTTCCTGCAGACCAGTGTCTAAGCAAGCAAATGACAGGCATGTGTGGTTGCGTCAACACATATCCCACCCTAGCGCTCGGCAGCATTCGATGCAATCTATCGTCAACCGAACCGGGCGAAGGCTGTGGGTAGTTACTCGACGACTTCGACTATGCGACCCCGGGGCCCTTGCAGCCCTCGTCGGCGCCAATATCGTTTGTCGTCTGTCTGAGCGCAATGTGGAGTGCGTGAGGCCCCATGTCATCCCCGCATTCGTTTGCTCGCGAAGCTCATCTCCCAAGCACCCACGTCGTTTCGTGACTTGTCCACGGGTGTACCTAGAAGCTAACAAGAGGCGAACTTTGGCCTACTATACTTATAATCGCTGCTGGGCCTTCCGTCTCGTCTCCTTCCCGCCCACTGCTTCCCTGCTTTCGTAACCTACGCCCAGCTTGCACCCGTGGATATTCTAGCTGCACGCCGCAGGAATTGTCTGCAGCGTCGCCCCGGCCGCCGTCTGCCCGTCAACCAATCATGGCAGCTATCACTCCTTCTCCAGACGTTAGTCCCGTATCGTCAGCAACGACCAATGGAGGTTTCCCCAGGGATGCCTTCTCCCTCAATCTCTCCACTTTGCCCGACGCCAACAGCTTTATCCTCAAGTCTGCCCTGACCTCTCCCCATCTTCTCGACTCCCCAAATGATCTGTTTTCAGGAGGCGGCCGTTTGAGTAATTCCTTCAAGAAGCGGCCCCGCAATATGTCTCAATCATCCGGTACCGATCGGGAAATGTCAAATGAGAACACTCCACCCGCCTCAAACGGTATTGCGCCCACAAGCAATGGGAACGACGGCTCCAACCCAGAGCCCCGACCAGCTACAAAGAAGCGCCCCAGTACCGACACAATAGACTATCCACGACGGCGTGCGACTATAGCGGTACAGCTGCCATTTCTACCTGTCCCTCAGCTTCAACGACTGACAAGGCTAGTGCGAAATATGTCGGTCTCGAAAGTCTCGATGCGACGGCACACGACCAAAGTGCAGACTTTGCACAGAACTGAATGCCGAATGCATATACCGTGAGCCAGGTATCAAGCTTGACGCTGGCGACAAGCTGATCCTGGAACACCTGAACCGCATTGAAGGTCTTCTACAGTCTGGCTTCACCAGTAACTATTCATTGTCTTCGCATTCCCCAGCTGCAAGCAACTCAACGAGCGAAGATTTTCTCGCTCGCAGTGCCGGCCATATACCCCATCTCGGTATGGTTCAGCCGATCAACGGCATAGGAACATGGACCAACCACCCCTCAAATATCTCCACCATGCCAAAAACACACAACACGGCAGCCTTGAATCTGCTATCCTCACCCATGATCCGGGAACTGGTGTCTCGTCAATATGATGCCAAGATACTCCTTCAGCTAGAGATGACCCGTGAATCAGTAAGCCTCGGTACAACTCGCGGTCTAGACTTGTCCAACACTGGCGTGTACGTTCAAGCATACTTTGAGAGAGTAAATGTCTTCTACGCAGTCGTCAACCCATATACATGGAGTGATCACTACCAGACTGCACTCAGCCACGGATTTCGAGATGGGCCTGAAAGTTGCATTGTTCTCCTAGTACTTGCGCTTGGTCATGCTGCAAGCACCGGGAGTATAACACAACAGAACCCGGACAAGGATCCCCCCGGCTTGGCATACTTCGCCGCAGCTTGGAGTCTGCTACCAACCGTCATGACAAGGAATAACATGGTCGCCGCGCAGTGTCAGATTCTTGCTGCAGCATACCTGGTGTACCTTGTACGTCCTGTTGAAGCCTGGAATGTGTTGTCGGGTGCGAGTATGAAGCTACAACTTCTTCTGAGCGCACCTGGCCGAGTGTCGCCAGCTGAAGAAGAACTTGGCAGAAGAGTGTATTGGAATGCGGTCATGATCGAGAGCGATCTTCTAGCGGAGCTAGATCTTCCTCATTCAGGCATTGCGCAGTTTGAAGAGGGCTTTTCTTTGCCGACCGGCTTTGAAGATTTAGGGACCGAAGCAGTTGGTCGGGACGAGTTATGGTACTTCCTTGCCGAGATCGCCCTTCGAAGGTTGCTCAATCGGGTGAGTTCGATGCTCTACATCCGGACCACACCGTATTCGAAAGGCCCGGCTGCCACCTCCATTGCTCAACTAGACCCGCTCGTCGTGGAACTAGATTTCCAATTGAATCAGTGGTATGCCGGACTACCACCAGCCATGCAGTTCCCGCTTGATAGGGTACCGTTGCAGAACCCCGTGCAAACAGTTCTCAGACTACGCTACTTTGCATGCCGCACAATCATCTTTCGACCATACGTACTGCTCGTGCTGCAGGATGAAAGCCTGGCAATGGATTCCGGTGTGCAGGACAATTGCCACAAGTGTCTGGAAGCATGTGTTCGCCAACTAGAGTACATTACTGCGCACCACGCCGGACATATCCCCTATCTGTTCCAGGGTGCGCTCTCGTAAGTTTCTTCCTTCGTCATCAACGCAATCATTAACAATCTACTAGTATCATCTCCCAGACCCTGCTCATCATGGGTGCAACCATGACTCCTTCACTCTCCCAGCTACTTCCTCCACCAGCAACAATGGACGACATCATAAACAATGTGGTCCTTGAAATGGAGCGCTACGCACATCTCGCGCCTAGCCTTCGTCTCTCCGCTGAGATCATTCGTGAGGCCGAAGGAAAGCGACAAATGTGGTTACGGACAGCAGGCCTCAAATTCGAAGTATGAGATTTCGCATCGCAGTGACCAAGAATACTCGCTACAAGACTTACTACATGCCCACTTTGATACGGACGAGATTTCCCGTCCACTACTGCCAGTTCAGAGCCGTTGCCTGTACTGCGCAACGATTTACCTTCTCCATCCGGGATGCTCCGCGTAACTGCTGTCTTGCAAGCGATCATCGCAAATCCATAAGGGCGACCATCTACACGACACAAGTGGCGCGTTTTTTCGACCCAATTGTGGGTTGAAGCACAGACCCGTAGCTTGATGCCGTCCGTTGCCGCTCTCCGCAACCTATCTGCCGTACCCACCTGGATATTTCCTGATCCTTCGCGTTAAGAACTATCCCCGGTATAGCAACAAATGAGACCACGATGGTACCGAAATTGGGGTTCCATGAAAAAAGCCGAAATTAGGAAAGAGAACTACGGCCAGCATGATGATGCACAGCCCTGATCGTGGAATCGAAGAGTGTTGACTGATAATCGAGCTGTGTTTCGATGCATACATGGTGGCGACACAGCTGACGAGCCAACGAATGGATCAGAACGATGGATTTGAAGGACGATCTGTGGCTACCGAGATGTACCCCATATGATGTCGGTCTCGGTACGGGACGGTGGCTTGAGCCGCTGCAACAGCCACCACGTTGACATTTCGATGATCACTTGATGTAACCTGCTGCATCAAGCTACGATATCTGCAAGACAACACATGTAATCAAACAAGCGTCCTAAAATCCTCCAACAACGCGTGAACCTGAATCATGAGCCACCCCGCCCACATCCATTCCTACACCTACATACATGTGCCCCTTCAAAAAAGGCAAGTCAGCCACTCGTGCGCGCGGCATGCTCAACGCCATGATTTGATAAAAGACACGCCGATGCACAAGTATTTAATATCGGATTCCTGCAGGCCGCGACCAGGATCAAGGTTAGTGTACCCTACCGCTGACAATGTACCCACACTAGCCCACACGTTTGACTTTTTTGGTTCGACTTTATCCGTGGCAACTCAACTGGCGCGCGCTCTTCGGACCTCGTCGAAAGGAAGCGGTGGAACTTTTTTCGAAGCGTCTTCTCGAAGACCACCGGAAGAAAAGACAGCAAGATATGGTTTACACGTATTATAGTAAAGTTGTTATAGGTCGCTACGGTAGGGATGGGGGTGGTTTGCAAAGGGTATGTACCGGTACCTAGGGAAGGTTCCACTGAAAGGACGATGTAAGGCGGCCTAGGGGGGTTGAGCGGATGACGATGGATGGTTATTTTACTTCCTTTTTTTGTGGCCGTTTTTCTGTTTGCTTCTTTCCAAACGGTAAACGGTCGTCATGTTTTGGTGGGTAAGGGTCCTGAGTATCTACGGTTTGTAACGGCTGCTTAGTGCTGGGAACCAACCCATGGCTTATAGTCACATTTGGCAATGAAGTAGTTGGTAAAGAGGTTCCTTTTCACAGATGACAAGTTGCAGACTCTCTCATCGTCCTAATTTGATCAGGGGGGCGTGGGATGGTCCAGTGTTTCTTGTCAGCTATTTGTAAGTACCTAGTGCAAGTACCTAGGGATGACTGCTGCCGGCAGCCTCACCGCCCTAGGCGCTGACCGTGATTGTTGGTGGACTGTCTGCCTAATACCGAGGTATTGCACCTAGCCTCGGAAAACTTATGTGCCTAGTTACTAATGGAGAATCAATGACACCCTCAATGAGTTTACCAAGTCAATTTCCCCGCACAGAGAAAACTGTGATCAGCGTAATCCCCTCACCTCAAACAGAGAACAGTGGTGTCAACTTCGTCGTCGTTCCTGATACTATATTTGAACAAGATCCTACACGCCGTATTTGCACCTTGCAACTGTTGTCATTGGTGGCGTGAGGGGGTTAGGGGTTGGGAATGACGCCACAAAGCGGGTAGACGGGGCAGTGCTCCGGAGAAAGTGTCAACCGCCAGCTTCGAATCCATTGCGCAAGCGAGGTGATGGTGGTGAAGCGAGTGCGCGATATGGAACCTTTATGCTGAATCAATGACGACGATGGATCGATCCCCTTGTTAGATGTACAGCGACGATGCTGCAGCAGGGAAGATCGAGCGGGACATGGGTTGTGGAAGGCTTCTGGAACCGTTCTGGAAGGGGGTCACGGAGAATACAGGGTGGGAGGTTTCTGCTTTGGGACGCATGTGGTGGGAGCGAGTTGGGGTGTGGGTGGAGTGGGAGTGATGCATGGCTTGTGCAGGTTGTGAACTGAGACTTGGGTTGTGAGGTATCGGTGCAGGAACGACTGATGGTGTTGATGACGGAAGCTTGTCGCTGAGCAACACCTCTTCCTGCCTCAGTTGCAGTTCGATAGTTTGGGTTCATCAACCTTTGTGTTGCAGATCGACCGGGTCCCCGCATATCCAATCCTGGGGATGATACTGCTATATCACTGTGAGTGCTATCTGTTATCAGATAGTCCCCATGGATGAGTCCACGATTCGCGTGTTCTTGGCGAGATAACACCTGGTTTCGACCATGGAGTCTATCGCTAACAATAGACACATTTTCTAACGGTTTTTAGGGTGTATGGTTGCAACCTTGCGTGCAGAATATATCCCTCGAAACGCTGTAACTGAAATTCTCCATTTCACTTCCGCCAGTCGACAATGCGCCATCCGGGATGGAGTCTGATTATTTCCTGGTAGTCACAAGCTGTAACTAAGATATAACAGGGTCCAAATACGCTTTCCCATCAGAATCTATATTGTAAGAAATATGCATATGTACTAAGGATAGTGTGCAAATTGTCCAAACCATTTTCTCTAGAGACATTTGATATGACATTCGCGCACGGCTCTTCACCTGCCTGCCACAGAATGAGAATGTATGTCTTCTGAATCGGAAAGTCAGTTTCCAAATCTAGATCATCTCTGAGGCATATTGCACTTACATATAGAACATAAGTTTCTCGCTATGCCTGATGACTTCAAGTTTACCTAGGTAGTAGAGTTAGTGTGATGTCATTTCCAAAGTTCGGTAATGATGCCAGCAGAAGAATCCATGCCGATATATCAGCCGAAGCAAACTGAGGAACCGGAATGTAATCTGATGTTTTTTTACTTTTGCATCAGCTCCAGCCAGAAGACAAGAGGAGATGATACGAAGTTGGCGGACATGATGCACGAGCCATCAGAGGTCGCGCTGCGCAGACTGTGCATCAGGTTAGCGCGACTGGATCCACTAAAATTTCTTGCAACTTCAACATTTCCAGCGCGCGCCGACTACGATCACGGTATCATCTCACACATCATGGCCGTCGACAACTCACTGGAGGCGCTTCTCGTGACACTCACTACATCGATACAATCCGCCACTGAGGCACTTCCAACCGATGACATTTTACCTCCAAAGGACGGTATTTCGTTACTGGATGTCAAGAACGAACTACTACTGTCCTATCTGCAAAACCTTGTTTTCCTCATCCTACTCAAGTTGAGATCGCGAAAAGGCGACCAGAAAGAGGCGGATCTTCACTTTCAAGATGAGGTGGTTCAAAAGCTTGTAGAGTTGAGGGTGTATCTGGAGAAGGGTGTGCGGCCACTGGAGAGTCGCCTCAAATACCAAATCGACAAGATCTTGAGAACAGCAGATGACGCTACCCGACGGAATGCTCAGGCAACTGCCAAGCCAATATCGAAGCCGAACAAGAGAAACGCAGACACAGGATCCGATTCGGACGTAAGCGATGCCGAATCAAACGGCTCCGCACAAACCGAGGAAGACGAAGACGAGATGGCTTACGGTCCCCGTCGCGCCCTGGTGACCCGTCAAAAGACCGAAGCCGCTACAGAGCGCGCACGTGAATCAGCAAAGGACGGTATTTACCGCCCGCCAAAGATTACTCCCATGGCTATGCCGACGCCCGAGGGCAGGGAAGCACGCCGTGAGCGCCGCCCAGGAAAATCCGCGACGCTGGATGAGTTCATTGCTACTGAGATGTCTTCTGCACCCATTGCCGAACCCAGCATCGGCTCCACAATCACAAACGGTGGCCGACACACCAAATCCGAGCGTGAGCGCCGCGAAGAGAACGAGAGGCGAGAGTACGAAGAAGCCAACTTTACGCGCTTGGCGCCGAAGAGCAAGAAGGAGACTGCCAAGCAGAAGGCTAGGCAGCAACGTGACGGTGGTTTTGGTGGCGAGGAGTGGAGAGGGTTGAGTTCGGGTATTGACCGAATTGAGCGGCTCACGCAGAAGAAGGGTGGTACTCTGGGAAGTCTCGAGAAAAGTCGGAAGAGGCCTGTGGGCGATGGGCCAAGGGGGTCGGGATCGGCCGCAGGAGATGCGTTTGAGAAAAGGAGAAAGGTTGTTGGAAGGTACAAGTAATGTATTGGAGTTTATTTGGGTATCTACTACCGGTACAGTGGCGACTAGGCGACCCTGAGAAATATATTTGCACTTTTACAAGTTCATGTTCACCATACACACGCCCGTGTCCGATATATGTGAATACCATCTCGAAACAACAGTGATATCTGGAGTCCAAGTGGAGATTACTGAAACTAGTTTTGAAGTCCAATTGGAGAGACGAGCACATGGTGATAAGTTGTGGCGCTCTCCATACGAGAAGATCTTACACACTAGCTTACAAGTCTTGTAGAGGTTAGTGCAGATGTCAGATTAAGACGCAAAGATGCTTATATGTGGACAGCAGGATATGTAATATCCTCCAGCGTATCCTAGTTGTTCTAAGAGGAGTGTTGTTCGTGGTTAACAAGCCTGTACATACTTCCAATCATAGTGGAAATTTGCCAAGAGCGTTCAAACGATAATATACATATTGAAGTATTCGGTCGGGTAAGATTCGGCCGATTCGGAGCAAATTTAGTCTTGAGACGGCTTCGATGGTGTTGGTTGTTCGGCGAGGCGGTTGTCACCTTTGGGCGTGGATTCAACGTGAAACTGTGCTGACCGGGGTGTCGTGCTTCCGTCGTCCCAGAACTCGACATCGCCTTCGGCGCTCAAAGAGCCCTTCTTGACGAGGTTGCCCTTTTCCCGCATCAGGTCTTCGATCGTGACGGACTTGTCGGAAAAGACCTACGTCAGGTTAGCTTGTGGGTGTGCTTGTAGCGACTGCTCGGTGTACTTTGAGATGATCGCTAATCAGATGCCTATTCTTGCAGTCCGGACATTGGATCAGCACGGTACCATGGTGGTAGCCCTGTTTGGATAGGCGGTGCGACGAGCGTGTCTTGCAGACATTGCAGGTAAAGGTGAGCTCGTAGGACGGGACTTGATCGCGTTCTAATCGCGAGTCGGGAGCATTGGGCGATGTTGGGGAGGCGGCGCTTGACTCGAACCGGGCGAAAGAGGTAATGCGGGCTCGTGCTGTAGCAATTGAAGGGCGTACGACAGCGCAGGCGCACCTTCGCGGCGTGTGAAGGAGGCGGCTTGTCGGGGTTGGAATGTGCCGCGGCGCAGTGCTTCTGGCAAAGGCGCGCAAGACAGACAATGACGACGACGAGCGCATGTCGATGTGATTGAACTGTGTCTGGATTGAGAGAGACGTGACGGATTATGTCTCGACTGGAGTATGTGCACTTTGAACGGAAGTGCAGCGGGCAAAGAATAAATCACCGAGCGCCAAGCGATGACGATGGCAGCTTCCGCTCAGTGGGGAATATGCCCGCAACCAGCCCCGGCACTTGAACCAACACTTCTCCCCCACTCGCGCTCACGGCTGTGTCTGCACTTCTTTGACAGTTCTCTTCTTGCCGCATATTATTGCTTGTTGGTAGTCTCAAACCCATATCCACCCGTGGCGACCGCGCCATTGTATTCAGCCTTTCAGTCGCCCGCTCACCTCCGCCATCGCTATCGCCAAAGGCCGACTAGAAGATTCCAATACACATCCAAGCCAAACAAGCATGATTGCAGGACGAGGAAGGCAGCGCATTCGGCCGCCAAGGAGGGTATGTTGTGCGCGCTCATCTTTACCTTCACCTCCATCTTGACGGCGTATCTGGTATTATATACGAGCCTTACCTCCGTTTCTAATCCCAACATAACCAACACGAGACTAACCATGGCGCCATCACAGGGCCTTCACGGCGACGAGGTCGATTTCGAGAACACGTGGGCTACCATCGAGGCCGCCTTTAGGGAGATACACACCAAGAACGCGTCCAAGCTATCGTACGAGGAGCTGTATCGCCACGCGTACCGTATCGTTTTGAAAAAGAAGGGCGAAAACCTTTACAACAAAGTGCACGAATTTGAGCGCAGCTGGCTGAGCAGCGAGGTTCGCGCCTCGATCCAGCAACTACTGTCACCAAACCTTCTTGTCAACACACAGGGTGTAGGCGGCACTACGGCCAATGAGCGACGTGTTGCAGGCGAGAAGTTTCTAAAGGGACTGAGGCAGGCATGGGGCGATCACCAAATCTGCACGAGCATGCTGGCAGACGTCCTCATGTACATGGTAAGACGATGATCATCCCCGTTATTCGACCAAAAGGACACAGCTAACGCGGACTGGTCCAAGGATCGTGTTTATTGTGCAGACCATAGACGGCCATCAATATACAACGCCGCCATGGTCCTGTTTCGCGACGAGATTCTGGAATCGAGAATCTCCGTGACCGACGTTCGAACCATTCTTCAGCTGCTGAACCACACCATCCTGGACCAGATCCAGATGGAACGCGACGGCGATGTCATTGACAAACAACTCATCAAGTCCTGTGTTTGGATGTTGGAAGGGCTGCATGAGGGTGACGTGGAAGCAGAAGAACAGCGGCTGTACAACACGTCTTTCGAGAAAGAGTACCTCGACACGAGTAGGCTCATCTACCGTCAAGAATCGGAGCTCCTCTTGCGCGACTCCCAAGCTGGCGCATACTGCAAACACACGCGACGCCGAATTTATGAAGAAGACGAGCGTTGTAAGCAAACACTACTGGAGAGCACTGGGCCTAAGATACAAAAGGTAGTAGAGGACGAGATGATCAAGAACCGCATCCACGAACTTATCGACATGGATAGCGGCGTCCGCTTCATGATCGACAACCACATGGTGGAAGAGCTCCAGCTGATCTACGACTTGAACGCTCGTGTAGACGACAGGAAGATGGAGCTTACCCGAGCGATACAACAACGCATCGTTGAAATGGGTTCAGACATCAACAAGGACGCCATCGCAGCATCGCAGGCGCCTGTCACAGCACCAACTTCTGACCCTGCTGACAAGGGCAAAGCCCCTGCGCAGGAGAAGAACTTGAACGCACAGACAGTCGCCGCCATCAAGTGGGTTGAGGATGTACTTTTGTTGAAGGACAAATTTGACAAGATCTGGCAATTGTCTTTCCTCGGCGATCCACTGTTGCAGCAGGCGCAGACACAGAGCTTTACCGACTTCATCAACTCACCATTGTTCCCGCGATCATCCGAGTACATCTCTCTCTTCATTGATGAAAACATGAAGAAGGGAATCAAGGGCAAAACGGAGACAGAGATTGATGCTGTCCTGGAAAAGGCCATCGTCTTACTCCGATATGTCCAAGACAAGGACCTCTTGCAGCGCTATTACAAGAAGCATCTTTGCCGTCGCTTGTTAATGAACAAGTCGATCAGCAACGAGGTAGAGAAGCAGATGATTTCTAAGATGAAGATCGAGCTTGGGAATAACTTCACGCTGAAGCTGGAGGCCATGTTCAAGGACATGACTCTTTCAGAAGAGTTCACAGCTGGTTACAAGAAACATGTCGAGGGCCTGGGTGAGAAAGATCCAAATCGTATTGAGCTATCCATCAACGTGCTCACCAGTGGGACATGGCCCCTCGAGACCATGGGTGGAGTGGCCGCCGGCAAGGAAGATAAGCGACCAGAATGCATCTACCCTGCTGCCGTGGAGAAACTGAAGAGCGGGTTCAAGAATTTTTACGACAAACGGCACACGGGACGACAGCTTCGCTGGCTCGCCAACATGGGTTCCGCCGATATCAAGGCCGTATTCCCCAAGGTGCCGCAAAAGGACGGATCGTTCAAGGAGCGCCGTCATGATCTCAACGTTTCAACGTACGGCATGATCATTCTTCTTCTATTCAACGACGTCGGTGAAGGTGAACACCTGACTTTCGAGGAGATCCAAGCCCGGACCAAGATCCCGCCCACTGATCTCATCAGGAATCTGCAGTCGCTCGCTGTGGCGCCCAAGACGCGTATATTGATAAAAGAGCCCATGTCCAAGGATGTGAAGCCCAGCGACCGCTTCTTTTTCAATGAGGGCTTCCAGGGCAAATTCATCAAGATCAAGGTTGGTGTCGTTAGTGGCGGCAATAAAGTTGAGAGCGATCGTGAGCGACGAGAGACGGAGAAGAAGAACGATGACTCGCGATGCTTCTGTATTGAGGCAGCAATTGTGCGAATCATGAAGTACGTCTATGATTTCTCATGAAAGGGGCCAAGTGCTAACACATGACAGGCAACGCAAACAACTATCGCACCAACAGCTCATGTCGGAAACCATCACTCAACTCGCCGGACAGTTCAAGCCCGAGGTGGCCATGGTCAAGAAGCGTATTGAATCGCTTCTTGAGCGCGAATACATTGAGCGCATTGAGCGCACCGAAACTGAACAGACGGATTCATACCGATACCTAGCGTAGTAGAGAAGCTGGCCGTGTTCTTTCGTATGGCGTTTTAGGCGAGCTTTGGGTTTTCAGCACTGGTGTGAAATAGCATCGCTGAGTGCATAGCATTGGCGTCTCTGGGTGAAGGGTATGGGCGTCATAAAGGGTCCATGTAGATAGCCGAGGGGCAATCTAAGGGTTTCTGTTCTAGCACTTCCAAACACCGAGGAAATGGTGGTTCTTTCAGCTCCCGTGGTACGTCTATGCATCAACGGGTACACTAGAAGCCTCGAGCGCGTCATGTCGGAGTTGGTTGGAGATGGGTGGGTGATGACGACGCCCAAGCTCAGCTGTCATGATCGGCGGCCTTGGCAGCCCATTCGCACAAACTACGCAACCCCACCTTTCTACCCTGAGCCAACACTAGCACTTTCCAAATCGTGGCTAGAACACCGCACAAGTACCTCAACCCCCACATGCCCGACCGCACAAACCGCGCACACCAATCAGCAAACGCTGACCATTGAATATTATCGGTAAGACGCCGGCCCAAACTGTCAAGGTAGCCAGTAGTATAGCTTCCGTCGACACTTCTCGAACGACATCATGGCGACGTGAGAGGGGCAAACGCCCGATCCGCATATGCAGAATGCCGCCACTGAGGGTGTGCAAGTCGGAGCTACGACATTTTCGTCCGCACAAGTCGCGCGTAGTAGATATATAAGACCATCCGCTATCCGTCTTCTCTTCTCTCATCCACCACATTGCAACCGATCAAGTCTTACAATCCAACCTTCAAACACCAACCTCAACCACTCAAACCAAACCACCCCTACCAACTATCAAAATGGGTAACTGCGGCTGCGCTCAAGGCCAATGCAACTGCGGCACCACCTGCAACTGCGATGGCTGCCCTGTACGTCAATAGTCCTTTTTTCGTCTTGGAGTCGCTTTGTACTAACTGTTTTGTAGGCCAAGTAAGCCACTCACTTGTGCTTTACGAAGTGATGGCGGTCTCGATGGACGTTAAACGGTCAGCTACATCTTCTCATCCCTCTTTGCCGACTGCCTCGCTAATACCTTGTAGATGATATCCCTGTATTTTCATACTGAATTACACATCCCTACTGGGGTTGTAACACACTGAACTACATGTTTCCGTGGGAGGCGTTGGATAAATGGGTCATGGAGGGATCACGGCAACACCTTCGAGATGTGTGAGGAGGAATTCTGACGACTAAGAAGGGTAACTACCATACATGATTCAATCAAGCTTCCCATAACCTGACACTGATTACTGCCTTGTGCTGTGAAGTGATACCTCTTGAGTTACACACTACCCGTTCTCTGCCATTCCCCATGCTCTACCCACAGCACACGGTAACATTCTCCTGCATACGGTCCTCACCATTATTCCCAACCTTGAAGCTCTCCCACCCAAAAATGAAATTCCCAATATACACACCTAGAAAGATGCAAAGGATAAAGTACCCATTATAGTACATTGCCAGCAACATGACAATATACGCTACCGCAAACTGGCATGTATGCAACAGCGTCCTGATCGCCTGTTGCACCAGACTCGGTCTGTATACCTCCGCTGTCGTCGTCATCCTTGAATTCTTAGTCCTATCCGAAGATGCGTGAACCATCGTCTCCCCGGCCCCATCACTGTTCTTCTTATGCTGAGCCACAATGAAACCATCATATTCTTTGCCTGCGTGACGAAGGAACTCGATCAAGATAGCGAGAAGCACGATACCGACGCAGGAAATGCCGAACGTGGTGGTCGAGTGGATATGCCAGCTTGAAGACATGAAACATGTGTCTAACACGTTCCAGTTCCAGAGCATCTGTGGAAGTTGTTAGATTGGGGATGGGTAATGGTAATGGGTGAGAGAGGGGCTTACGCTGATTTTGCAGCCGTTGCCCATGTTCATGCTGTGTGCAGCGGGCATTGCTGTATCCATGATCTTGGCTGGATGTGGTGTTGTTGTTTGGTAAAAGAGGAGTCGTTCTTCTTGCGCTGAGGTTATTGAAACCTTCAGATGAGGCGAGGTGGGTGATTGAGCAAGTTTTGGGGACGTTTGCGAATGCGGATGTGAATTGTACTGACGTGGAGGGTGATAACGTCTTCTGATGAACGTTTGTTTGTTTGAGAATGTTTTGGATGTAGTAGAAGTGTACGAAGTCTGTCGAGACAGCCTAGGAAAGAGGTATCTCCTATCAAAGATATACTTTTCGCTGCCTTGTTATTCTCGTCGTGCGAAGCTGTACCATGGTACTGTCCAGAAGCGACCCAAAACTCCTGCTCCTAAGAGAAAATATATGATAGTCAAAAATTAACCCCGATCCGAGATGGAATGCCGCCCCCAACCATGGAACGAGGCAGGGACGTTACGCAGATGATATGTGGGTAACTACTTGAGTGAACCACTGCAGGAGGATGCATCATCGACCCACTGAACCATCAAACATCCCGCTTCTTGATGCATGACAATTATCACGGCTACAAGATATACTCCTATAGCGCAGAACTGCACGTTTGCTTGCAGTTAGATATTGCACTCCCGCCGAGTTAGGTTTTAGAACACGACAGCTGCGATTAGAGTTGCGTCGAAGTTTATGTGCTTCGGAAGGGTGCATAGTTTATTACACCAAATTACGATGCGATTACAGCTGCATAGATAGTTGCATTTTGTTCATCGGCAGTGGCGGTTGCGGTGTTACGAACTATTCCACAACATGTCGATCCACGCATGCCCGGAAATTTTGCTCACAGCTCGGGTTACATACATGCTGTGCAACAATGTCCATGTGGGCTGATGGAATGATATTTAGGGTAAAAGATCATGGAAAAGGCTCTCTGAGGTACTAGATGAGCGATGGCTATGATGCTCAATACGTCAAGGATGATGGCCTATCATGGTGTGATTAGGTATGTGTCTGCCGTCTAAACTGCTGCGTTGTTATCTGTCGCATATGGTAGCGAGCACATGAGAAAGTTTGTGCTGAGCTGGATTTATGTCGCTTACCATATGGAGGGAAGCGGGGGTCGATGTTGCCAAGAGAGTCGTGAATGCGTTTGGTCTTGGAGATAATTTGGATCAACGTGTTACGGGTTTTACATCGGGATTGGTACATGAGCACTTGGCGTAGATAGTGTTGAAAGTTGCAGTTGTTCATCATGCTTTCCTTCCTTTCAGCACTATTGTAGTAGTTGTCGCGGTCGCCTTTGGCGCCTCCTTCTTTGGGGTTTGCCACACCACCTTGCAACTTCCCCAAGAACATTTCCACAGTTCAATTCTTACTCTGCCTTCTACCATTGATGAAAAATGTTAACAAAGCAGGGCTATACAACTGGAATCTAAGAGAACTTCTAGTGAAATACGGTGCAGCGAAATTGTTCTGCAATGACCAATGGAGCAGAGTAGTGGCAAAAGCTGCTCGTGTCACGGGGTATCTGCAGAAACGAAGATACCTAAGCCAAGTCTGGAAATCAGGTCAAGATTCCGCACACTATGTTAGCTGAGTACGCAAGTGAGGACATCATCGTTGCCCAGGGCGAGAAGTGGAGACTCTACCAGCGGGCCATCAAGCCTGTCCACAAGCCGATCAAGACTCTGAGATGACACATAGATTGACTAAAGTCCTACTGAGAATTTTCGGTCTTAATTACCTCTGAGAAGACATGACAAAGCTCTAGGGATCTTACAGGGAGCATGACAAAGCTCTAGGGATCTTACAGGGAGCATGACAAAGCTCTAGGGATCTTACAGGGAGCATGACAAAGCTCTAGGGATCTTACAGGGAGCATGACAAAGCTCTAGGGATCTTACAGGGATATTCCTGAGTAATTCGAGTCATGTCGTCGGTAGCGGTGTCTTAGTATACTCTTTGTCTCACCGATACACACTCGCCAAACCTTCAGAAGTTCTATTCAACCCGAGTTTCCAGATCGTAAAGAAAACGGATGCCCCACTTCATATTCTCCGATTGAAGAACAGGCCCGTCATTTTCAACTCTATTATCTTAAACTTCCCCTTCCTCCACTATCTGCCACTGAAGATTCTGAAGCTCGGTCGCGGGCTCAAGGACTGAATCCGCAACACACTTCATACCGGCATTAACAAGAAACATTCCAAAGACCTCTGTAATTAAAATTACAGCAAGATCCTTATTTGAAGATTCTTCGGATCCCACCGCTTGGGCTTACTCAGCGACAAGGATTTATCCGACAATCTCATCGGCACCATTCTCGCGGGCTATGAGAGCCCTCAGCACGCAATTCTGTTGCTGATGGATCTTCCTAGCACGTGCGCCCTCGGTAACAAGAAGCCGGTGATTAAAAGGTTTCCACCTCTTTCCCTATGAACGTGCCCGCAGCTTCCGAGCCCTCGGATACTAACCTCGCTACCTAGGTAACATTTCACTTCTTACCTCGGTATCATAAGAATTGTTAAGGATGTTTCTCGCAATTTTGCAGGTGGTCAACCGACGCACGAGCACGTGGGTCATCTTCGGTAAAGCCATACATATCCATGTGGGCTACGATGCATACGCCACCAACCGCAACACCGACTTCTGAGGAAACGATGCCGAGAAGCTTAAGCCTTAAGGGTGGGGCCTCGTACCAAGAAAGTGATTGTTTGTAACGTCGTACTAATGCGAGGGGGCCTTTTATTAACTTTTATGGTGACAAATGAGCATGCCTGGAACAGAATAACGTGAGGGGTTGCAAGCGGAGAAGCGATGAATAATGAAATGGTAAGATGGCACCCGCCGGTCCGTTGCATCCCAGGAAATTGAAGTTGAGGGTTGAGGAGGTAGTTGCGGTGTAGCGAGCGATACCCGAACTTCAGATGTGACTAGGACTGTACAGGAAAATGCCGGAATCTCCTTCGAAACTTTAATCCTAATTCCATCTTGAAATGGTTTTTCTCAAGATCTCGATCTCACATCCTAGTCAGCGCTTCTATCCGCCCGGTCTCTACATTCACCACAACATACGGAATTGAACCGTATCATCAGGAGCAAATCCACAACAGGTCGAAATTACCAACCACTCTTTGGGCTGGTCTTTTCGATTTGCAATTCAATACCGCGATCAACGGCCTGAAAGCTCACTCGCAAACAATACGGAATTTAACGCATCCGTTGAACCTTGCAGACGCTAGGATGCATGTAAGATCTCTTGTCTTGGCAAAGTACCCTTAAAGATCTCCGCGGAAGATCGCACGCGTAAGGCAGGTATCTTTCTTAGATTTGTGGGTATTGTTCTCCGCACATGAGTTGATGCCCAAGACTTCCCCAAGCCTCTGCTTTTGGGGAAACCTCCCCCGACCGTTACGTTAGTGAAAGCGTGGCAAATGCTCCCTCGGAGTCGGCTATCAGTATCCAGCCTCTTGCTTTGATGTCAACTTGAAAGGCGTCTTCGCACACCTCTTCACTCCCACCTTTTCTCACCGCATCCATTGTCTTTGTCTGCCATGCCATACACCGCCGCGGACAAACCTCGCAGGAATGACAGTCCATCTGAGTAATCAAGCATGCTAAACAACATATTAATATAGAGCATGGATTCCCCATCGTCCAAAACCGGTTTATTGGAAACCACTGTACTCGAAGCAAGAATACACCAGTTTCACTAGCGCCCCAAGGTCCGCAAATCGACTACGTGTCATCGGTTGGTTCAAAGGAACTCTTCCAAACTGATCCCAGCTGACAATCCCTTCGGTGGCTTGAATAGCGTGTTGCTTGGCCCTGCACACGGGTGCGTACATCGTATTCGGGTGTGTGTATACATCCGCCTGATAAGTGCTGACAGCACCCAGGATGTCTCCATGGTACTATTACCTGTACCCGAACCCGAGCTAATAAGACCAAGGGGCGTTCATGCTACTTAAAGCCAAAAAGCCGTGTCTCAGACAGGCTCGGAGGATTTTCCGGTCCTCTTAACGTAAGCTCGGCACGTCGGACATTGAGCGATGCGGAAGCATGCTTCCTTCTACACATCACTGGGCGTGAGCTCTCGAACCAGGGAGTTACACCACCCCGCACGAATGAATGGCCAGTCGTATATAGACATTGTGCACAGACCGGAGTAGTCGGGATGTCGTATAGTAAGCAGCTTACCTTCTTCCTTCACGTTTGATAAAAGTAGTTTGACTGTCACACCGCATCGTTGATCGTTCTCCGTCATGCTTTCAGCGATTGATACTGAGAAAGCTCAGCACGAAAAGGAGTGCGATTTGAACATCGACTCTGACGAATACCCTTCGCTACCGTTATCCGAAATCGATGTTTCACCACCACCGCCCCCGTATTCGGCTTTCTCGGTGAATCGTCAAAGGTTCATTCTTATTGTTGTTACAGCAGCAGGCTTCTTTGGACCTCTTTGCGGAGCGATTTACTTGCCTTCTCTAAAACTGTTCCAAAGGGTCTTTGACGCATCCGAATCCGTGATCAATGGCACTGTTTCAATGTACATGGTCGTCTTCGCAATTGCAGTATGTTTTCTGACCAAATCCAATATGGGTTATCTATTCTAACCTCCAGTAGCCTCTCTTTGGTGCGACAGCTTCTGATATCGGTGGGAGAAAAACAGTGTACATGGTCGGACTGGGCAGTTTCATCATCGCCAACACATTGCTTGCAGTGCTGCCAGCCCATCTCGCGTCCCTGTACTTTCTCCGTGTTTTCCAGGCTTTTGGCTCTTGTATAGTCTTCTCAGTCGGGGCTGGTACAATCGCTGATATTACAGAGCCTGCCAATCGCGCTTCAGCCCTATCGTGGTTTCTCATGGGACCCCAGCTCGGTCCTCTTCTCGGTCCGTTCATCGGCGGCCAGTTTGCTACTGCCACTAGGTGGAGATGGATATTCGGATTCCTCTCACTCGCTAGCGTCCCGGTGTACTTGGCCATAATTTTTTGTGTGCCGGAAACTTTACGATCTCTGGTCGGTAATGGCACTGCTCTTGCGAACCAACCTTGGTTTTCGATACCAAGCTTCCGAACTAAACCTTGTACCGACTCGAAAATCCCAAAAGGTCCTCGGCCATCGCTGCTGGAGTTCGGACGCCTCCTCAAATATCCTCCTCAATTGATAGTCTCTTTCAACGGAGCCGTCCAGTTTGCAGGCGTTTATGGCATGTATATTTCCTTCCCGACGATCTGGGAAGACGGATATCATTGGACCAGTGCAGAGGTCGGCTATGGATACCTATGCCCTGGTATTGCAATGTTTGTCACCGCTATTCCTGTGGGCTGGCTTTCCGATCATATGAGGAAAAAAGCTCTCGCCAAAAGCCCGGATGGAAAGGTCGCACCTGAAAGAAGAGTCTTGATCCAGATACCAGGTCTACTTATTGCCGCTGCCGGCAAAATTATGTTTGGTTGGTTCACACAGAAACACGTACATCCAGCCGCCGGGCTTTTCGGCTCGTTCTTAGCAGGAGTCGGCGCTTCCATGGTCTCTGTGGTGACCGCTTCTTTCCAAACAGAATGCGACCCGACTCAGGCTGCTAGTGCGGTTGCTTTGGGCGCGTTCCTCCGCAACTTTGCTGCAGCGATTTGTGCAGCCATCATGGCTAGCATTTTAAAAGGCATAGGCTGGGGGTGGACCTTTACTGGCCTCGGACTCCTGGACATTGCCTGTATACCGGGCGTTGTGCTTGTTATGGTCCGGGGGGCGAAGTTTCGCGAAGCATGGATGCTAAAGAAGCAGCAAACCAAACCTGCGACTTAGTGAAAGAGACAAAATCTGTGCTCAAAGCGCCTCGCAATTTTGCCGAGGATACCGACTTTACCTTAAGAGATGGAGTTGATGTGGTGGAGTGCGCGAGATGGCGCATCGCCGCGGAAGTTACTGGAAAAGAGGGGCCGGCATGGCGACTTCCCGTTCTCCAACGAATTTGTCAGCAACACCATCCACCTAAAACTACATAACGCGCATTCGAAATTTTCGAACAAGAGCACGTGATACAGTGGATATAAGGACAAGCATCCCCTGACAATGACATCACTTCAACAGCAAAGTTGTTTTGGCAATTCCTCACCGTGGCGTTCCGAGCAAGCCTACGCAAGATGACCAACTTCCAGGTCAACATCGTCAGCGATACCGTGTGCCGTAGGTCTCTCGTGTTCGTTTATTAGATTATATAATAACAATGACACAGCATGGTGCTATGTGGGTAAAAAGCGTCTGGAGAAGGGCATCGCATCCTACAAAGAGAAACACCCAGGCTCAAACGATACCTTCTCCACCAACTGGTTCCCCTTCTACCTAAATCCCGAAGCGCGCCAGAGCGTGGACAAGCAGCAAGCATATGAGTCGAAGTTTGGAAAAGAGCGAGTGAGAATGATGCAAGAGCGCCTGAGTCAAATTGGCAGAGAGGAAGGCATCAACTTTAAATACGGCGGCAAGACTGGAAACACACGCGACTCCCACCGACTTGTGCAGCTTGGAAAGACAAAGGGCCCACAAATGCAGACACGTGTCATTGAGGAACTTTTTGCCGCTTACTTTGAGAACGAGAAAGATATAATGAGCCAAGACATTTTGATCGAGGCAGGTGTTAAGGCTGGCCTGGAAGAAAAAGAAGTTGAAGAGTGGCTGAAGAGTGGCAAGGGAGGCCCAGAGGTGGATCAGGAGGTTGAACAAGCGCGCAGAAACGGTATTTCTGGAGTCCCTAATTTTGAGATCAATGGCCAGTACGAGGTTGGAGGCGCGCAAGAGCCAGCTGCTTTTGTTCAGCTATTTGAGCGGTTGAAGAGGCAGGAGGGTAATCTTTGAGACTGCCAAGGTTCCTGATATTATCTAATGAACTCGCATACTCGTAGGAATATCAAACTTCTGAATGATATCACGACTTATTTGCATTACGATAGCACTTTTGTTTCCGCTATACAGATGGGCAGCAGCAGCACCAATCAAATTTGTATGAACACACCGAGTTGAAACAAGATCTCGCTACCGAACTCCCACACTTTTCGACGAAGAGCGCACTTCTGTTACACAAAGATCCCGTCTTCCACACTCGAGATCAGATCGCCGAATGCCGATTGATGAATCCACAGATCTCTTGCTTAGAAGGATTTTAGGCTGCGATCAGGATGCATGCAAGGAGGTCAAGTCATATTAGCCTAGGCGCAGAGTCTGTGGGTCCATGAAGGGTTGTCGTTGTCCTTGTGATTGTGAGTTCAGTAAGGGATTTTCTATAAATGTGGGTTTATGAAGGGTTGTCCTTGTGATTGTGAGTTCAGTAAGGGGTTCCCTATGAGTGTGGGTTCATTAAGGGTTGTCCCTGTTATCATGGGCTTCATTAAGGGGTCATTAAGGGTTGTCCCTATCATTGTAGGTTCATCAAGGGTTGTCCCTATCGTTGTGGCTGTGTATAGTTTCCGTGTAGACTCTTGAGTTGAAGATCATCCCAGATACGGCCAAGTCTGAGCAGGATTATGGGAGCGGAAAAAGAGGAATCACCGTTAATACCGGCGGGGATACCAATCGGATAATAGCTTGTCGCTTCTTCGATACCCATATAGACATTAGTGGCACGTTAGGTTCTAAGCCGTTCTACTCATTCTATAAGCGAAGAGACGCATGAGGTATAAGCCACTGCATTTGCCCAGAACACACGGTTCAAACCATCTTTTATCGTTTTCTTTCTACAATCTTTGTTCTGAAATTGCAGCATGCAGCTACTCATCGCCTTTGTTTTAGGCAGCTTCACCATCGCTGTGATTTGGAAGTCAATTTTTTCCAAATTCACACAGCTCAGGCTACGACAAAAAACCGTCTCTAATAAAAGACACGGAAAGATCGAAGCAATCAAGGCCCTGACTGAACATCATGAAGTGGCAGAGCTGTTAAGTGATCTTATCCAGAAAGATGGCGCAGGATCATGGCCCCCAAATACGAATCACGTACATGCTACCTGGCCTTCGCCTCTCCGAGCGTACAAGGAGATCTATCTCGAACTCGCGCCACTCCTACCCCAAGAAGAGCCTCCCCTTGATGATAAAGTAAACGTCAAACTCATATCAGAGTTCCGCGAACGATTCCGCGAGTTACTTCGTGAACGGGTCAATCTGGTAGAAGTAAAGAAGGTAAGAGTTCCGGAAATAGTCGTAGCATCGAAGTGCTAGACTGACAATTAACAGCTTCTGGAAGCAGCCGACGCCGGCCGCTGGGTCGATTTTCCCCGAGATGTATACAATGCCTTCTATTGTTGCGTCGCCTCGAGTAGACATGCATATAGATGGGCTACCATTCCCGTTGTAAAAGTAGCACAACTTGAGAAGGAAATTAAGTTACCCATTGAGTTGGTCGAGCCATGGCAATCGTTACAGCGTCATTTTGGCTGTCCATCAGATGCCGGCAATGTTAGTAGGTAAGCCCGCTCTTCCTCATCAACACAGACTAACATTATCTGTTAGCATGTAATCAGCTTCTCAACTTCGACAAGGCAGGCACTCATATACATAAGATCAACACTGGTATGGCACCACAGGTTCTATCAGGCGAAGTGGCCTTTTCACAGATCTTCTATGATATGGAAAGGCTCAGCTTACCTGTATATCACGATATGGTGTATGCCATCATCGCAATGAATCAAGGCGACACAGCTGCATGCGCCGGACATGTTGCTAGTATCACTTCTCAGATGCAAGGCGTCATAGGTCCTTACATGATCAACATGCACGACAAGATCATCGCACAGTCCATATGGATGTCCAAGATTCAGGGCTTCTTTGCGTGGAACGCTGGAAAGCAAAATACAGAGACTGATGAGTGGGAAAAGTATGACGGGCTAAGCGGTAATCAAATGCTGTTGTTCCAGGCTATGGATGCATTTCTAGGCATCGAACAGTATCTCTCCGATCGAGAACTGGAGTTGAGTGTACCAAGAAGACAGAGGGAGCTATGCCATGCGTTGAGAAGGCATTCCTTTAGAGGAAGTCTATATAAGATGGAGGACGATGGTTATGTGGCTGAGATCTTGCGTAGTTTTGACATGATTCTGAAGCAACTAAGGGTAAGCTCTTCTCCTATGTTTTTAGCAGGTTGTCGCCGACGAATGCTAATGAACTGTTATAGTTGTTTCGTGCAGCCCACCGGACACGGTCAAAGGTCTATCTTTCACAGCCTGCACCAGAGAGACTACCTATGACGGCCGGAATGTCACTACTAAAACCAAGTATCGACGAGAGTATTGAATTCCTTGACGTTTTCATGGTACGCCGGCTAGGTGAAACGATTTGAGATTATACGCGTCCATAGACACGACCACCCAAATAATGAGCAGGTAGTAGGAAGCCGATGCTGTAGTCTCTCATCCTGTTGCGTTCTTACAGTAGTGACGTGCATTGTTCTAGCCTGTAACCAACCTAGTCGCCCGCCTTTCCCCACCACGCTAACACGGAGACCCACCCACCGAGAGTAACACCCCTCTTCTGGTCATGGCGCCTCAGCTCGTAAATGGAAGTTCATTGAGTAACATCCTGACAACCTCCACATGTTAGGCCTGATTCTTACTTCCGGAATGCCCGCCAGACCGTATCCTCCCATGTGTGGACGGATGATCTCCGGTGTAATGGGCATGGTCGTATCTTCGGGTTGTTTTTCCTCCGCATATGATGTCAATAATGGGTGCTCTGGTAGTACTCATAACAGTAGTGTCGGACCGTAGTCTCGGGTTGTGCGGATGGTATATAGGCTACAGTAACAATCTTTCGTTGATATTTTGATTCAGTCATACTGTTTCTTCAAGTTGATGAGATGAAATCGTCTTTGCAACTTCTGTGGGCTTCGCTGGCGGCGGGCTCTGTATTGCCAAGAGGAGGATACAGTCGGAATGAAAATGCAATTGGAGAGGATGACTTTGTTCACGTCAAAGGATTGAGGTTGTATGACAGTAGTGGATTGCACTACATGACCGGTAAACCACCTTTTCCCCTCGAGACTTCATACACTGATAAGCTTCGAGGAATGAACTACTGGGCATGTATGAATCTTGCAGCCGGACCATCAGCAGGCGGCGACTATGCTCGTTTAGTTACGGAACTCGACCAGATGGCTGCCAAAGGCATAAATCACTTAAGAATTATGGCTGCTTCAGAGGGCGCACCAACACCGCAACCTTTCCGGATGAACCCACCGCTTATGCAAGCACCCGGCCAGTACAACGAGGAAGTTTTCCAAGGTCTTGACATTTGTCTTGCCGAGATGTCGAAGCGTGGCATGCGTGCAACCATGACGCTCAACAACGAGTGGCAATGGAGTGGTGGTTTTGCACAGTATGTGTCGTGGGCGATGAACAACACTCAAATCCCGTATCCGCCAAGTTGGAATTTGACAGCGTCGCCACAACGCGAGACGCCTGGTACAGGGTGGGGAAATTACACAGTAGAGGGGGTTAATGCTGCCTCGTACGGCGCATTCACTGCGTTTGCTAACCTCATCTACAACAACACGCAAGCAGAGCAATGGTACAAGGACCACATCAAGACAGTCATTAACCGACGCAACACAGTCACCGGACGTCTGTACAACGAGGACCCAACAATCATGACATGGCAACTAGCCAATGAACCACAACCATCCGACCAACTCGGCTACACAGGCCCCTACAGCATCTTCCTCAAGCCCAACCCAGATGACCTGCTCTTCCCTTGGGTCGACCGTATATCCACCTACATTCGCACCATGGCACCCAAACAGCTCATCAATGTCGGCCTCGAAAGTAAGCAAGGCGAATACTACTTCAAGCGCGTGCACGGCTTCACAACCGTCGACTACGCCACCACCCACTGCTGGGTACAAAATTGGGGCGTATACGACATGTACAACGCCACCGATGCCAACCTGAAAGCCTCCCAAGATTTCGCCCGCGACTTCATGCACAACTCGAGTCGCTGGGCCATGGATATCGGTAAACCGGTGTTCTTAGAGGAATTCGGCATGGCGCGTGATAACTGGGTGAATGCGGAGAAAGAGTACCCGTATCTTAGTAGTGCTAGTACGACGCACAAGGATGCGTATTTTACGACTATTATCGGGGCTGTTATGGATGAGTTTAGGGACGGGGGCGCGTACGTTGGTACATCGCCATGGGCTTATGGTGGGATTTATCGCCCGGAGACCCAGAGGGCGAATAGGTTTGGGATGGTTTGGGCGGGAGATCCGCCGCATGAGAGTCCGGGATGGTATGCCACATTTTTTTTGCAAGTGAGTGTGAATGGGGGCTAACGGGTGTGCAGGTACGACTTGTACGATGATGACCATGCTATGGATATTGTTGCGGCGCAGCAGAAGATGATTGCGCAGTGGATCGAGAAAGAGGCTAATAGCACGGAGTGTTAAGACTGGTGATATAGTTAGCGAATAGCAGTAATTTATATAAACAAACATGTGTCGTCAATCAAGCTCTCGTGAAAAGTATGACACGGCAATTTCTTCCACGCTATGTGTATGCTCTGACAAGATTTGTAAATCACGTTGATATCGTACAAGCAAAGACTACAAGAACCTCGCCGGTGAACTCTTCTTCAGCACCAATGGATGCCTGTGCACACTAGGCATCAGGCCCAGGCCAACCGCCCTTCGTATTGCCTTTGCAATCTTTCGCTGGTTCTTTGGTCGTAGACCAGTGTCTTTGGAGTGCTTTATCCGGCCCATTTCGGTCATGTATTCAGACATCATTGTGAAGTTCTGCCCGTCGGTCAGTTTAAATGTGCTCTCGCCCATATAGCGTCCACGTGATACACGCTTCCTCGACGTACCTTGTATTCCAGAACCGGATTGATACCTAGGATATCAAAAGCATCTTCCTGTGGCTTCATGCGCCCCTGCTTCCACTTCTTCTGCTCAATACCGCTCAGATCATGTGGCGCATACACATCACCCGGTTGCCACTTGCGATATATCTGTCGCTGGTACTGTGCTAGACGTTCTGACTCGGCCCACTCGCGTGATGGGGTTGTGGAGGCGCGGTCGAGACCTACGTCACGGGCGAAGCGCATGGTGGAAGAATCGCCATTTTGTTGGGTGGCAGGAGGAGGAGAGAGGGGAATTGAGGGATGCTGGGCGGCGTCGCTCTTTCTGAGAAGAGAGAGGAGGCTGTCATCTGCGGAAGTGTCAATTGCATCTGTCCATGGACCTTTTCCGAAATGGATGCGCACTTTTCTTTTGCGGTCCCGAGGAGAAGCAGCGCGTGCATATCCTGCCCGCAAAAAGCGAGGGTCTAATAGGTAACCGCATTACTGACATGTTGGCAGGCGCGATGTGGGTGTTGTCGTCGCTATAGTGGTGACTTTTCGAGATGCGGGCCTCGGAGGTCGGAGGCTATCTTTCTTAGCGCAATTTGATTTCACCAGCTTCCTCAGCTACCCCCCTCACTGTTCGCCGTCGACACTTTGTAACGTTTTCGTCTCGTCTTCTTCGTGTACATATTCCTGTCGCCTACTTCTCTGCTTCATGGCGTTTATTTTCGCATAAATACCCATTTACGACCGCGCGCCAATTGCACCTCGAACCTACGTCACATTACAATTTTGCCCTGCAGTCATTGCAGCCATCGCAATGCCCTCACATTTGACACGAGTCGTATTCCGCAGAATCATCGCCAATGAGCCTCTGCTATATCGGGGATGTCGCTACCGAGCCCTTCGACCGCATATTGCCACCCAGCATGGCGCTCTCCCACTGTCCAGGATGCAGCGACGGACCTTCTTTGGCAATCTCTTCAAACAACAGCGAAAACTCCGACCAGCCGAGGTACCCGCTGGACTTCAGAAGATGTCTGAGGTTCTACAAGCAAAAGCGAATGATACACGACCACCGAAACCCACCGAAATTGCTGATGCAATCAAAGACTTCTTCGCGCAAAGAAAGGGCACATTTGAGGACTTCCACATAGGGAGCGCGTATGGTGCACTCTTATACCTGCAGGAAAACCCAAAGGAGGATGGTCAGCCTTGGTTCAGTATGAAGGACCTCAAGGGCATCTTGGAAAAATTGTTGGCCGCGGGACATCAACCCAAGGTCCTTGGGGAGTGGCATCTGGCATTTGGTCGACTTCTGATCGAGGAACTCGCCAAACTTGAAGTCCAGTACAACGAGCAAGATGATTTGTCCAAGAAAGAAATTCCGTTCGCTACTTATATCAAATCGAAACAAGTTCGACTGCTGTCGTACTTTGGCGCCACTGCAGAGGCGAGGGAGGTTGCAGCAAGCGGGTTCAAATACGACGCGAAATCATCCCGCTACATGAGGGAACTCGTTTCCAAAGCGTGGAGAAATGTACTCATGGGAAATATCCGGGAGAGTAATCTAGATGAGATATCAAAGACTATGGATGCATCTCAAGCCGTCTCGGTTCCCCTGACTACGACTATGCAAAAAGAACTCGTCTCAGTTTACGCCGAGAATAATCACCTGGATAGCGCAAAGTTCTGGTATTCCCAGCCTGTTGTCAATGCTAGAGGCACAGCAGTTAAGCAACCCCTGGGAACCACAAGCGCTGCATTGTTGAAGGCTTGCGCCTCGGCAGGCGATCTGACCTTTGGTCAGCAAGTCGTAGCCACCATGCTCAAGGATGAAGCGCCGTCTAAAGAAACCTGGGATGCGACACTACTCTGGTCTGTGGCTATCGGCAAAGGCCCAGATGAAGTCAATCGTATGATTGACGTTTTGATTCGCCGGAACGATGAGGCGCGGCGGAAAGACCCCAAAGTTGAATTGATTCGTCCGGACACTCAGACCATCAATGCATTGGTGGAGCATTGCATGTCAAAGCAAGACCCATACGCGGCTGAACGCTATATAGTCTTGGGCGAGAAGCGTGGAATCCTGCCTGATGAGACCACCTACACCATGCAGATGCAGTATCGTATCTCAGTGGGGGATCTTGATGGTGCCAGAGCTGCTTACTTTAATCTTCAGGGTAGCTTCTCTGGCGATGAGCGAAGCGTCGCAGCCATCAATCTGCTGATACAGGCTCTCTTGCTCCTCAAAACCAAACACGTCTTTGACGAGTTGATGGCCATGGTAGACGACCTACATGAGGCGCAAGGCCAATTTCGCCCCCCGAAACCGTCGCAGCGCTTACCCTACTGCATCTTCGCAGGGGTGAGGTCCCTGACGCCATGGATCTCCTTCAGATACACGCGCATCAGTACTCGCCAGCTCAGCGGAGAATTATCCAAAAGACACTTTTGACCTTCATACTTGACGGTGAAACCAGTACATCAGATGCGTGGGATGGGTACCAGATGCTACGAAATGTGTTTGCGGAAACGCCACGAGAAGAGCGTATACTCATCATGAAGGAGTTTTTTGCCAGAAATCGATCAGATATGGCTTGCCACGTCTTCTTCCATATGCGCAACCATGTCAGTCCTGCGCACAACGCAAACAAAGACGTCTACGTCGCAGCTTTCGTTGGGTTTGCTCGCTGCGCAGACGCCGAGTCTCTCGAGTTGGCGCACAACCAACTGAAACTGGACCTGAATGTGGACATGGATACTAAACTGCGCAACTCTTTGATGCTTGCCTATGCTGCCACTGGAGAAAACAGAAAGGCGCTCCGCTTCTGGAGAGACATTTGCGAATCCAAAGAAGGCCCAACATATAACAGCATAGCCATTGCCTTTAGATCCTGCGAAGGAATGCACTTTGGATCCGAGCACGCAAAGTCCATCTGGGAGCGTCTGAAGGAGCAAGACATTGAAATCGACAAGACCATCTGGACTGCCTACATGTCAGCCGTTGCACGAAACCATAACCACGATGAGGCCAGGGAGCTTATGGAGAATGTAGAGGAGGAGTATGGCTTCACTCCGGACCTTCACATGTACGTACGGGCGTGGTGGGAGTTTGTCCATTATACTAACAACTTACAGTCTAGGTAGCTGGTTCAACTGCACGGCTAATAGCAATAAGCAAGAAGATGTCGAGGCCTGGATCAGGCAACGGTATCCGGAAGTGTGGAGCCAGATGGAAGCTCTGGGTCATTGGGTTACTATGGATGGCTTTGGGTACCGACAGTATAACATCAACCGTGACCTTGATCCGTAGACGGTGTGGGAGAAGCGTATATTAACTGGCATGTTTTGGTCTGTCTGCAGATTTATTATATTTGAACAGAAATATACACGCTATTCCACACACTAGCTGAAGACGCATTCGTCATCCCTTGCTTTCCCCGCACGTTCAAAGTGCGCGGTGTTTCCCGTCTCACCCATTTTACTTGTTTGTTGTTTTGCCTTCGCTCTTTCCTCGCCACCTGCTCCTGCCCCCACGTGATAGCTTGCTCACCTTGACTTTTCTCCGCTTCCTTGTTAGTACATAACATCCACTCTTCTTCACCAACCCTTCCTCGCTCCATCTCTACTCTCCGCCACTGCTACCTCAACTGCTCAAGCTTCTACCCTGGTTGCAGTCCACATTCAATCGAACCAATCTGAATTTTGATCAAGTCACGCGCTCAAGGTGAGTGCTTCCTTTGTAGCTGTCGAGACGAGGATTTACTAACATATTAGCCGTCAACATGCGCTTTCTCTGCTTTCTCGTGGGCTTAATTGGTCTCGCTGGCACGGGCATCGGTGCACCTACTGAGTCTCACTCCGTCAACGTCCGCGACCTTGACGCCCAAGGCATTGACGTTCACAACATCGACAGCAACGGTATTTCTGCCAACGATCTCCCGTTGCCTATTCCAGTTGCCAATATCTACGTCTGCGCCGAACAAACATCCACTGGCTGCAAGCTTATCAATGCCCACAACTTGTGTCTACCTTTCGGATCGGATTTTGCCTACAAGTCCAACTATGTTCGCCAAGCCAAGGGCACATACTGCGTATACTATACCAAGACTGGATGCATGGATGGAGATGTGTACTTTCGGTACACGAGCTTTCCGAAACTAGAGGCAGAGTTCACGGGCTGGGGTGTCAAGACGCTAGCGGGAATATTCTGCGCAGGAACAGGTCAAACTCTTGACGTTCCTGGCGACGAAGCCCATGCCGTTGCTTCGCGTGATACCGGTTTACTCTCAGTCAGCGCATCTGACTCTGAAGAAGCTAAACTTGATAGTGTGGACGCTCTTGGCAAGGTACCGGGTGATACGACCATCTGCCACGGTCTCAACTTCACGTACTGCAACGACAACCGCATCAACGCCATACAGCAGTGTGCAAACTTTGATTCTATCGATATCGGACCCGCTTCTTTGATTCAATACCCCGGTGCGTATTGTAAGTGGTACAGCGACTTTGGGTGCAACGACAAGACCTTGGTTGGGGCCATTGATTCCATGCACAGCGCGGTTGCGATCGCTGATCTCAGGGAGTATACGAACCAGTTCTTCAGCGTGAAGTGTGAGGCTCACGCTTGGTAGAGCGGGTATGCATGGGGTTTGATCCACTGTTATGGGTGGTGGTGTCTTAGAAACCAAGGTTTGCGGGAGGACAGTGATTTTCTCTGCACAGGAACACTCGAGTAAAGTCTAGTTTGAAAGCTACAATGAAACCAGTCGAAACATTTGATTATCTTTGCATTTTGCATGACTTGTAAAACGTCTGCTAGGGCCTTTTAACACGTGCCACCAGTTCATCGCCATATTGTCTGTGCCTTGACTTATACGCGATGTATTTGGTTTTATGATATAAGTGAAAAGGCTGTGGTGTCATAGGTAAGCTATGCTCCTTGTGAGAAAAACGTTTTGGTTACACATCCATGTTCTTCGCCTAGGCGTCTACATGGCGCATTTCTAGACTTACTAAGCGGGCAACTATGCCATGTATCCTCCAGCCTCCAGCCATCACATTCTCTGACACGAAAATGGCATTCGAGGGTGTTGACTAGCGCTTTCTAAAATCTAGCTCTTGTTTAGTTTGTCGTGTTTTGATCCGTAACTGCTTTTTTTATTAGTTTTGCGTGGTTGTGGACATGGAAAAGTCAATAGGTTCAGAGCTTGAGTTGAAAGATGGATTATCTTATTGAGTTTTGTGGGCCAAAGGGCAGAAAGGCCACTAATTGCTTCGTCCCAACCAAGGTTCAGCCAGCCAGCCTTGGCATAGCTTCACAGTTGAGCTCTGTCAAAATTATCTGATTATCTTGTGTAGGTTCTTCGAAAAATGGAGATGCATAGTAGAGAGTATAAGGCATTTACACAGGTTCATATATCTGCATTACCTTATAAGAGGCTCATGGTAAGACATCTTCGCTTGGGTGTAGCGTGGTAGCGAAGATAGGCTCCACACGTGGATACATTGTATAGATGTGTTAATCTCGCTTAGGGTACCATTAGGTTATATGAGGTATTAATTGATATCGATGCGCTATATCCAGCCAAGGTCCCGTACACTACCACAGTTCCCCAACTGTGGATATGGTATGAATAAGCCTTATTCTATATAGAAAGGAGTTCACGCCAGCCAGCAAACGTATTTGAGAGATAATACTTCTATTAATTTCTTCCGTATCTTCAGCATGTCTCTTGGTCTGGTCTTCGCCTTTGTCACTTAATTTTACAACATCGTTTCCCGATATGGAGGACGAACGTTGGTTATGGCCCTTCAAAACCAATGCTGAATTTCACAGACAGAATAGCGGACAAAATATCCAGCACAATATTAATCGGCCTTCTATATTAGAGCATCAAGCTACGACCTACGTACCCCTGGCTGCGAACATGGGCTCTGCCACTCCTCATACATCATCCGATTTCAGGCCATCTACGGAGTTTAGAGCCAGGACACCGGAAGAAGGCCGGCCGCAACGCCTCCCTCTCACAGATCCAAAAGATCGACTGCAATGCCTTCGGGAGCGGCTCAAGGGAACTGCCAAAGGATTGGCATGGGGAGCTACCGCTGATCACTCCTCGAGTACCGTGCTACTTCCCCCCCAAGGGAAGACATTAAAAAGTGACAGTGTGCGGAAAATCTGGGAAGATGACCGCCATCCAAGTGTTGTGGCTGGTGGGCATCACACTCAGGGCTCTGCAAACGCTTCAACAGTTCTTCCGCAATGCGCTCCTATATACTGCCAAAACGAAACCCCATACCGCGCTGGAAATACAAGCACCATTTCACCCAGCCCTGCTGCTTTCGTTTACACAAATGCTCAATCTTCGAGACCAGTGCAGTCTATCAAAGAACAAGGAACACGCAGCACTGGCCCCCTTACTAGCGGTCACCCACCAAAACACCCTCCAGCCTCCACCGTAAGCAGAAACTGGAGACAACGAGATAACTCTCCCTATCTCGACCCCGTCCAACCCAACCAGCATGTTCAACGTCAGTTTCCCTCTACAAAATTCACACGACCGCAAGCACCGCTTCAAGCATCATACCAAGCACTGTCTGAAGCACCATCACGAGCATTACCGCCACAGGTACGACAACACGCATCACTCCAAGTACCACCGCTACAGGTACGACCACAGGCACCGCCCCAACCACGACTCCAATCAACCCCCCAACTACCACCACCCCCACCCCCTCAACCCCAAACATATCAAACAGCCGCACCTCCGTACATCCCTGCATGCATATCCTACAACCCGCAACCAGCAGCCCGCTACCCCGAGCCACCAAATCTCGGCACAAGATCAGGCCAGTTCCCACCTGCATTCTTTGAGGCGCTGCTGAGTGATGCGAAAAAGTACCCAGATTGCCCCGGATGTAAGCAGGAGATGCATATTGATTGCCCGAACAGTTTGTTGCATATGAGCTGGTGTACGAGGGGGAGGTGGTGTGCGTGAGAGGGTGAAGAGGAGGCGGAGGGGTTGGAGACGAGGTGGAGGGTGGAAAAGGAGGGATGTAGGGTGTTATCATGTCATGGTGTTGTATTCGACTTTGATATTTACGGGCGCTTTTTCTTTGGTTTGGTCAACGGGTGTTGTACGGGATTTGTTCTTCTCCACTTAGCGAATGGGTACTTTTTTTCGATCCGGTATTCGCCTCAATATTTCTTTTATTTCTTTGTGAAGTCAATGGTAACTTGTTCTCAGGAAGCAGGCGTTGTTTGGAGTTTTGATGTCTGCTTTACGAAATTGATACATTCATCTCGTCACAATACAGCAATGACGGAGTGACAAAATTGGGGAAAAGAGCATGTGATGAATACTTTAACAAAGACAGCGCACAGCGCGTATATGATTCATGAATATTGCTACATGGCCTGAAAGCCCAAGTGACCATACCGTTGGCATCGCGAGAAACTCCCATTCCACATATATCTCCATGGCCCCAAACGCCCAAAATACAATATCCGAACCCGACCCAATCACCTAGATAGACTCACCAGTATCCGCCCTTGACCTCCTCCCATCCGATCGAACCCTCCCCTCCGTCGGCGTATTCGCCCTCTTCTCACCGGGACTCCACTCCATACCCGGCGCTGGCAATCCCACACCGACGGCATCCTCCCTGGCCCTCTGCCTATCCCCACTCATCCGCGGCGGTGGTGCTACATCCTCCCTGACCCTCTGCCTATCGCCACTAACCCTGCCACTCGCCTCTCTAAAGCTAGCCGCAGAATCAATTCGCGTACCGGGTGATCCTTCGCCCTCGGTAACCAGTCTCACACCCGCCGTACGCTGACGTTCGCGTTCCGCAACCGCACGTTTTCCCTCAGCTTTCTTCTTTTCAAACTCGATGATCAGCGTTTTGAAATACGCCTCTGCGGCGCTGGTGGCTGAGTAATGCACAGGCGTCCAGCTGTAACTATTGCTCGCGAGGGGGTTGGCTCCGTACTGCAGTAACATGCGCATTGCTTTTAATTCACCAGCTGCCGATGCATGATGTAGAGCTGTGTTACCCTGGTCGTCGCACGCGGTGAGGATATTGGGCCCGCCATGTGCGATCAACGTGGGTATCAAGTGCAGGGTACCGGCCCCACTCTTGCATGCCAGCATGAGGGCATCGAGACCGGCTTTGTTCTTCCAGCTCACGCAGGCGGGGAAGCGTTTAGCGAGGTAGACGCCGCATTCTTCTTTTCCGGCCATGGCGGCGAGCATCAGCGGTGTTTCCCAGTCGTTGTTACGCGAGATCATGCCGTCTTCGTGGCCTTCGTCGACGAGGTACTCGGCGATAGATGTGAAGCCATGTTTGGCCGCGAGATGGAGTGACGTGTTTGAGCGGTCTTCAAAGTCTGGGTTGCGTAGGTTTTTGCGATTGTTGCTGATTATGCGCTTGACGAGGGAAAGGTCGTTGAGGAGGATGGCGCGGCGGAGGCGCCGCTGTACGTCAATCCTGGGGTGGAGTAAGCATTGTACAGGTATTGCACACGCATAGCAGAAGTAGAGTATTCGATATGGCACGTGTAGCTAGGAATATATCATTAAACTTACATGGCTGCTGCAATGAAGCATGGTTGGTTCTCACGAGGCACAGTGTCCTGGTCGCGTTGGTGACGTGAGGTAGAGCTAGTGTGGGGCAAGCGTTGCATCTTGGATCCATGATTGCGGGGGCTAATTCACGCCATCACTGAGCTTGCTGCAACTAGCTAGCACAAGCGGTGATGTGCACATGGATCCCTCTGCAAGATTAGCGACTCCGGATACTATCAAATGTCACATGTCAAGGGCACATTGAGTCTAGTTCATGTCGATTCTGTTCATTTATGCATGGTGAAGATGTCCCTTCACCCGTCTATCAATGCCAGCCCAGCGGCTATCTTACATGCTCGAGCATCAGATCGTCAGCTTCGAAGCTTTTACAAGCCTTCAAAGTCACCAGCCGCATCATCCTCGTCAATATCACCATCCTGAATCTCCTTGGCCAACTCGCGTTCTCTCTCGCGTGCCTCCTGAGCGTTCTTGAGTTCCAGACGATGTTGGTTCATGGGGTAACGCATCGCCTTGACGCACTCGTCGTGTAGGGTTAGGCATGCCCGAATGCGCTCGTGGAACGCCTCACCAGGCTCGCGGGTGGCGTAAATGTCTCCAGCCACCTTGGTTTGCATGAAACCCTTTTCGTGGTCGATGGAAGCCTCTATGACTCCATCACGGATAGCCTTTGCAACAATGTATTCGGCCGACTCCTCACTCTCCAAGCCGAGGCGGATGCAGATGTCACGGAGGGAGATGCGCGAGTAGGAAAGCGACAACATGCGAATGCCGGTCTTGATGACGTTTTGTCGCAGGCGCAGGATGAGCGTGTAGGTGCCGTCACGGTGGAAGACAGAAGATGACATCTGGACCACTTTCAGGAAGCCTTGAAGGTCACCAACGCGGACAGCCTGGACCAGACGGAAGTAAGGTTCCATGGCACGCTCCAGACGAGGCTGGCTGAAGACATCGCGCTCAGGGATGTCACCCATCAACAACTCTACGACAATAAGAAGCTTCATAGAAGCCTGGTAGAATCCCGTCGCGCAGTGGGCAGACGGCGACTTGCGCGTGGCACTGATGAGATGCTCGTGTGCCTCGGTGTAGGAGAGCTGGATAGCTCGTATACGTCCAAGGTAATACAGGTACCTCGCAACCTGGTTGTTGGGTGCGTTTGGTGGGAATTGTGTCTGCGCAACGAGGAGATCGGCTTGTGTAATGTCGGCGGTCGAGAGGTAGTTTCGGAGGAGAAGCGTGGTGACGGAAGCCTGCGTATCTGGGTCTTTTCGAAGCACTGCACTGCGGAGAGCAGCGAGGAGCTTTCCACGGATATTGATGACGGGCGATTGCTTGGACGGGGGCTTGGGGTCCATCTCCTCGTGGAAGAGGGAGAAGTAGAAGTATGCCTTTGCCGCCAGCGAGTCGAGCGTCCGCCTGTTCAGCTCACGGATCTTGTCTACCAGCTTCTCAGCAAACTCGGCGCCCTCTTCGAATTCCTTTTGGTCGTAGAGATAGACCTGACTTGTCAGTACTAAACTAAACATGGCGCGGTGCAACCAGACATACCTGTATCAGGATGGCTATGTATACGTCAATCTCAGGCAGAGGTTCCTTGGTGTTGTTCTTGTTAAGTTGCACCTCCTCCTTGTACTGAGATACAACGTTCTGTATCGCCTCGCCATCCATGCCAATGTACTCGATAAAGGTCCGCGCCGTGGCGTTGTTGGGCGAGTATGTCAGGATAATGACAGAGCATAGTACGCGATCCGTAAGCCTCTTGCGGAGTGATGATATTGAGCGCAGAGCGCGCAGCGTGAATCGGGTATCAAACTGGGCTACGGCTCGTTCCAGTAGGACAAAGTTGGCCCGGATGTCTGTCGTTGTCGGATCAGCACGTTGGTACAGATACTTGCAAGACGCGACCTCGGTGGCAATCATGTGATTCGGGCACATCTTGCGAACCGGCCATGACGACGTGCAGTTGGAACACGGGCATTTGGAGGTAAACGGCATCTTGGACGGGAAGTGGGCTACTTACCCGCAATCGTCTTCTGCTCGACATTCTCGGTTTTGGGCTGTTCGCCCTCGGTGACGACGCCTTCCATGCTATCCGCCATTATGGTCGCTCTTGTGTTGTGTATGCGGAGAGACGGAAGGTGCAGTGGGAGACGGGGGTAGTGGTGGTGGGCGAGGGATGATGATGCTTTGCTGAGGTTGGAGCTCCGGCCAGCTTCACTGACGCCAGCGCGGAACTCGGGGAATAGTTATCGAGCACCGAGCCCGACATTGTTTACCCCCCCGCGTCACTTTATTGCCATTCTGTACGCATATCAAAATGACCCTCTTGGATGCGCATCTAGAGCAAATCTCGCTCTGCGCAGCGTCAATTGCTGAATTGCCGTATGTTCACCGTCCCTTCATCCAGGCATCGACTGAACACACGCAGATTCGCTCCGCCCAAGATCTTCACAAACGCACTATTGCAGAACCATGATATCACTAGTCTTATAAGAGACACGGAGCTACATGAACGCGCCTTGTTCTCTGTTCCCCCGCCACCTGCACCGCCCAAACATGCAGAACCCGCCCCGTCGACCAACAGGCGCAACACCATCTTCAACCCCAACGGCGGCCCAGGCGCCAGCATATCAGGAGGTGGTGCCAATGCCGTGAGAGCACCTAGGCGTAACACGGCTGTGGCTGCTGTGTTGGGAAATGAACTGGTAGAGAGAATAAGGAGAGGTGGCGGAGGAGGTGCAGGCTCAGGTTTGGGCTATAGGATGTACGATGGGAAGAATAAGAACGAGATTGATGTTGAGTCGCTACTCGAGGGTGCTGAGAAGCTGCTTGGAGTCTAGTATGGGAGGCATATCTGAGTTTTTGCAAATGGCTAACCAAGACAGCCCAATCCCAGGCGCACACGACAAGATTGCTACACTTCGCCAACGACACGCCCAAGTCATCGCATCCGTCGACTATTACGAGGGCCGCCTCGCCGAACAGCAGACACAACTTGGCAAGCTGAATCGATCTCGTGGTGACTACATGGATGAGGACGTGGACGAAGCTGAAGAGGCCCCAGAACCCGTCACAGTTTTGACCGAAGAAGATCTGCGACGAGAAGAGGAAGAGGTTCGACAGCTGGAAAAGAAGAAGAGAGAACTGGAAAGTCGTGTCCAGTCCATGTCACGAGATATATCAGGTTTACGATGAGCATCGGCGTCGTCGGCATTTGTGCCCGGAGTTACAATAAGATACCCATGTTTTCGACTTGAAGAATTTCGACACGCGTATGGAATCAGGCTAGTGAGCCTTTCAGGGCCTCTCAACATGTGCCCAGGAAAATGCCATCCGCAATCCCATTTCTAAAGTCAAACGCTCATTGCACTTATATCCCACTTCTACACCGACGAACCTCCATCCACACAGATATTCTGCCCCGTAACACTCCTCCCCGCCGCCAACACCTTCACCATATCCGCACAATCCTCCACTGTCGCCAACCTCTTTAACTTTGTATTCCCAATCGCTGCCTCCCTCTTACTCTCCGGAAACTTCATCCCCCACTCCGTCATCAATAGCCCGGGACTAATACTATTTACCCTAATTTTCGGCGCCAGAATCACCGCCAAACTCTTCGCCAGATGTATCTGTGCCGCCTTGGTAACTGCATAGGGAACACTGCTCCCACTAGGCTTTACACCCGCCACGCTCGCCGTAGTGATGAAGGCGCCTTCTGTGGCGGCCAAGGCGTCTTTTGTAGCGTATGCGAGCCACATGTGCGTTTTTACGTTTAATGTGAAGCATTTGTCCCAGTCATCGTCGTTTACTTGTTGCTCGATGTCAGAAAAAGTGGTTATGCGCGTCCAACCGGCGTTGGAGACTACAACGTCTAGGCGGCCCATTTTCTCCAGCGTCTCGCTTACGAGGGCTTGCACGGAGGGCTTGGATCCCATGTCCGCTTGGATTAGGTGGAAGCGAGGGGTTGGTCCGTTGGAGGAGGGGCCGGGGATGGTGGAGAGCTCATTGAGGAGGGAGGTGGCGCGTGTGGAATTGCTGGCGTAGTTTATTACCTGGTGGTCGATGTGTTAGTACTTGGAATTGACCATGGAAGATTTTGCGAATATTGTTTCACATACGACGCGGTAGTCTGGCGCAAACGCTCGTGCTATTTGGGCTCCTAGACCTGCTGAGCTGGCCGTGATGAGAGCCACTTTTGTGGCAGCCATTGTATGTATTTGGATATGTAAGTTTGAGAATACAAAAAGTGGGATTGTGACACGTTCCCGAAAAGCGTACTCTATGTTTGCGACAGTGATGATTATATTGGAGTTTGACGCGGGGTTGGCGGGGATGTGGTGTGCGGAACTGTTCCGTTAGGTTTACCTAGGTTCGCTCGGTATTACATCGATTAGATATCGCAATTCGGTCCTTTACGCATTTTACGGCTTGGAGCAGGGGTTCTTTGGCTACTAGATATGTAGGTGTGGGCTTCACGTATCTATCATTAAGTCCTATTCCAGACCAAGCAACTTTCCGTGTACCTATCTTTGTCCCTCCCGCGGCGAAACCACACACCCCTCCCTCTTTCCAAGTCCTTCTGTCAACCTCTCCAGCTCAGTGCCACCTTTCACTACCAATTCGTCCGGCCCAGACTTATGAATCCGATATCCATCTGGAAAGTACTTCTGCTCGCCCGGCACAGCACCACCAATGAGTCTTAACAACAAAGCCTTTGGTCCCTATCTCGCAGCGAACGTAGGCCTGATATACCAAGGATGAGCAATGTACTGGTAGAAGTGTGCCCAGCCAGTCTGTGCATCAAGATCACCTGGGCAGTGAACCATTCCTACGCCAACAAGACGGTTTGGGTAAGAAGAAGTTTCTTAGTATAAACTTCCGTACTTCGACGATCGTGGTGAGATGAGTGTATACAGCTGGTGCTTTCTCTAACCTAGGATAACTAGTTAGTACATGTATTTGTCTCGAGTACAAGAGCCGAGATAAAACTTCATACCTCTCCGAAGCTGGGTTTCCAATAGTGCCGACACTATACTCATCCCATAACGTTAAGATCTAAGTACCACAGGTACATTGAACAATGCAACATCAAGTGTAGTCCTAGACAGCACCGCATTCGTCTCCACAGACATCATGCATCTTATCTCACACTCCAGACTCCATCCCTCCAATTCCTCAAGCCAATGCAGCCCATGCCTCCATCCTTCACTTGCAGACGGTGAAACCCCATACACAATCACCATCTTCTCCCCCAAGCCCTTCTAATAAATACCCATGGCATACCTCTTAAAGTCTGTCACATCCCGCCATTCGTACTTGGCCGTCTATCTGATGGTCTCTAGCGCAAACAAACTAAGCGTATACAACATATCCTCATTTGATATCTTCTCCGCTTTTCTATACCACCCGTGTAGATAGTTCATCAGCGCTATACCACCAACTGTTCTCTCCGAACTCGGTGTATTCAGCACAACCTCTGTAATAACAACACCCGTGTCGGCAGCACGCTTAGATGCCGAGTTTGGACTGGAGAGCTGACCCGTTGCGACGAGTAGGCTGGATATACTGGGTATGCCATAGGTTTTGAAGAGGACGGAAAAGATGAGAGTGAGCTGGATCGTGGCAAGTCCTGGAGCGTTAGGCGTGACCATGAGGGGCGATCGGGATACGACACACTTGTTAGTTTTTCCTGGAAAAAATCTGCTAGTGGATTTGCTGGGGATTACGCGAAGGGTATGGGGTGTCGTGTCTCGACGTCTGTAGCGGAGATGGCGGACGAGGCAGTTGAAGACTATGATGGTAACGATCCATATTTTGTGGGCGGGTGCGAGGGAAAGTAAAGCACTGATGTGCGTTCCCATTTCGATATCTGTGGCGTAAGTTGTGTAGTGTGCAAGTCTGCAGTTTGATGCGACGCAGTAAATTACAAACACACTGGAGTGTTTGTCACAGGGTTGTGACTCAAACATCCCTTTGGAATCCGCTCCGTCTTTCAGTCCCCAGATGCTTCTTGGTGCCACAAATTATCAATACAGCAAATAGTCTGATATTTGACGGCAATATCGTTACTAATCTCAAACTTCATTTGTCCAAATACTTTAACTTTTAACCACTCCCTATTCCTTCATTTCCTCTCGCTACTACAGTGACATCCCACCCCTCCATCTAATTTTACCTCTTTATTTGGAGTCTTAAAGTTCCAACGATTGCTCGGCTGTGCGTTCGTCTAGCCGCCACATATGTGTTCTTGTCTCAATATTGTCATTTGGTTTTTCGGACAAATGGTAAAGCACCACCGTATACATCATCATCATGTATCGTATTCTTAGTGCTGCCCAACTAGATGCATGCTCATATAGGCCGTCTTACCGAGCGAAGTTATCTGTCAGACCAAGAAACTCCTTTGTCATATCTTTCTAACAGAGAAATGAAAATGCACATTTTGTCTTCTTCATGGCCTATTGTTCTATCACCCCATCACATATCAATCTCACCTAGCCAATCCCTTTGGCCCTGCCCACTCTCCTTTGACATGATACTTCCCATATACCCAAGGGAAAAAGTCTTTCTTAAGCCAATAAAATGCTTTCCTCGGGACACCCTGATCTATACCTAGAATGCGGTTGAACGTCTCCTTGGGCACACCTCCATACTTGAACTCCGCCAGCAAGACCTCCTTCTGGCCAGTCAACAACGGGCAGCTGGTGTAACCATCATAGCTTGCTTCGAGTGGCTTGTTGGCCATGGCGGAAAGTAGGTTTGATACGAGGACTGGAGCTTCAGCTGTGATGGCGGCAACGGTTTTTGAGGTAGGAAGTGATGAAGCATCGCCGATGGACCATACGTTGGGGTACTTGGTGTGCTGAGTGGTTGAGTCCGAGACAGAGACGTAGCCGGCTTCGTTTGCGAGGGCGCTCTTTTTTACGAAATCCCAAGGTACATTCTTTGGTGCGACGTGTAGGAAGTCAAAGTGCTTTTTGACGGGACTCTGGTTCGGGACATTGAAAGTTGCAGTGTTGCCGTCGATAGAGACGAGGTCGTGTTGGAAAAGACCTTCTACACCACGCTCTACACGGAGTTTCTCTAGGGCTTCCGCATACTTAGGCACTCCGAACATGGTTGGTAGACCTGTGGCGAAGGCAATCTTGATTGGTGATGAAGCATCAGTCTTGTACAGGCCGGCATTCTTCCAGTAGTCTAGCGCAAGCCACATGATCTTTTGTGGCGCGCCTGCGCACTTGACTACACCAGCTGGTTGTGTGAATACGGCGTCTCCGTTTTTGAACTTCTTCACATTCTCGTATGCTTTGTCGCAGTATGCATAGTCATAGATACTGCTCACCATGGCGTCCTTCTCTTCCAATGCCTTCTTCAGTCCTTTGACACTACCGTAATCCAGTGTAATGCCAGGCACCACCACAAGCTGTTCATATGATATCTTCTCCCCAGAGCCTGTCGTAACGGAGTTTTGTTCAGGTGAAAAGTTGCTGACAGAAGTGTTGTAGAACTTGAAGCTCGGATGCATCAACTCTGCCATCGGACGGCGGAGGTCCTCCTTCTTTTTAAGCCCACCGCCAACCAAGGTCCAGCCAGGTTGATAATGGTGCCATTGGGCAGGGTCGATGATGGCGATATCGTCTTGTTTGAAATTGCCTTTGCGCAACAGTTGATGGGAGAGTGATATTCCTGCTGATCCGCTGCCAATTACCACAATTTTGTGGTTCCGAGTTGCGGTAGAGACAGGCGATACGGTCGCAAGGCCACGTCTTGAGTGTTGCAACATGCGTGGCGTGATGTTTGCGCAGGTGCCTGCCAGCTGCGGACCGCGACTACGAGCTAATACGGACATGGCGGTGACTTCCGACGACGCTCTGTGATTGCGACGGAGTTAGAGAAGATAAGAATTTATAAAAAAGAAAGAATACTGACACGTCGAGATATGTATCGGTAGTTGCATCAGGATTGACTAAACATTTTGTATGTGGGTCGTGGACTAGTACAAAAGTCAGCCAATGAGCGGGGTAGAGAATGCATTAGCGTCATCACGACATCGCCTGAAGACAATAGAGTCTGGATAGGTTAGAGGTAGCAACCCGAAGCAATCAATGAAAAGATAACACTTCTCACGAAAGTCTTCATCTCAGTATTGGCGAAGAACCCAGTCCCTTACCATCAACTCCAAGATGCAATCGGAACCTACCTAGGTAGGTTCCATGAATTCTGTTGTATAGGTGTGGCCGTAGGAGAATTTCTGACTCGTGTCGATAGCAAGGAAGAACTGCTGAAGCGGTGTTTGTGAAGATTGCGCATCGTGTGTGGATTTAGTGGACACCGGTGAAGGATTGTACCGGTCTTGACTTGATCCTTTTATGCGATACTTATACTGGCTTTGTTTGTACTATACACTACTACTACTGAGTCTATGTCCAGCCCGAACTGATCCCAAAATGAGCATGCAGGCTACACTATACACTAAATGCATCGTGTGTACGAGGGTAGAGATTGTAGCTTCGGTAGGGTCTTGGGGAGCGGGTAGTAATGGTTGTGGTACTAGCCGGGGTAGGGGTTCTCTTCGATCGCGGATTTACTGTGTTGATAAAATCGTTTGAGTTCTTTTTAGTGGAGTGGTACATGTTATCCTTAGCTATCGCAACGCGTAGAAAGGGGCAGACTAACTAGAAACAGTTGGCTTAAGGTATGTGCTAATCCCTTAGGAAACTAAGCTCTAGTAATAAGACCTAACAGGTTAAGGCACGAGAGGGTAGTTGGAGTAATCTAACTGCTGGTAGGTTCACAATGTTTTTAACAACGGCTTCCTGAAATGTTTAGGTAGAGTGAGTGTCACGGAAGGCAAGTATAAGTGAGGGCATATGAATTATATTTTTAATGTCTAATCTTTGAACGCATCCCGGCGCTCAATTATGGGGATGTACTTCCCCCCCCCCCGGGCACACATACTGGCCAGGCGACGGCAGCGTGTATGGGCAACTATCCACCACTAAATGCGTAGGTTCGATGCATGTTGGCTGATGGCACCGATGGCTTGCTTGATCGCCTCCTAGGGGGCGTTGGCGGTCGTCGTCGCTATGTCCTAGTGAGTAAATTATGCAGTGTAAGTAGGGAAAAGGTGGTTATGTAATACCTGTGATGGGCGATGACCACCAGCCGGTGGGCGTTCTGCTGCGGGGGCTGTGAACGTTTCGACCCTGTCAGGCCGCGAACCCCAGCCCTGATGGGCGCAATCTGAATATAGCCATTGTCCTAAACATAGTTGTGTTTAGCAGCGTGCCTCATCAATAACATGTGCTGTTCTGCTAAATCTTACTGCTCTGTTTGCACCCAGACAACTAGCTTCGTTCCTCAATGCGGGCCCGTAGCCCCGCCACTCTTGTCCTGGTATCCCGATACTAGTCGGGACAGGGTGGCAGCGGCAAGGGCCCGCGAGATGCCCGCGAGCGCGGAGAGGGTGGTGGAGGTGGTGGTGGGAGGCTACTGCGGCGGCACCCTCTTTTGTTGTTTCTTCTATGCACACATGTTAGCTCTTCAATTCAATTCAGTTGAAACAAAGCGCAAGACTTACGTAAGACCTTTGCAGGCTTATTGGGCGCGGGGGTGAAGGCGAGTTTTGCTTGCTTCATGTTGTGCTGATGTTGGCTGAAGAAGTGCTTGTTGAAAACTCAGGAAATTTGGTTTGTCCCCTCCCTTAGCGCTAATGGCACGTTTGTTTGTTTTAAACACGTTTTGCCTAAAGGTGCAAGAGGTATGGGTGTTTAAATCTGTAAAGAGCGGCGGGGTACAGCACATGGCACGTAAAACTGCCAGGCGCGTACTTAGCTTACCTTTGCGACTTCCTGAAATATGTGAACTGTGAATTGAAAAAACACTGAGTGAAAACTGTCACTTACTGAGTATAAGGTGTTAGGATAACGCCTTAACTGCTTTTTTATATTGCTATTAACTACTACAATACTGCGTTGTGAAAATCTACTGCTAAGCATTGATATCACTTACATATATACCTATATAACAGGACAATATGACAAAGATTTAGCCTCTAGACGAGTGTTAGTTTGTCTCAGCCCAGATAAGTATGATATAGCAAATAGGAATACATATATAGCGCTGTTCCGCATGCACTCAAGTAAGCTTAGATCTACCCCCAGAAGGTAGTCCAGAGACTACAACCGTACTTGGCCAACTCCCTAGCTAGCTAAAACTACCTTAAAGTACTCCAGGCCGCCCTAAAGCTCTTAGAATCCTTGACCCCACCCGTCTTTGTACACCTCCACCCTCCACACAATCCCACAGCCACACTACCCTCCCCCAGCCTGCAACTGCCAACATTCCCAAGCTCCATCCCACCCCTATCTGCACCACGCTACCGTTAGCATCAGATAAAGAGAGAGGGCTTACCGTCGATCCCATGCACCATTGCGGACCGAATACAAGCCTTAACTCCACCATCCCACCCTACCCATCCAGCGATCCCGCGCGCTGATCTACAGCCTCACATACCATATCGATCATGGGCAGAACCAAGGTTCCAATCACTTCCTTTTGATAAGAGCAAGGTGCGTGAGTTCATACGCTTGCGCACGTGTACTGCTGTTGCTTATTCGGGTGGGTGCGGTTCTCGATGATGTCCGCCCGGCCTAAATTGAGAAGGGACTTGACGTCATTTTCCAGGTTTCGAGTTGAGCGGTGAACAGACGACAACGACGGCAACAGCAACAGCAAGACAGAGAAGGGGTTATGCTAGATAATTCTGTTGATCACTAATCTGATCCTTCACACTTTCCAACGCATGACCACACGTCAAAGCAGGCCAAACAACTTGGGAAGATGCCGAAAGGAACGGAGCTGGCAGTTCAACAAATGTACAGATAAGCAATAACACGCGAAAACGCATGCAGGGACACAACCTCCGTCGATGCCATGCATGCATGCAATGTGTCGGAGTGCAGCGCAAGCCCATATCATTGGACCTCAGGTGGCCTTTCTTACATGGTAAAGGCATGCCGTGGTTTAACCTTTCCGAGGTAGTGGTACGGGGCTAATGCAATGTAACCAGCAACACACAAACAAAGAGCAGAAAAGGGGGGAACCTAGTATCATGCGGCGAATGGGACGCGTAGCCCCGCAGCGACAGGCCATTGTTTGTGGATGCAGAGAGGTGAGGAGGTGAATGCGGGGTGCAGATGAGGACAAGCTTGAGGTTTGTTCACGAAGAAAACTAAAAATACGATTTCGCTACATGGTGGAGCTAGCCAGTTCCGTTGATGTAGTTGTTGCCGCTGATGCTTGAGCAACTGCGATGGGGTATCTTTTTTTTGTTTCCACTGTCTCCTGTCTTCCTTCCTTTCCTGATTTGAGCACTTCATTTCAGAAGAACCGATTGCGCCATGTTTACCCAAAGCTAAAACGACCAAAGAAGCCTAATCGCAAATATGATGAACCGTCATGTCGTAGAACCATAAATCGATGAGGAAACCAATCAAAACCAAAACGTGCAACTGTAAGGTTTTACGCCCATGTCTTTGAGGTGTTGAGACCCAGCTCGAGATGCTGGGCTATGGCTAACGCAAAATCACTGCTGACAGTTGAGGAGTGACGACGGCGCTCACGACGTATTTGGTGTTCGGCTTCCATCAGGCGTGATTGGACCCAGGCACGCTGCTTCTCGTCATTACGGATGCATTCCGTATTCATGAGTTCGGTGAGGGTAGCGACGATTTGATGATTAATCTCGGCGAGCTTGTGCGACTCTTTCCGTATGCATGTCGTCAATACTGTTGCGTGGTGCTCCGCTAGTCCGAGAGCTGACTGGGACTGGATCGCTGGCTGCGGGATATGGCGGGGCGTATTTTGGGGACCAGGTAGGCGACGAGGACAGGGATTGGAACTCTGGTGAGGTCGCTGACATGGGTGCATTGAAGGGAATCTCTAGAGCCATGCGACGCTGGAGTGCTTCCTTCTGGGCCGATAGCAGCATGTACTTTTGCATCGATTCATTCTGGACGATTGTTGTTAGCATCTGTTACTTATCGAACGTGGTGGAGCTACTCACTCTGCATAGAGTGGGTCTTGCGGGTGCCATGGTGTTGTATAGTTTGGTATTTTCCTGATATTGGCGATTGGAAAGCTGGAAGCCCGATAATGCGGGGGTGTCGCCCTGATAGATATACCAGTTGATAATGCCAAGAGCGTTGGCTACTGGGAGATCGGCAGAAGGCCCCGGAGGTGTGGGTACGAAAACTTCTTGGTGCGTGGATCAGAGTGGAGTCGTGTCGATAAGGTGGTCGTGGTGTGAGGTCGTGATGACGGTTGACGCGCAAGCTGTCAGATGAGAGTGGTGTGACGGTGCTGATGGGTTGGGTCCGGAAAAGCTTTAGGGTCTGGTATAGACAAACAATGTCTAACTTCTGGGGCGCTCGCGAACTTTAACCAGTGCTCGCCAGGCTGCGGGCACATGCTGAGGTATGGGATAAGCCATGACGTGCGTCTAACATACTTGGTCCGAAACACAGCGGCTGAATCCGTGTTGCGTACATTGTGCCCAAAACTCTTTGAGCAACGAGGCCAGTTTCGTAAAACCTTGTTGGGATAGACAGGGGGCTCTGCATGGTGCGTAGTTGTAATTGGTCCGACGACGCCACCCCTTGCTGATCCTCATGCTACCCTGAAAGGTAAACTAGGCGAAACAACGTCACCGGCAGCGAGGTGAAAGCTGGTAGCGCAAGATCGCGATCCAGTGACACAGCCATTCACGACACCCTCTGCCTGTATGAAGGATGCATCGTACCTGCATGGACATGAGAAAACCTCCCTGCAGATTGCCTCTCGGCCGTTCCGGAGCGGCTCATTTTCACATGGAAATTTCCCCAGCCGTCCATGAGAAAGCCATGATGCTGCAAAAATGCCATGCGTGACAAAAGATGACGTTCTACTGAACCCATAATTACTTCTGCTTCGATACAGCACCCCTGGTCAATGCTCGGATTTTCTCTCCGACGTCACTCTCAGCCCCATGCTGAGACTGCCCAACGTGGTGCGCCGACGGGTTTGCTCTCATCGGCTGTCCACTACTCTGGGAACAGGTGGCGCTTCTTGGGATGCCCAAGTGACTGGGCGCCGCACTTTGATTGCTGCGAGAAGAAACAGGTTTCAACGCCACCGAAGTGGCTCAGTCGGACGTGTGTACTGCCTGTGGCTTAGTTGTGACGCTCCCCTGTGGGCCTTGAAGAGGAAGCATGCCCTGTAAGACCTTGTCTCGGGTTACGATCGTCGCATCAGGCTTATCAGGTCGCTGTACGGTATCCATCACAAGGCTTCTAGAACGAACATCAAAATCCTTTGGGCCCATGTGTGGACGTCATGTTGGAATGCCATGTCTCATTTTTTTCCCTTGAATTCGCAGCTCAACGTGGCGTCTTTGGTCTACTATCTTTGGTTTGGTGTTTGACCAAGACTGTGGGGGCCAAGTTGGGTTCTCATGAGGCGCCTATCGCACAAAGATAGCGACTGGAAGGGTCTCCGGCTCTGCAGGGACTGAGCGTATTGGTCGCGGACTGCTAGAGGCCAAAGGCCTTGCGATGATAGGCGGAACAACCGGGAAGCGACAGTGTACCCATACCTGGGTGCGTTACAAGCCACTGGTAAAGGGCATTACGAAAACATGGCAAAACCTCTTGATACTGGCTCATCACTCTTCCGTAGCTTGACGTTCGGTCCAGAAACCCTTGCCGTAACTGACAAGGATTTCCTGACCACGCCCGATGCCTGATGACCTTTTTCCACTCTTGCCAGCACTGAGCACAAACACACCGACTCTCTTCTCTACTTTGCCGTTGCCAATCTCGACATGTATGTCGCGAAACTCTGCATTCGGTGCCGTTGAGACTCCTCGGTAGTCGTTGATAAAGCGTGCTTCATTACCCATAGTGGAAGCATCGACGCCGATAGCCAGCTCGCGATCGAGTGACAAGTCATAGTCGGATGCCGGATTCAAATCGGCCTGATCGTGAACAAAGCCAAGATATGGCAGGATGAAGGAATCTGGAGAGAGCTGCTGGTTAGCGTACAGCGCATGCTGGCCATATGCCGGGTGGGCCACGTCAGACACTGGTGTTATCTTGACGTTTGTGTATGGTCCGCGTGTCTTGTAGACTTGTGCAGTCGGCCCCAAATCTGCCTTTTGAAATATCAAGGCGCTGACTTTGTCACTGTTCAGCTTCTTGGAGTATGACGGCGCATGCAGGTATGTGATGTGCACATGCCAGCCTTTTGGCACAGCGCCTGCTGTTTTAGGCATTCTCTATTCGACGATGATTCAAAGACAGGCTGCGTCTGGTTGTGGTCGGTAAAGCGTGCAAGTCGAGTGTTGTTGGTGAGGTAGCTACCGAGGGGCTCACTGTTCGTTTGCACGAGCGGCATGACTTCGGCACCACGGGGGGGAAACGACGGATTTCTCACCCGCCCGCGCCCGTCTCACCCTCGCCGTATCGTGCTCACCGATAGCGATCTCTTCTCAATCGACTCTGGCGACTAACGAAAATGACTGGCCGTCACCGGGAAATATCAATATGTCAGAATTGATGTTGCTCGTGTTGCGCGGCATGTCATTTGTCCTGCAACACACTTGCTCCCAAGTAGGTGCCGTCTTCAATGCAGCTTCGTTATAGTGGCGTCCACTAAGCACAAAGGCGGCTCCTGATGGATGCTGAATTAGCGACAACAGCGGACGCGAGATTGCGAGGACGCGCTGTCACGCAAGCCCAGAGGCTACGGTCGGCACGCTGTGGCCGAATCCATCATGGACGCGCCAGCCTCGATTCCAGGCCATTTCGCAAGGCTACGATATCGAGTGTGAGTGCACCACTGTCGGCCCTCGCACCATTTAGTCATGGGTCTAGACGCTGCAGGAACCCTCAATGTCCCCACTTGGAGCGTGCACCGACACCTACAGCAACAGACCGCTCAATGACCGGCTATCCCCTATCAATCGCAAGGCGGGCTATTTTCACTCACAGCTCAGGCGCGGGGGCTCCACTTACTGTCACGATGAGGAATCTGCGCTGTGGTGATTCTTCAGGTGCCAGTATAGCAGGGAACATTGAATACCCAAACATGGTTTTGCTCACGTGCTACACTGCACAACCACCAGCCGTCTGCAAACTGCATGTACACCATATCTATCACACGCTTACTCTACCGGTACGCATCTACTACACCATCGTCCTACTACTACAAGGCTCGATTGCGAATTCGCCATCCTGCACGGCTCCGCTACAGCTTCTCTCACTCTTGCCGCTGTGGATCACAAACTTCCGGAGATACGTGCACGGCGGGGAGATGAACATGTCCGGTGTGCACAATTCGCACAATGGCCTGCCACTGGCCACAAATGGTTAAGAGAGCCGGCTTGTGTTGAGGCGGCATGGTCGCTTGGCAGGGGAAATGTCCACCTCATCTCGTTTCTGCCCGTCTTCTTTATGGTGATTGGTTACTCCGACTTCCATCAATAAACAACTCATAATGGCCCACGCCCAAGCTTCCCACAACTTCCCCTATCCCGTACCATGGCCTGGCACTATCCACCAAACGGGGCTATCGGCCAAACGAGCCCTTGCGAAGCTGGCAGACGAACGCAGCCATGTCAATAGGCCCCCTGTTCACGGCCGACGGCTGTCTTGGTAAGGCCATCTTCTGTAGAGTTCTATATAATATCTTCTCCAGCATCCTCTCTTCTTTTTCCTCACCACACACTCACTACACTCACTAATACCCGGTTATCACCGATCACACTCGTTTTCAACGACCTCCATCGCCTATTACTTAATACCCACCGTATTTAATACCAACCCCCAAACCTCACCATCAAGATGCGTTCCTTCGCCGTTATTGCTGGCCTTGCTGCCGTTGCCGTTGCCGCTCCTCAGTACGAGAACGCCTACCCTGCTGCCCCGGCCAGCTCTGCTGCTCCTTCCAGCTCCGCCCCGGCTGTCCACTCCTCGGCTCCTGGATACGGTGCCTCTTCCGCTGCTCCGTCTTCATCTGCTCCCGCTCACGTTGCCTCGTCTTCCGCCCCGGCCTACGCCACCACTACTGAGGTCATCAGCGCAACCACCTACGAGTGCCCTGAGCCAACCACCATCACCTACGGCCCCAGCACCTACATCATCACCTCCAGCACTGTCCTTTCAATTCCCCACTACACTGCTACTTACGTCCACTCCGCGAGCCCCACCCCGGTCGCTCCCGTACCCAGCGCCTCCAAGCCAGCTTACACTCCTGCTGTTCCCGCAGCATCCGTCACTAAGCCAGCTTACACTCCCGCTGTTCCTGAAGCTTCTGCTACCAAGCCAGCTTACTCGGCTGCTCCTCCCGCACCCCATTACCCCAGCAGCAACGGCACTGTGCCCAACGCTCCCGTCGGCACTGCCACTGGCTCTGTTCCCAGCGCCACCAAGCCCGTCACCCCTCCCCAGTTCACTGGTGCCGCTGGCAAGGCCACCGTTGGCTTCTTCGCCGTCGCTGGTGCCGTCGCTGCTTTCTTGTAAGCGGTTCACTCTTGAGTGATGTGGCTGGCCATGGTTTCATGACCATGGATGGCTTAATCTCATGAGTTTGGAAAGAGGAGGAGTAGAGATAAAGAATGGCTTCACGGGTTTAATGTCTTCAAATTCTGCATTTTCACGATTCAGTCTAGGATTATGGAGCTGCGGTGTTTGCTACGACTTATCCCCCAACGCTTGTCCTTGCGCCTACCCAGGTCGCAGCAGCATTTCGCATGGATAATAATCTGGTATCTTAATACGCCATTTTGGGTTTGAAATGCTCAAGTACTGTTAATGGGCTGTCTTTGGAGGAAGAGTCGTGTGGTCTTCCTTATGGTCTGAAATGTTCCTAGATTCTTCGCCTCTATCTTGAAAAGAGTCGGCAAACACGATTTTTTAATTCAACATGATTTCCATCTTTACACTCGCATCTTCTGTTTTCTCATCTTGCTTTCTTGATGATTGTACATACATTTTGCACATACATAGTACTAGAGTTTAATGCCCATGACCGAGACGTTGAGTTTTACTGCTTACCGCTGTTCCACGGCCCTTCCTCGTATTCGCGTCCCTGTGCATGACGTGATTCGGATCAACAACCTTTTCTGCAAATATTGAGTCTGGAAGCACAATCTTGCCTCACCGCCAATCCGATCGACAGACCAGAACATCCTTTCCACTCGCCCAGAGTCTTTCTCTTACCCCCTTGTCAGTCGCCCGCCCCGCCCAGACTCTAGGTATTTACCCCATCGCACAGTCTAGCCCCTCATCTCAATCCCGGCCAATACCATACCCCAGTCGTTCTTTCTCCCTGGGCGCTTACCACCCGGGTGATATAAAATACTGGACAGTGTGGGTAAGCACCCAATAGACGTGTCTGGCGACTACAGTGGCTTTTTTACACTAGTATGTCCAGTATTTTATGACACCCGGGTGTACCAAAACCCCCAGGAATACCGCACCAGCCCTGTGCCCTTCTTCCCTTGCTCCGACGAGACAAAAGCAAAAGGTAGAACAGACTCGGGGTCATAACGCAGGGTTTCTGGTTTGTTGCTGTTATCCTAGATGCACGCGACATCGCCGCACGCATCAATGCATTTTACTTATTTTTCTGTCTTCCCTTTGACTCGACATCTGATTATATTTTAATATCCTCAAAGCGGGACAAGCATGCTGTCTAACCGTCCTAGCCGCGTCCTGTGCGGTCTGACAAGGCCGGGGGCCACGACGCAATAAAGGCCCGGTATTATCGATACAAAATAGCGCCATTGTACCTGGAATAATAAACGGTGCATTCGGAATCATCTCTATGAGTGGCTTACGATGCAATAATTTCCTGGGCCTGCTACTCTATTTTTGTACCGTCCGTTGCTGTGGTGGTGACATTGGGAAGGACTAGACGGGAGGTTCTTTATTTGGTTGGTGGTTCGGCTTTGAGTGGGTGCGCTATTGATTGACTATATGTGGGCGTTGTTATAGGTGGTAGAGAGGCGTTGTTTATCCTGCAATACGAGGTGTGGTTGTTGTTGCTGGGTTTGGCGAGGCTTGGAGTTGTAGGTTGAATGGCGAGGGTAGTGCAGTGCGATTTTTTTGTTGAAATTCGTGAGTTTGGAATTGAGAGTAATGTGGGCAGTTACAAGAGGTGACGTATGGATACTGTGCGTGTTTGTGCTTATTATGCTACTTCATAACTTCGATCGTTCGCCGCGAGGTACTGGATGAGAATTTAGCGTTAGTTCCTGGTGGAGAAAACGTATAGCGGGTTTGTTAAGATCATCTATTCTATGACTTTGCTTTATACCTGGGGTCGATAGTTGATCCTCGTGAGCTGTCCATGTTAATATACAGTCTCGATCCGACAGTGTCAAAAAAAAGTTGCTATTTTCCCGCAACATTCTTTGATAGAAGCTAAGACACTTATTACTATTAACACTATCGCGTTGCTAGCCCTCGCTATCTTCTCTGCGACGGATATAGTCACCTCAAACATGAGACTGCGTTATCGACGCTGGTTTTCGATCAGTGCGCGTTAACATCCGAGACTGATATTAAGTATTCCGCTGCGCGTACATGGTCTTCGAATTCTCTAAAAGTGTCTGAGATATCGCTAGGAATACTACGGATAGCTGAGTTATCCTCGTCGGTATAAAACTGTGCTGGCAAAGCTGCCTATATGTTAAGTGCTCGAGATTTGAAGACGCGATGTGATATCAGCCACATGAGAAGCTATTCCGAAGCCGAAGTCTTTGACGTATGAGTTCGGCACGCGTACGTGTACCTCTTCCATTTTTCTTTTTGGTATTCCTTGGAGCAGTTGTACGCTACTTCAACTATGTGCAGCGCAGGCCGAGAGATTGTTTAATGGGAACAAGCATGGATTGCCTCCGTTCCGGAGGCGATGCTCGAAGGTTGCAGAAGGACACTACAAAAGACTTGTTGGAGCACGCTACTTCTACCATGGCCCTTCTGTCAACTTGTTACCATGCATGTATAGGCAGTTTTGCTCTCACTCGCACCTTTCGCCATCTAGCCAAGTTCTTCGAAGAACAAACCTATTTGTTTGCGTGCCAAAGCAAGCTCGTTTCTAGCACTCTTAGTCTCTATGGCTTTGTATATTCCAATGGCCATTTCAGTAGCTTCCTTTGCTTCATTGAACATTCCACTTTTGAGTCGAAGACTGAAAGTGCGAGGCCATACTCTTCATGTACTCGTGTGTAAGATGCTAAACACGCGCGTAGCGAACCTAATGCTAAGAAAAACTGTCACGGCCACATATCTAAGCGCCCTCGTGTCACTATCTACAGCGTAAGGCACAAACTCGAGCCATGGCGCGTATATGGCCACGACCCTAGATAGGTTCACGGCAACTGTTCAGTGACGAGGTCTTCATTTAAGAAGCTATTACCGCTATCATCTATAAGGTCTGCGCTCATAAGGCGCCCTATCATTAGGCTCTGTCTCCTTAGCTCCCGAGTCCTTTAACAAACCACCATGTGGAGGCCACATAGATAGACTTCGTAAATCTGCAGTCTCGTTCCAGTACGATGCCATCAATCGCATCTAGACTGCTACTTGTGGTGTAGCTCTCGAAGATCTCATAGTCCAATACCACAGAAAGCATGTCTTAGGTGAGTCTCAATCCATCTCGCTGTTTCATAACTACCCTTGAATTTTCTCGTTTCATGCGTAAGTAGCTTGTCTACCAGATCCAATAAATTAGAGATGTTTTGACTATAGGCCAAGTCATCAGCCCTTACCACTTGTACGCGTGTCTAACACCGTGTTACTATATGTTTTGGTTGCTATTCACCCATCTTAAGCCTCGCATCGTGAATCAGGCTCAAGCTCAGTTATGATACTCACTGGGAATGCCTGGCTTGTAGGTAATGTTTGACATAGCTGCAGTAGAGTGCGATTCGGCTTCCGTAGGTGATCACCTCGTCGTCCAAAGCCTGGCTCACATCGTCTGCCCTCAAAAAATGGATGTCGCTAGTCTTTACGGGCTCGTAATCATAGTGACAGAGATGACCATATCAAGAGCGATTGAGTATTTCTCAAAGATTTCAGGCCAGCACCAGTGGAATTGACGCGGAGCAAGCGGGCACGCAACTTTACACTTTATTAGAGTAACGTACCTCACGGGCGAGTGGGCCACTCCGCTAAGACCCCACCAAAACATACTGTTACCTACAGTACTTTCACAATAAGCCAACAACAAAACAATCTACCAGCTTTAAAAGAGGCTCGATTACAGCTTGCTCTCAAGGCTATCGAACGCGACGCGACGCTGTCGCAGAGACGCGCTGCAGCTATCTACAACATATCTCGAGTAACTCTTAGGCGCCGACGCGCTGGAATACCTCTTCGGAGCGATTGTACGCCTAACTCAATAAACCTCCTTAAGACAGAGGAGGATGTAATTATCCAGCATATCCTTAACCTCGACGCGCAAGGATTTCCGCCCCAACTTGCTGCTGTGCAGGATATAGCTAATTCTTTGTTAGCTGAGCGCCACCGCGACCCTGTTAGTCAGAACTAGGCTGCAACCTTCGTCAAACGTCGCCCTAAGCTTAAGGTCAAATTCAATCGCAAGTATAACTACAAGCGAGCCCTCTGTGAGGATCCTAAGGTTATATAAGGCTAGTTCCGACTTGTAGAGAACACAAAGGCTAAGTACAGTATCCTTAATAAGGACACCTACAACTTTGACGAGTCTAGCTTTATAATGGGCATGATATCAACTAGAGCAGTAGTCACAGGCTCTGAGCGTCGAGGACGACCAAAGAGCGTTCAGCAGGGCAATCGCGAGTGGGCTACAGTAATCTAGGGTATCAACGCGACTAGGTGGGCAATCCCACCTTTAATCATCTTCAAAGGCAAGAACCACCTCTCTGCCTAGTACAAGGAAGATAACCTACCTCGCGACTAGGTTATTGCAGTCTCTGAGAACGGCTAGACAGCAAACAAGCTTAGTCTAGAGTGGTTAAAGCACTTTAACGCTCACACAAAGAAGAGGACTATAGGAAACTATCGTCTGCTTATTATCGACGGCCACGAGAGCCACGACTCGCTCGATTTCCAGCAGTACTGCAAGGATCACAACATTATTACTCTCTGCATGCCTCCTCACTCGTCGCACCTACTACAGCCTCTTAATATAGGGTATTTCTCGCCTTTAAAGACAGCGTATAGCCGCCAAGCCAAGGATCTAATGCGCAACAAGATCACCCATATCACTAAACTAGAGTTCCTACCGTGCTTTAAAGGCGCTTTTGACGCTGCGATTATAAAGGCCAATATACAAGGAAGCTTTCGAGGCGCTAGCTTAGTCCCATTTAATCTAGAGGCTGTGATATCGACGCTTAACGTGCGGCTGCGCACTCCACTACTACCTACCGTCGAGGACGGTCCCTAGCAGTCGCAAACTCCAAGCAATACCCTAGAACTTAGGTCGCAATCAAAGCTAATTCAAGAGAGGATTCGAAGACATGTAGATAGCTTACCTACGTATATGGTTGAGGCGATCAAAAGCCTGTCAAAAGGTGCAGAGATGATAGCGCATTCTCTAGTGTTAATAACCAAGCGCAACGCTAAGCTCCAAGCCGCCAACGAGGCCTCAAGTAAGCGTAGATCATATAAAAGGAAGCGCTTACAGCAGCAAGGGACCTTAACAATTAATAAGGGCGTGCGACTGACGACTCTTAAGGGAGTTTGGGGCATGTAGTGATAGGAAGAAGGCGAAGAAGAGAGTGCGCGTTGAGGCAGGCGAGCCTAGCCAACGACGCTGTGGACGCTGCGGCGAGGCAGGACATAATATGCGCACATGTAGGCAAGAAGCAGCGATAGATTCTGAGTAGAATAGTCTATTACGATTTCTATTTACTATCTTTGACGGTGCTATATAGTCGTGTACAGTCGTGGTTTTAATGGGGTCTTAGCGCAGGTGGCCCACTCGCCCGTGTGGCCCACTCGCCCGTTAGGTACGTTATCGGAAAACAAATTATATAAATTGCTTCAATAGTAGACCATCTTCTAGTAACCTCTACTCCGCCTCGGCAAATGTCACCGTCAGGCCATACAGACGAGGTGATAGGCACATTGTGGAGCATGAAGAGAAAGACATCGGTTTAGTGTTCTTCTCGGCATGTGATATATAGTTGGGAATTTCTTTGTCTGTGACAGACCAAGAGCCTCGAAAGCGTCTTGCCATGATCGAAAAGCCGAATTCTGCCTCACACATGATGCCACTGAGCCACTGGGTCGATAGAGCACCGTGTTATCTTATTTCATTTAGGTGACTTGCGGTTGCGTACCCAAGTACTCCCATTCAACTGAGGTACCAAGATGTGAGCTTCCAACCCTCCGTAAAGCATGTCATCATTGAAACGAGAGACATCTACATGAGCCTCATACGCGGAGACTGCTCAGGTGTTCATCAGCCGTATTCTCTTACACTCATTGGACACGTGTTATCATGGCCGAATGGTGCCTTGTGGAGGTATTCCATGTGGCTAAAGGACCAGAGTCTATCTTGAACATCACAGCTGGAAGGCAGCTGGTCAACACGCACCACGCTTGCATTGGCCTCCTTGAACGCCCAGCAACTTGCGACCCTCCTACCCACAAACTGGGTTGTATTCTGCAAAGTCATCAAAAGGCTCTTTCCCAGTTGGCCATGCTAGGGTGATATTCTGCAAAGTTAATGATAGAATAATGCTCATCACTTGAGTAACTACCTAGGTATACAAGCAGTCAAATGTTCTCGAAAATTCATGTTACTAATGTGCATTTTGTACTACGGCTTAGCTCTCTGACAAACGGCCTACAAGCGGGAAAGACCAACAACCTCGCGGGGAGCATGGTAAGTAGGAACCTTCATGTCCAGAGCACTACCACTGTATCCAAGATCCTCTCCTGTCAACACGGCGCACTTCTCGCCGATCAAGAGCGCGGTCGAGTATGTGTTGCAGCCAACGTTGTCGGGGCAGATGGACAGGTCGGCGACCTTGAGACCCTTGACGCCGTGGACGTTCAGGCGCTCGTCGAGTACACCGTGCTTGACGATGGAGTTGCCGTTCTTGGGAGCCATGGAGCACGTTCCGAGTGAGTGCCATGTAGTCTCAACGTGGCCTGTGATGTGGTTGTTAGTGAAAAGTTCATCACGTGATATGCAGTGAGGAAAACAGGAACAGAAATGGAAATGGAGACGTACGCTTGGTCCAATCCTCAATGTGTTTGATGTCCTCGTTCGAGTAGTGGAGATCGTCCATGATTTCCTGCTGGTTCGAGCTCAAGAAGTTAGGCTGGGGAGCACGGCCCTTCTCGAGTGGCATAGTCCAGGAACCATGCTGAATACCTGCGGTGATGTTGCCAGGCAAAGCATACGCATTGGTAGTAGCTAGATCCATGTCGCGGGCGCGTGCGGGGCTATCGTAGGCATAGGTTGGGTGCATGTGGTGCACTTCACCGGCATAGGCCGCCATGCGACGGGCAGTCTCACGCGACTTAATGTAGCCCCAGACCATCGGTGCCATGTCTCGCTTATCGTTCATGAAGCCTGCGTCGAAGTCGGGTGCGTCATATGGGTTCGGCGAAGTGATATGGGTTGAACCGCGAGAAAATGGATATTCCCTGTTTTGAACATTAGTTCACTGTCATGACCACCAGGGGGGCAGGGAACACTTAAAAGAAATGAAACATCGTATAGTAGTTGCCTGGGGGTAGCTGCATGTGGTCGCCGAAGAATCCAGCAATAACGGAGTAGTGCATAACTGGCTTGTCGGGTTTGTTCTTGAAATACGAGTCCCAGCCCGAACGGAACTCTGGGCAGGGCCAGCTGTCCATCATCTTGAGCTCTTCCTCAGTAGGACGAATCTTGACTCCAGCTTCGATACCGTTGGTAGCTAATGGTCCAGTACCATTGATTTCCCATTGGTTAAATACTCGCTTTTGAACTTCGGGATCACCGCGTACGAAATCATCGAAAGACTCGGTACCTGGCTTCGCTCTGTACGGAGCAAAGGTCAGGTAATGGTCCTGGAAATTGAGACCAACACCGGGAAGATCGACCAGGGGCTTGACGCCAGCCTTGCGGAGCTTCTCTGGGTCACCGATACCAGAGCGCTGAAGAATAAGTGGAGAGCTGAGAGTACCACCAGAGACGATAATCTGCTTGCGTGCCCTGATAACTCTGGAAGACTGCTGTGTGGGGTGGAGAGGCTTGGTCGGAACAACTTTCACACCAACTGCGCGATCACCTTCCAAGATAACCTTCTCAACTTTGTTGGAAGTAAGAAGATGAAGGTTCTGGTGAACAGCGCGGGTGCTGTGGATGTATCCATGAGCAGAGTCAGATCGACGTCCAGTGTCGCGGTTGATCCACTTGAGCCAGTGCTCAGCACCATGTCCCGTGACCAGGTCCTGAAGATCGTCGGTAGTGGGGATGCCTTGAGACTCAGTAGCACGAAGGAAGTCCTCCTTGATTGGGTAGGTGTAGTTGCCGAAAGAAACCTTGATGGGTCCCTCAAATCCGTGAATGTCGCGGTTGTTGCAGGAACGCTGGTAGGTCTCGTGCTTCTTCATGAGAGGAATGAGCTCCTTGGTGGTCCAGCCCTTGGCCTGGAAGTCATCGTAATCAGAAGCGGAGGCTCGGGTGTACATCATGAAGTTGATCGAAGATCCACCACCAAGAATGTGTGCAACGGGCACAACAGCTCGGCGTCCATCGAGCCACTCCGAAGGGCGAGAGTAATAGAAGGAGGCAGTCTTGCTGTCCAACTTCATATTACGAGGGTAAATGCCGGGGCGGAACACCCATGGGTTGTTGAGGTTGTTCTCTCCAGCCTCAATCAAGAGGACCTGGAGATTGTGGTCGAGATTGGCCAGACGTCCAGCAACGACACATCCGCAGGAACCACCACCACACACGATGATATCGACCTCATCGGGGATCGTCATCTTGAAGGATAATCGAGATTGTCAATTGATAAAAATAGAGTCAGATGTCAAGTAGTCAACCGCAGGAGAGCAAGTCAACTGGGCATGATGTTTCCATGATGGTAGCATCAACGTCTATTTAAACTGTCAAACCCCGCACTCTGGGGTCTTCGGCTTCAAGGAGGACCCACCTCCTCGGCCGTGTAACTGATACGGCTGTTGGACACTGTCCATCACAATAGCTGTACGATTCATGCGTAAGGAGGGGGGCAAGTACCATCTGGCCAGACTCTCTAACCAGGAACGACTAGCCGTGGCATGGGATCCTACACCACAATGCCCTTGTGGATAGCCATCTGAAGCATACTATTCAAGGTGAGCCGGTAGACTTGCGGATCCGCAAGTGGCCTGTGCCTAGTAAGCAGGGATAAGATGAGAAGTAATGATTGGTTATACAGGGCGTTGATCAGAGCGAGAACCGATCTGACGGTACTAGATAAAGTAACAACTGGAATTGACGCAGCCAATGTCGCATGTTTGTTAGCTTGGTGCGGAGAAGGATTGCATCCAGTGAGGAGACATGCTCAGTTGCGTATGCAGGCCCACTCTTGGATGTAAGCACTGCGGACCCGATGATGAGGCCAACATGGGGACACCCGGGCATCGAACTTCAACGTATCACATCTTGAGAATGAGGAGACAAGGCCGTCAATCACGGCCAGCGCGGATGGTCAATATGGAAGAAGCAAAGGAGCATATTCTGAGATCAAATTGATGTACTACGGATTGGATTGCTAAACACCATGTATATGCATAGTGGGCTAGTCAAAGTACGTAGGTACTTGATCTGTTTTCCAGAGCTCTTCATCAACTACAAGGATATAGCTTTTAGAGCTCATGCGTATGCGGCAGGCTGAGCTAGCCTCCAGGCGTCTGCGGGGGTCTTGCGGCGCTGACGTTCCACTCGGAAGCGCTTTCTATCGTGGAAGAATCCGGATGTGGGGTGCAGTAGTGCCTGTGCCTCATGCTTGGGAGGGGGTATCACTTGGCGTGAACGCTAGCGTCAGCAACTAAATGCGGGGTTAGCTCTGCGACAGCCCCCAGAACACCTCGGATCAACGGTAAGCCAGTCGTTGCAACGGCCCAAGGCGGGTGAGGGATGGCTTGTTACCGCGCTCACCATCTTGGGCCAAATAGTTTGTATCGATTGCCAAACTCGTCCTGAACCGCGGATACCAGATGCGCTCAAGTCCATACACAGCCTTATTTCCGAGCTTCACGAAACTATCGTGGCTCAACCAAACTTCAAGGTGGAGGAACCAAGATGAGATTGACGTGTCATCTCCACTTCTACTCATCATTAACCGTAAATGGCACAGCATGGATCCATAGATGTCTCCTGAGGAGTCTCTAGGTATGTCCGGATTGGGTGGGACTACTGCAACGTGTGAGGCTGTATGCATCCAGCCCTAAGAAAACATGAGACTAGGTAGACATACACGTGCCACGATACTGGAGCGATATAGTAGAGTCAAAGTCTATATGTACGTCAGGGCTCTCTCGTCGCTGTGAGGGGCTACAGGAGGCTGTCACAAAGACGCGCCATGTGAGGAATGCATAAGCCGGAAATCGAGACAATGTCATCATGCAGTAACTGGAACTCCCCACCTTCTCAACACTCCGTCTGAATAGTATAGATCAGACTCGAGTCTGCAGTGAAGTCATAGTGTGGCTTGGCCTCGGTCTTAAGGCCCACCAGTCAGCATCCGTCGATCCCGCCGATCTAAACGGTCCTTCTTGAGGCAAGCTCCTCAGTCCGCCTTTCACCGGTATAGTTCAGTAGTTCTTGAAGATCAATGAGGCAGTACACGGAACAGCAGATACGAATGGGTTTCTTGGTCTATTTCGCTTTGAATTGCGGATCCGGTGCGTCCGGTGCGTGACTGCAAAAGGTCCGAAAGTACTAGCGATACAAAGATGCCTACTCCAACAAACCCGTCTAACATGGGTATAATTTCCAAGATTCAATAGTCTGGGGTAACGCCGAAAATGCAGTTTTAGAAGAGTGGAGAAGAAGTGAACGCCTCGGCTATGTCAAACGTTGAGAGACGGACGAATCGAATACAATGCTCAAATGACCTCGTGTCGTTCCCAACCGGTGGGCTTCATGTGTGCAAGGTCTTTGGTTGGATGCGGCTCTTCCGGATTTCGGTACTCGCTCACATACGGATTGGGATCTTCCTTTTGGTCGAGGTTACCGAAGGTATGGTTAACTTCTCGATGCTTGCTCTCGTCTGCGCGGACTAAAATCTGTTAGCAGATTGTACATGGCAAGTAGATGTTCCGGTATACGTACTGTAAAGCAGCAAATCCCGCATTGTACGATGACCTTCAGGCATGTTCCAATAGTCAATCGCGATCTCCGGTGCTTGCATCTTCTCCCATTTGGGCAGACGACCTGCATCTAGATCCTCAATCTGACGGGTATATGTAATCACTGCCTCCTCCTCAAGATATCCGATGAATCGATGAACAGTACGGGGGCTGAGTAGGTAGGCGAAGAACAATGCATTGCAAAAGACGCCTTGAGCTCCAAGTACCATGAGGCGCATGAAGCGTCCTGGCTGTTGCATCTTGAGGAACACGAGGAGATGCATGCGCTCGTTGTAGCTTTCTTCGAGCAGGGATTCAATCCTGGAAGCCACGTGTTAGTGGAAACTCTCCGTACCAATGAGCAGAGATACATACCATCCGTTGTCTCGCTTCATGCGCCTCATCGAGTGCAGATGTCTGAGCATGCCGGCAACCATGCCTGGGACACCTGCGACACTCTCCAGAAAGACGTTTCGGATCAGATATTTCTCTTCATTCATAGCGAACTTCCTACGTGCAGCGACGGGATCCTTAGCATCTACATCGAGTGCTTTGTGGTGTTTGTATCCGGTCGCCTTGTCGAGACCCCAGCGTAGTACCTTGACAGCAAGAAGAGCGACCTTGTCGGACATAGTCTTCGCTTCGCGATGGGCAACGACGACTTGATTCATCTGTTCTTCCGTGTATACTAGATACTGTTAGATGAATGGATATACGGAATGTTTTCTGAAAATGTGCAACGGCGTGTACATGATGGGATGTCCTGCTGAGTAGACAGGAAAACCCAAGTGTATATATACCCGGCAGATAGACGTGAAGGTAGCTCTTCTTTCCTTGTATAGAAGCAGTGTACTCACCTGGATGGGGCCATGCTGCATGAGTCTTCCGGACTTTGTCTGTGGGATGTTTCTCAAACCACTCCTTGATCTTGGCTCCGCCACTAGGCGAGGAGGTGAAATGGCGTTGGGCTTGGAGGTGTTGAGCCGCTACAAAGGTGGGTCGAAATCCGACATTGTAGCTCTGGAAGGATTTGATAAGCTGAGCAGTAGCTTGTCTTGGGGATGCACGCGTTGCTGCTCTTGTGGAAATCATCAGTGGACGAGTGTGGTATGTAGATCAAGTGTCAAGGTAGTTGAGTAAGTGTGATGATGGACACAGATGGTAAACAAGGGGCGACAGTGAGGTAAATGTCAGTTCTTTATATCATCATGGACATGACGCTGATGACTATAAAAAGGCACGCAAACAATGCTTCGCGCGTAGTCCTGCCGCCGCTACGCCGCACTATCACCCGGCTTACGGCAGACTCGGCGACCGCATAGACCTTATATGAGAGGCCAGGCAGTGAATCAGAATCGTCGAGAGCGGGAGCATTGGTCGCGTGGAAAGGTAGGCCTGATGCGGCTGAGTAGCGAAGTTGGTCAGCACGAGAAGGAACCGGAATGGGAAGTCCCCGATGCCTCACGAAAACATGGCCGGGAGTCGCTCCTGGGTGCTTTAAAAAAGGAAAAGCTCTGCAGAAAATTGTTGCAACGTAGGTTTAGTGTTCAAGGGCAACAGGAGCAAACCTTTTCTGAATGGATATTCGTGGTGCAGCCAGATGTTGAGTATGAGGAACTCATGACTGCTGGTTCCGGAAAATGCTCGTCGGGGCTTAGCTCGGGGAGTCGCCAGGCGGTCGCCGGACCCACCCTTTCCCGTAGGGCTGATAGCGCGCGCAGGCGTTCCTAGTCAATGACGGCAACGAAGAACTACTACTGAAAATTTGATATTGTAGTGTTTCCAATGTTCACTGTTATCGATGAAGTGGCTGCTTGCCCAGGTGCCATTTGATGCAGATAGGGGCGTGAGATGCACAGACGCGTTGTGCTTATTCGGTCACGCGACTGTGCTCGCATTGGCAACATTGAGAGTGGCAAGAGACCCGACTGACAGCCTAGAATGTGTATTTGTGCATTTGAGTCTAGCTAGATGATATCGATGTGGAAAGCAGAGGAGAGGAATCATTCAATCGAAAGTCATGATCGTTCATTCCATCGAGTATACCACAATTGCAAGTCTTCAACTACTGGACGTTGAAGCTGCTTTCGCCCGACTTGGCTGAGATGTCAGACTGGTCGACTTTGGAGACGGATGCTGCCGGAGGACCCTTGTTCAGGTGTTGGACGAACTCGTTGATCTTGTCTTCGCTGCCCTGGGCCTCGCCTTGGACCTGCGAGATGCCAGTGTCAGTGGCGGATTCCAGATTGGATTGGCGCACGCCCCTGTAAGAAAACAATGAGTCCTGGCGCATAGTCGACATTATATTTCGCTTTGCAGGTGATATCCAGTGTATTGTGTACGCCCAGCAGGAACGTGGAAGCGGCTTATTGCTTCTGCGAGAGCGGGGTCCGCTAGGGGCATATGCTTACACTTCCATCGGATGCATTGGTGACAAAGCCAGTGATGCCGATACTTCTGGCCTGCTTCTGTGTAAAGGACCTGAAGTTGACGCCTTGTACCCGGCCCTCGACCTTGTACTGAATCTGGGCATTTGCATTAGCTATGCATAAAGCGGGCCAGTATAAGACGCAATACGCACTCGCTTGGCTGACATTGTGACTGTAGGTGAGAGAAAGCGCTTCATTAACTGTCACGAGCGAAAAGTCGTGTCTAGTTCAGTTTGATTTAGGTGAAAGAGCAGGTAACGTCATAGCCGACGGTTGTAGAAAGCAGACCCCTGCCATCTCTCACGCGGAATGCGGGGCGTGAAGAAATTCTGGAAGGCGCACCCGACCAGACGTGTTGCAATGTTTGGACACATATGCACTCAGCGCGACCACCGTAACCACTACGCTTAAACGGCGCCGGAGATTGCGTTGAGTGAGGAAGCTCAGGGCGTTGATGACGCTAGTCGCGTTGTTTTCGGGGATACCAATCTCGCGTTCGAAACCACTAATCAAACACCCCCCTTTCGAACCCGAATCACATAGCAACAACCGCACATCGCCCAGGAGGCTCAGCAATCATCTCTAGGCCTAGATAACCCGCCACATCTCACCGTAAATGCCTAGGATCCGCAAACATCGGATCTCACTGCTCATACGGAGTCTAACGACAGCTACGGCCTTGCATCTTCCACCCCTGTCGACCACTATGGACACGACGCCCAACTCTCCACCCGCACGATCGACTTCGCCCGAACCATGGGTGACGCCATCGCTGGCCATCGGGGCCATTCCACCGCTGGATCGTTCAGTGTCGACGGCTTCATCTGTCTCGTCAGTATCTGGCCGCTCAGCGAGCTCGCGCCTCTCGGATGGCGGCAGGAGGCGCGGGTACATGAGACCTGAGGGCACAGAGTTCTCCAAGTCGGCGAAGAACAGAGAGAGCGTTATGAACCTGGGAACTATCGCGCATCTACAATACTACTTTGCGCGAACCGGCCTCTTGGACACGGCTACTGGACGTGTAGCCAAAGGGCGCAAGCCTGGATCGCGCACAGCGAGCGGCAACGAGCCAACCTCACCTGGACTCGACGCCGACTACGGGCCACTATCGGCTGGTCTAACAGAGATTCGGAGCATCATTCTTGGGAGAAGGGCTTCGTTGAGTCACCACTCGATGAGACGGCGTCGATGGCTTGGGAGGATCCCGAACCCATGATGCTCCCACCCACAGTCAGCACATACAAGAACAATCCCATCTACGTCCCACCGCCACCCGACATGACCGTCCTTCGTCGCGAACTGCGCGAGTCGCTCGCCGAGTCTATGAAGCATTTGCAGGAGTTGGAGAAGGGCTTCTCAGATGTTCAGCCGGACGGGAAGACGGCCAAGAACGGTGGCGCTGACGCCTCCGGGTGGCACGAAGTGCAGGGCTTGAACTTGCTGGACGTCACAACACTAGCCATCAGGGCCGCCAAAAACTATTACACTGCACACGAAGAGCCGCAACGACTATACTCGATCAAGTCCGAACGCACGATCCGAAAGGAGCTATATGACACACTAGAGGTTCTGAAGCGCTTGGCGATTCGCAACTTTGGCAACGGTGTGCAGCCATACGAGGTGACCCAACTTAAGCAGTGGGTCATGGACATTGGCGCACTTCTCGACACGGAGGAAGAAAAGGAGCGCATTGAACAGGAGAAGCGAGAAAACTGGTCGTGGCGCGAGGGCGACTGGTCGGGCAAAGAGAGGGAGCGAGAAGTGCTCTTCCTCCGCTCTTTCGACAACAGCCCAGAGCCGCTCCCCGAGTGGACTACGCCTGCCGCCGACGATGAAGTCCCAACTCCTTTCCTTGCCTCACTGCAGAACGGACTGCGACTAGTCCACCTACACAACACGCTGGTCCGAAGGTCAAAGCGACATTTCGAGCAAATCAAGACGTTTCACGAGGACACAGCCAAGCCATATCGCTGCGCCGACAACCTGCGCTACTGGGTCAAAGCCGCGGAGCTGCGCTGGGACATCAAGTTGGACGTCGATGTCATGGGCATAGTCCAAGGCAAGGACGCCGAAGTGTGGAGGAAGTTTGACGCAGCACTGTTGCAATGGTGCCAAGGCGTGCGCGAAGAAATCACGCTCGAATGGCTAAAGGAGAAGAACCAGGCTCGGACGCCTACACTACAGATTGACCCGAATTACGAGGCGCTGTGAAGTGGCCACAAAGTTGGCAAATATTGATGGTTTTCGGCACATTTCCTTCCATGTCCATGTTTTCACCTTTCACCTATCACCTATCACCTATCTAATTTGCACGAAGATCATGTCACTCCAGAATCTCAACTCCCACGATAGATTTGCACAGATTATTCCCTGGTAGGAAGTAGGGATTGTTTTACTATTCCACTCAGAGGGCGCCAGGCGGTGGCTGGCGACTTGAGATAGATACCCCTTTGCATCGGCGGCTTGCAGTCATGTAGCGTTCAATACAGTTACAGTCAAGTGGAGAAGTTCAGCATGGGGCAAGGGTGTGGCACCTAATATTAGGCTCGTATCATAGCAAGCAGCGGATGAATGAAGACGGTTGCAGAGACATAGCACACTCCACGGGTTCCCCGAATTTGTGCGTGCGCGATGAAGGATGAAACATGCATAGCACAAACGATAAGATCGCCCGGGCACACTCTGGAAGCATGGCACAGACGCGGTGGCGTTGCAGCTTGAGTAGCATTGGAGCACTGATAGCAGGGGGGAGCTGGCGGAAATTGGGGACAGCGGCAGCTCGTGTCTCACTTGCGGGACGTTTTGTGAACGGGTGTCTTCAGAGTTGTCGGACAAATCTCCTCCAGTTTTGCTAAATGTATACCTGGCATCGCGCATCTCTTGTGACGCCTCCACTCGTGTTGTTGTGTCACGGCAGTGTTATCAAACAAAGCAACGCGTGGGCTGGGCTAACGCGACTTCGGATCCGGCACCTTTCCAAAAGAACGACTCATCTCCCGTTGATCGAGCATCCGTGCATACAGCGCATTCAGTCTGCGCAGCGTTTGTTTTGCCTGGAAGCGACCTGGAGACTTTCTCGAGGTCCAAACATAGAAATGCTCGATGAGCGACTCGGCCACGCCGCCTATAGTGAACAGGAGCAGCCCCGCGACTGCCGTTGACTTGCCAGCGAAGACACCGCCGAATCCATCAACGGCCCCGTCGACGACAGCGTCATCACCCAAGCCCCTTCGACACACGCCTCCACACATTGAAAGCACCACTAAGCTCGCGAGAAATGTTTCGCCCGGCCTGCTGGCACGTATGAAGTTTCTCAACCAAATAAACGACAACAACAACAAGAGCGCCGTCGACGTCGGCCGCATCGAGCAAGATCGACTGCGCCGGCTCGACGAGTTCCGCAAAGCTCGCAGCCTCGACATCGAGCGACGCGGCACCGCCTGGAGTGGGAGGCCCGGCCAGGACGGTCTTGGTCTTGCCAGCCAGCGAGCCTCTCCGCTCGTGCCACAGTCGACGGGCGAGAGCGTGCCTGCGCTACTGATGGAGCCCGACTTTATGAGCGACCACAGCAGCGTCGTCAGCACGAGCGACAAGGTCCTGCCGTCCGAGTCTGAAGCCGACGTCGAGCTTGACATGCAAAAGTATCGCCTGCCGGATGTCACCAAGCCCGAGAAGGCCCTCACTCAGACCATGAGCGCGACCGAAACAACTACGGAAAGCGCGACCAACTCCCCAACAACAATCACCACCACCACCACAAACACCACAAACATCGCCACCACCACCACCGCCCCAACTACCACTACCATGGCAGTAGCGACCGAGACGGAACCTGCTGCCGCCCCCACGCCCCCGCCCAAAGACACTCCCCCCCTTCCCCTCCCCTTGCCCATCGCCGACCTGCTGGACGAGCCTTCCGTGCTCGACGACAACAATGGCATCGACATTGAGTCATACTTCCAGCGCCGCCACTACCCCCGCGCCGGCTCCATTTACACCCTCTCCAAGGCCAGCTTCACCAACCAGATTCAGCAGCTCACGTCTATGAAGCTGCCACCCACCACCATCGCGTCCGAAATCACCGCCCTGCCCTCTGCGACCCTCGCCGGACGTGCACTCCACAAGGCTGCAAACGACATCCGTCTATGGATTACCAAAACCAAAGAGGTCCTCAGCGGCCTCGACGCCGAAGACGACGTTGAATGGGCTGCCGCTGCCGGAAGAGAAGGACTCGCAGAAGTTGACATCGCCATCGGCAAGTTCGAAGGCCTTGTCAACGTCTACATCTGCGCCATCGAGGACCTCCAGTCGCGCTCCGACATCGCGCTCCTGCCCGCCAAGGACCAGACCACGCTCGTCAGCCAGATGGAAGACATTGTCATGAACTGGGGCCAGATCAAGCAGACCCTCAGGGGCATCAAGAACCAGGTCGAGGTTGCCATGGAGTGGGAAGAGCTATGGAACAACGTCCTGGGCGAAATCGGTGCTGAAGTTGAGAACCTGAGCCGGCTGGTATTCGAAATGGAAGAGCGCCGGCATCGCGTCATTTCCGACTCAGTCGCTGAGGCCCCCGAAAAATTCGACATCTCCGAGCTCGAGACCATTGTCGAAGAACTCCCGCGCAAGCAGGCAATGTTGAACAGCAAGCGGTTTAGTATGCCGCCTACACTCGCCGTCGTGTCCCCCATTTCGCCAATCCCGCAAATTGAGCAGGAAAACTCGCGACTGCTGGCTCTCTTCGCAAAGTTGCAGCCACTGCGGGCCTCGCTTGACTTCCTCCCCATGCGACTCAACACCTTCCAGATGCGCGCGAGGTCCATCTTTCCCTCCGCCTGCGACGAGCTACTACGCCGAAAAGAACAGCTAGAAGCACAGGAAAAGAAACTCGAAGCCGAAGCAGATGCACTCAGAGAAGAGCTGGGTGAAGACAAGTGGGTGCACAGCTTCCGTCAAGCTGGCAGCAAGGCTGTTGCCATGTACGAATCGTGCATGAAGAGCATCCAAAGGCTACAGCAAGCCATCGACGACAACGAGGAAGAGAAGCTGTCAACGCGCATCGCCACGTACAAGGACAAGAGCAACCATTACCCACCCTCCATGCGACGCGTCCTGGAGTTGATCGATATCGAGATGAAGCATAGGTCTACGGTTAATGGCGAGATTCTTCGAATTCAGCAAGATGTCCGTGCAAAGGTCGAGGATCTGGAGACGGTGACTGCAAACATGGATGCCATCCTTGCTGACTTTACAGCTTCGCGCAAGCTTCGCGACTCTGTCTCCACTGTGCTCTCGGCTCGCACCGAGGCATCTTTTGCGCAATCCAATCTCGACACACCGGGCACCTCTCCTGCTTCCAGCGTCGTCTTGAGCCGCAACAACAGCGGACACAAGTCTACGTCTACATCAGCGGCCAAGAAACCTCGTCAAACCAAGAGCACAGCTTCGAAGCCTGCATTGCCTGCCAATCGACGGTACTCAAGCGTGCCTCTGAGCACTACTGTCCCTCCTCGCAAGTCTTTGCCATCATCAGGACGCTTAGACTTCTCATCTTCTCGTGCAATGGCGGGTACTGCAGCTAGCCAAGCACGCGCAAAGACTCCTACAGACAGGCCTGCCCCGAAACCTCGCTGGAACTCTGACACGCACATGCGAGACACTGTTGTCGGACACAACTTCAAGCCTCTGACTCTGACTACACCTTCGCCATTCCGAAAGGACAGTGATCCACCTGAATTGCGACGCAGCACAGGCAGCCGTTCGTCGATTCCCGTCAAAAGCCCCTTGGGCCGTTCTTCGGTGGTCTCTTCGCCCCCTTCCGCCCGCTCCTCTGGATCCACAACTCCAGCACAGCGCCCTGTGCGATCCTTGGCGAGCCCCATGCGTTCCCCTGCTACACCTGCAAAGGACAAGTTACCAATCCGGTCTACCCCTGGGACTTCACCTCAACCAAAGGCAAACACGCCAGCATCAGACCGTACAACGGCGTCAGGCCGCCAAGTGTCCGTAGCTCCAGAAGAGGTTAACGGCACTAGCAATGGGAACGGCAACGAGGAAAGTCCCGCAGCACGTCGTGCATCTCGACCTCCTAGCGCTTCAGCCAATCGTCGCAGCAGCTTCCTGCACTCAGCGAAACAGCGAACCCCATCGACCTCCGCCCCGAGGGTTGAATCGAGCCCTGCTTCTGCCACTGGACGTACGACCAGCAGACATGCCAATGCGGGCGAAGGACGAACGAGCGTAGCCGGTGAACGACGCACATCAAGCCGCATTAGCGGACGTCAGTCAAGCCAAGGAGAAAGGCCCGGTTGGAGATAGGCTCTCACAAAACGGACGTTTATTCTTGATGCACCCGCAAACAACTGAACGAACACCTTCCACTCATTTCATCGAACGACAGCAACATGACGCATTCATGTCAGCGATATTCCCAATAGCGTTTTCATCACTTCACTTCCACCATGGATCCTGGTTTGGTCCTCCACCCGTTCCTTAGTATTGACTTTAGTGCCGAGTTGCTTTCTTCTTTGTTGGAACGCCTCCCGATGTATCATTGACTATTCGATCTCACCTCTGGATCATTATCCTCTGTATTTGACTTGGCGTTTGAGCGGTTGGGAGAACAGTATCCTATACCCCGGTGTTGATTTGTTTGCTTTTCCGATACACCTTCTTTCCACCACATTCTGCCCGTTTGTCAAGCGTCTGCGGGATCTTTCAGCGCCGTTTTTTTTTCAATTTTCTGAGCATGTTCGAGGAAGCAGTCAACAGTTTGGTAGATACTTTAACTAGATTGGTACGCATAGGTGGAGAGTTTGAGGAAAGGGCTAACACTATGCACGCATGGCGTTGGTAGTAGTTAGAATTGATACCATATTTGAAAGGGTTTTTTTTACAACACAATCGCCTGTGCCTTGTCGAATGTGAAATGGATGGTGAGCTGGATGTGGTTTAGCCCAAGGGTCCATCTTTAGCGTCTCTTCAGCTGCGGCTGGCGTCTACTCGGTGGGTGGTGACATAGCCTCAACCTATTCGCCTAATCGAAGCCTCATTACGCCATCGTGAAGAATCACCGATACTTGTAAAAGCTTATGTCCAGCTGTAAATGTCGTGCATTTAGCCCATTTGGAACTTGTTTATTCTCAAGTCTAGAATCACGCCCTCCATTTGCGACCATAGATAACGACGAACGACACCATAGCAACACCAACAACACCATTTATTCGCCAATACGACCCATCACGCGACTTCCGAGCCGGTCTCGATGTAGTATGTTTTCTTCTTCCACCTCGCCCTCTCCCCGCACTCTTCTTCTCCGCTCATGTCAAACTCGCCTAACACCAACAAAAACACGTAGTTCCTATCGACCATCGACGCAAGTTTAGACTATGAGCCTGCACGTACTATTGGCGCATACCTTTGGTACACACCATATGTCACCCTCAGTCCGTCTAATTGTTTCGTGCTCGACGCCGGTGACGGCCAGGTCGTCAGTTACTGTATTGGTACGGCTGATACGGCGGCATTTGCGCGGCAGTGGCGTGAGGTGTTTTTGGGTAGTGTGGACGAGATCGTTGTTCCTAGGCCAGGGGTTGAGAATGCGGATGTGGGGATGGAAGGGGAGACGGTTGGGTGGTTGAGGAGGGCGGTGTGGGGGGCGGAGTGTAGTGCGTTACTTGGGGAGGAAGAGATGTTAGAGAGGTGGGAGTCGCATTTTCATGTCAACGTGTTGAAGGGGTGGCAAAGAAAGGGGTGGGGGAGGGAGTTGGTGAGAAGGTTTTGTGAAGAAGTGGAGAGGAAGGAGGTGAGGGGTGTGCATTTGGATGTTGCGACGGGGAATGAGGGAGCGCGGAGGTTTTATGAGGGACTGGGGTTTAGGCAGTGTGAGGGAGTTTGTGGGAAAGACGAAGGGGCTGTGACTTTGGTGAAAGAGTTGGGTCTTAACGCAGAGATGGAGAGATGAATGTGATATATGCTGGCTATGTGCTTTAATCAACCAAGGATGCGCAGGTCATAGTTGTGATGACCTTTCCTCCGCGGCCTCTTCACCACTGTCTCCTCTGCAGCTATCGTTCTGCGCCTTGACGGCACCTTAGCTATCACACGCGTATTCACTTCTTCTATATTTCTCATCTTTGCACCCAATGTCTCCGCGAAAGCCTTTGCAAACGCTCGAGCAACAGAATCATACGGCTCCTCTTGCGTTTCTACGGCAAACTGATGCGCCCCATACCATCTTGTTACCTCATTCACGAAAAAGCCCTTGCCATCCGGTGCAACGCCGATATCAAGCCGAGCGCCTACGTTCAGTGAGCTGAAACCAATGTCACCTGTAGCTTGAAGTCGTTTATACACATCCAGCGCGTAGGCTGTTAGCGTAGAGTAGCTTATCTGTGGATACTGTGGCCATGTTGTCTGAGGTGTTACTCTAGCCGCACTATAACCTTTCGGCAGTTTAGTAGCGTTTCGCGCAATCATGTTTGTGGTGGAGGTAGAGGATGTGCTCGAATCTGCGTTATCGTCCTTCCATAGGGTGTGAATGGCATTGACGATGTACGGTGTTCTCGTGGCAGCAACACCAGAAGACCCTTCGGTCGCAACAAATACTCTAAACTCCCCAAAATCTACCAAGAAAGTCACATAATCCTGATGGAACCACCGATAAAACCCGGTCTCATCCAACTCATCCTCATGATCAACTGGATACTTGCCTTCTGTGCACTTGGGCCCCCCACGTGCATCAGCACGCAGGATCTGAACGTGATCCCCACCGCAGCTGTTTGAACGCTTCATAACACTCGTATTAGCGCTTGAGAGGGTGCATTCAGCCGTTGTCCCGGGATAACACGTCTTCGGTCTCCACGTCCCTGTCTCCTCTGCGATACGATCGAACGCTAGCATATCGTAGATTTTGGCATCGGCCCACACTATCTCTTCGCGGGGAGGGTAGATGGCTCCGCATTCGTGTGTTAGGGAGTCGTATGCACGCGCCCAGGTATAAGGGTGAATGTCTTGTAGTGCATCGAGCCAGATTAGCAAGTTCTTCTTCTCAGCAGTGGTTTTCGTGGATATATGTGAGAGGGCGGCGGAGACGGAGGAGAGGTAGGTGATTTGGAATGGGTAGGTTTGATGGAGGTGCTCGGTTGTTACTATTGTTTGGTGGAGAGCGGAGTATATCTTGCCTGTATAGGTGAAGGTGTTTAGGTAGCCTTTTGTTTCGCTACGGAGGTGGGCGCGGATGCGTTTTATGGAGGAGGGGTGGAAGTAAAGGGGGCGTGCAGTGGAAGGGGATGGTTGGTAGGTGATGTGGGTTGTACTGGACTTATCGACAGGTATCAGACGTGTGTGTTCGTCGATGGAGACCCAGAGAATGTGTCGCTCATTCGATCTAGGAAAGGAAGGAGTCATGTTCTACCGTGATTGGACAGTAGCTGCAAGATACACCGTATTTGCTTTTCTTGAGATAAGCGACAGTTTTGGAAGTGATATACAAGGGGGGGCGCTATAAAATATTGTTATGTTTGCTTGGTGGGTAAAACCTGTTTGGCATGTAGATCGGATTATGGCAGAAGGATCTTCATATGGCTAGATAGGTAGGAACTTGTTATGTGGAAGTGAAGTGACATCTAAAGAAGGAAGATGAAAATAGTCATGACGATATGAATTTGGGATAGCAAGTTCATGTATTACACATATTTTGTCATCGTTATCATTCATAATTTGCTGCTTTTGTCTCATATGCTAACATGTCTTCCATGATGTAATATCTTTTGCAAAAGTCTTAAGTCAAAAGGTCTCTCAATAATGCTTTTCTCAAAGGACTATGTGGTTCTCCTCCGTTCTCCAAGACCCACGCATCAGAGTATAAAGATCGCCAAACCCTTCTCTGACCGGATAACAAATGCTTCCATACTCGATAGATTCTATTCCTGAACCATGTTGGTACTTTTCCAAGGCTCGCCGTAAGACACGCTGTACATTTTCATTGGGAAAGGAAATCTTTTTAATAGCCCGGCTGCATGAGTTGAGCGAAGCCGTCATGTCGCGCTCGCCATTCGTCCGATTTGATTGCATGCCCAGTGTGCGAGCGTTTTGCTCCGTCGAACTTTCTCAGCATCGACATCTTCAGCGTAGTCGGCATAAGAGGAAATGAGGTCTAATGCGCCTTCGCCCAAACCTATCCACATGGCTGGATATGAAACGGCAGTGTAGACTTGCATCATGTCGGTTCGTTTCATGGTGTTGGCTTGGTTGCTGCGTGCTTTCTCGCATAGTTCCTGGATGAGGCGCGAAAGATGGAGAAGCTCTCCGCGCTCGGCTGGTGATAATATAGTGTTGGTGTGGTATGTGATGGATTCTTTGTATGGGGCTGTGTTCAGTTCGTCGAAGTTGGCGTCGAGAGCATAGGCTACGATTTCGATTAAATACCGGCGTAGCTGCTCTTCTTGACAACTGAGTTTTGTGGCATTTGGTGGTGTGATGAAGTTTATTTCGGTTGGAAGGGTCGGGTCAGCCAGGGGTGCTGGTATTTCGGCATTATTTGGGTCGATCTGGCTTATCTTCTCTGATGGTCCGAAGTATGCATGTGATTCCGACGTATACGGGGGAAGTGGATCATCTTGTGTAGAAGAAAATGAAGGATATACAATTCGCTCAGGTGGCCCAGGTCGTGCGGTTTTTGTCGGTTGTTTTCTCATCTTGGGAACATTCCGGCGTGGTCGAAAGAGGTCGAAAAGACCTAGAGAGATTTTGAAACAGCCTAGTGCCCCTGTATTGAATGCCATCACGGACTATGAGGTCACTTGTAATAGAGAAGCAGAGATATGACGATAGGGGCAGATGAAGTTGCTTGCACTATCTCTTGAAAGTGTGAAGGATCGAGTTGTTATAAATCAGGTTCTGCATACGAGTTTATTAAGTGCTTTTTTGCACGTCTCGAACTCCATTGCGTCGTGGTAATTTCCTATTGTCGTATTGAGTTCACTTTTGGAAGGCTGATCCTTCGAAAATGAAGGTTTATGCTAGCCTCAATGAACCGCTAGATCGAAAAAAAGTAAATACATCATAGCGGTAGGTGCCCAGAGAAAAAGAGAAGAAGATTGGAAGGATGCTTGCGCTGAGAAACAGACGAGGGAACGAATCAGAAACTGAGCGAAGAATCGACACGTGACCGAGGTGACGATCTAGTGTGGGGCCGTGCACACCGTTATTGCTGCACAACATCACCGATCTACAGAGGTCCTCATGCAGCTGCACATCATTGTTTTGATATAGTTAGACAGATAGGGCGGCAGCTTGGGTCTGAAAGCGTGATCCCACAATTACGTTCGATACCTGCAGTAGCTGGTGTGGCTCGGCGCCGGCATCGCACCCGTGCAACGTACTGCACTGTCCACTCTGCGACGACCTGGGGTACGACCCGACAAACCACATCATCGAGGACAATTTTTGAAAGTCAAAATGCCGCGGTCCATGGCAATTCAGTAATTTCGCATGGAGAATGGAGTATAAGCGTCGTGCGTATATAAGTGAATTACCATCCAACAATTTAAGTACTGGACTCTACTTCAATCGGCGCCTTGGGCAGTTTCTTACTCTTCTTTGCTTTCTTGCTCTTTTTTGGAATTGGGAACGCTTCACGCCCTTCGATCGGCACCTGCCGTGGGCTATCGCCTGCCACACTCGCCCCGGCCACCACATTCGCCTCCACAACAGGCTTGATCGCTTTCTGCTCGACCTGCATCACAGAATCGAATCGTACATGAGCGGACGCCTCGGGCTCTGTGGGGCTTACACCGTCTGCACCCAATTGGTCTGATCTCTTGCACATCTTTTGGTATGTCTTGCTGGAACCAAAGCCCAACTCATCTGTAAAGGGCTCAGGGGTCGGTGGAAATTCTGCCGTGGGCTCGATTTCTTCCATTTGCAAAGACTCTTCTTCTTTAAATTCTGTGAAGACATTGGCAGTCACAACCGCCGTTTCGACGATACCGTCCATGGGGATAGGCACCGGTACAGATTCTTCCACCGCCACGGGCCTTTCCACTGGTACTGGATATTCCACTTGCGCAGCCTCTTCTACTTGCGCAGCCTCTTCCACTTGGGCGGGCTCTTTCACTGGAGCGGTAGAGCAGTTTCCTGTCTCATAACCAGACTCTTCAATACTGCAGGTGGTTGAAGGCGCTAATTCTGAAACAAGACCGGGCGTCGGAGTAGTAGCCCTGTCTTCTCCAGCGACTGATGGTGCTGATATGCGGGCGTAGTTGCTTAATACAGTTTCCCACACTAGCCTTAGTAGCTTTCCGTTACCTTCAACCATCGAGATGAAATCAGGTTTTCGAAAAGGCTCCGGGTCCTCTGCCATGGCCCTGTTGAGCGCCTCTTCGACGTAGGTCTGATACCAAGTATCCCATTCTGGTAGAAGTGGAAATGTATGGTCCCTTGCTACAGAAAGAACGTCAAAGATGCTGATGTTGAAAGATCTGATCTTGTTTCTCGCCAGCGTGGCCAAGCCCGGCAAGTCGTAGCGGACGGCTGCACAGTATACACATCCACTGAGAGTGTAACCTTCTGGAATGACTGTGTCAGATGATGCTAGTGTACTGAGAGTCTGGTATCTCCCGGTATAGAGGTAGTCTATTAACGTATGTGCTGTCGTTTGGTCCAGCTCTGGTAACCGCACTGACTTGCCGGCGAAAGTCCTAGGACGATACTTTGCTGCGAGTACTTCGCTTCGGCTCAGAACTTTGTCGTGAACTAGAAATCGAGTAGCTTCAGAGCCCACTTCCAAGGTGATCATCTGTCCGTTTGCATATGGGCTTCAAGGTGTGACTGTTAACACTTTTGAGATACAAAGGATGGGTGGGAACTCACGAGCTGTTCTCAGCACTGATAGATAGGTCTCCAAAGCCACCTACAAGCTTTCCTTTCTCCTCATATTCTCCATTATAATGCACTAAGCCTAGTCTCGAGTTGTTGCTTATCGACATGTCGTGTTGATGCTAGACGACTCTGTTGGCAGTTGGCGGAAAGTCCGACCGGACACCTACATTTATCCTTGTCTCCCTACTTCCTCAAAAATGAGGCTCAAAATGAATGCGCTGTCAGTCTTTTGCAAGGTGCGGGGTTACATGCACTCGTGAGTTGTCAGTCGGACAAAGTTCTTCAGCCTGATGGGTTAGACGATCCTGTTGGCCAGCCTGTTCGTCCTTCACTGCACGCCACAAACAGCGCATCCAATCCCAATGATATGACGCTGAGTAGATGAATACCGGTCAGTTCGGGCCTGTATGCATTCTGATCAGATGCTATTAGGCTGTGCACCTTTGCATGATGATCCGTTCTCTGCATCGACACGACACGCCCCATGTCAAATGATTGGTCGCCAAACTCCGTGTTTGGAAACTAACATCAGGTTTCCGAAGACGCAAGATAATAAAGGCCAGTCAAGCTACGACGTGTTGAAGCTAACTTCTTCGCGATACTGATTGACGATCAATCCACTGCTTGCCGTGAAGAAAGAGCGCACTCAACTTACGCATGGTTCCTAAGTGCTACTTCACGGGTGCATATTTTAGTCCTTATTGTATTGCGTAGCATAGGTATTGTTTCCGTGAAGCTTCATTACTTCTACTGTAGTCATCCTCGCCACATTCGGGCGCTGGTGCAATGTTGGCTGGGAACGTGCGTGAAGCTCTCATGTGTAGTGGAGTCGAGCATAGTCTACATAGTCGATACATAAGTCCATCATGAGCGCCCACAATGCCAACGACATACCATCTCCGTTTCGTCTGTTCTATAAAGACAACTGAAACACTTTGCAAAATTCGGTTCACCCCATTATCAGATCCACAAGCTCCTTCTCCTTCACGAGCTCCCATGCCTCGGCGAGAACGGCCCCGCTGGCCTTGTGATACGCGACGCCATCCACCCATTCAATCCACAGGACATAGTAGCATTCTTTGTAGGTAGCAAAATTCTGCCATGAATTCCCCTTCTTGCATTGAACATCCCAGTCTGTTCCCAGCGCCAATAGTGTTCTGCAGTAGCCTTTGCAAGTCGCCACAATCTCGATTGGATTTGGTGACGAGTAGTTGCTTCCTGTAGCTTTGAACATGGCTACGTTATCCTTATTGTGGAGCTGTAAATGGCCAATGTGCTGACACTGGAACGAAGACAGCCATAGTATGTTGTGTGGAAGCTCAGAAACAGGGTAGAAACAATTCCGACCGAGTAAGAATGCGCGAGTCGTTCGAGCGTATATGTAAGCCGTCTCCGGCAAAACTACGTCAGTGATTGCTGATGAAGGTTCCGGGACGGGAAATGGATAACAATATGTAACGTCGGGCTTGCGAACGTGAGTGAAGACCCAAGGTAAATCACCCAAAAACCCCCAGTTTTCACATTTTGAATGCTTAGAAATAGGGCCCCGTTTCCATCCTGGTGGCAAATTGGCAGCTTCATCCGCTGCTAGTGGGCGGTACTGATGCCATGTTGATTTGATTGGTCGCCGTTCAATCGAAGTGGGGTGGGCCATGGTATACCACTTAGTTACAGGCTCGGTAAAGGCATCAGACAACATCTGAGGAGTATCTCCCAAGGCTCTATCGTATGGCAGTTTTATGGAGCCGGCCCATCCAACCCAGGACACAACTGGGCAGTTGAGAGGACGTTGTAGTGGAGCGTCGTGCGTCTAACGCTACGCGCCTTGAGATCTCTGATTTGTCCGGGACCCACTGTAGTACCTGTTCAAACCAGAACTCAGGTATTCCATACAAAAAGCCATGCGGGCAGACCCGGCTGAGAATACTTTGGAAACCAGCGAAAGCTGGAAATGCGTCCTCTGCAAAACTCAGACCAAGTACATTATATGTTCTTACCAAAGAATATGTTGCGGTTTGTGAGGCAAGGGTATTGCGCATGTCACGTGCGTTGTCCTGGCGCTCCTCCCTCCCCTCCATGAGCACCTTCTCCCCTCACCAGCATCAGAGATACGTCATGTAAATAGACCCTGATTATGGCTACATATAAGGTGGCCATGACAGCACAACAACAACAGAACACAATATACTCTGATGACTGCCTCGCGCGGTTACACTTTAATTGACTGCATTGTACTGCAACAGATAGCCTAGTCTTTTGGCCACAGCGAAAGCATCTTTGACTGTTGTAGGTATTTTGGGAGCTGGTTCCGCGTCGGATAGTGAGTATTGCTGGAGAATCCGTTTACACAGCAGAGTTGTGTTTCGAAGCGTCTCTGTTTGGCCCCATTGATAACTCAGTGCAACGTAATCGCCTTTGACTTGGTCTCCTTTCACGAGACACATTTCCAGAGTATCGACAAGGTACCTGGGCATAATCAAATCCTCGTTCCTAAAGAAAGGCAGCATCTTGCATCGATCTGCGTGATTGGTGATGCAGGATGTGATCCACTCCCGAACCACTTCCGCGTCGACCCATTGAGGGTCAACAACTCGTATTATTCCAGGATGGTCTTGAATGGCAAAATTACGAACCAATCCCATTTTAGCCTGTGACGATGTCTGGATATGCCGAGGGAATCAGGGATCAGACAGGGGCTTAATATGGAAATATAATATTTTGTACCAATCTCCATAGTAATGCACCATGGAGTCCTTCCATGCGGGAATTTCCGATAGACCAGCCTGTAGAAGACCTGAGAACAGTTCCGCATGAGGATGACATGGAGCTTGTAAAAGATCCCCGAGAAGACTCAAATTCAAAGCAACTACGTTGAGTGTGCTACAGCACTCGATGGCTTTGGCGCAGAATTTACAACTATGGGGAATGCCAAGCACGCGATACTGGTTGCTTGTGGTGTCCGCTGGTTGAGGGTCCAGTAGACACATACTGAGATGAATCAACGAGATTGCAGCTTCGAGAATGCTGCACTAGAGATCTACTGGTGAATTGGTATACTGGTAGATTGGATGTGCGCAGTGTACGATCATGCATAGAGATGTGACAAGGACTTGAGTGGCAAGGCGGGGTACACGCAGGCGCATATGCAATCCTAGAAGCTAGCCTCGATCTAATCAAAGTAACGAACCGGCGAAACCATTGTGAATAGCCAGCAGTGTGTATATGTCCATAAAATTAATTCAAATTGAAAAATTAGTCATGCCAGACGGGGTGTCCCACAAGGCATCCCAGGAAAAGTCAAAAGCGTTTGGGTCCAGAATATCAGAGAGCAAGAATGAGGCATCGTCAAAGTTAGGCATGGACTGTATCTCAGTTCCACTGTTGCCATTGACAACAACATTTGTAAGCTCAGTCTCAGGCGGTTGTGGTAATTCTCGTGCGTTGAGCGACGCAATTTTCGACACCGGATCGGCGCATCTTTCCAAACAGTAGTTTGCAATGTCCCAGTCATAGTTATCTCGTGCGTGCTGTATATGCGTGATGACACGCTCGAGTCGCGCAACGGATGTATTCCGTATCTCTGGATCTTGTGTCTCCACAGTGCACCGTAGCGACACGGTAATGGCATGTACCAAAAGATGTGTAGCATAAGGTAACCAGAAATCGAGAAACTGGGCTTCCTTCATGGTAAGTATAAAGTCAAGAACAGCCGACGACGCACTACGCAGCTGGTCCATCCGGTTACGCCCAATGCTGCCATCTCCGTCGAGGACAGCTGCGCGGAAGATTACGCGAGCAAGTACAAGTCGGATCGAGAGAAAAGAGAGCCAAAGCATAGGTGTTCCTGGCCGGTTCGGCAGAGGATGCCATTGGGGAAGTTGTGCTTCCAAGTCGTTGAGCTCGTGCTTGAAGCGATCGATTTCACGCGCAAGCTGCAGTCGGTCTGGGTTGATTTGGTAAACAAAAGGAAGAATTTCCGCAAGCAGTTCAGTGAGTCCGCACAGATGTATAAAGCATGCAGTTGCTTGTTTCTGCTGAGCGTTCGCCTTACTACCAATGAGCGATCCGACCGTTGGCCGGGGAACGTCGTAATATCCTTTTGAAACATAGGGAGGCGCACCATATGCGACACTGGACCATTGGTCGGTGATGAGGACACACCACCAGAGCCGCATTCGTAACGACTTTTCGTTTTCTGTCAGACTCCATTTTGTCGGGTCTCTGTGAAGCCCAAAAGTCTGAGCCAACGACACTGTGCGTCCACACAGAGTGATGTTGCCAATAATGGAGACGGAAGGACGCCCGACCTGATCGAGAACGGCAGCCTGGATGGTAGACATGCCAGGGCTGAGAAAATCCTCGAGCGTCGCTGCAATACCCTTGTTCCATACATAATACGAGTTTGGTTTGGGATGCATCTTGAGAGTGTCTGACTTTGTCCAATGTGGCGAAGCAAGCGCATAGATGACGCACATCAAGTTGTTTGGCACTCTAGCGTATTGGCCCGTCCGTAGGGTTTCACACATCTCATCGTCTAGAATGGGAAAATGATAGTGGATCTGATTGAAGTACAGCTCGACGACTTCTCGCTTGAAGGGGCCCATGATTTGCTCCACGATTTCCAGTTGCTCCCTTCCACAGCCACTGTTGGGCGGCAAGCCAGCCCGGAATCTTGGCACAGTAAGGTATACCACCGGGTCTTTAGCATCGTGGAGAAGGGTCTGGTAGCTAGATGATTCTGTTTCACCGCCTGCTTTCCGATGCTGCGATATGTGTCGATTAAAGATGTCAATATCTTCGGCAAAATGTGGTGCAAGCATAATGGAGGCGGAAGGATTGTTGGTGGTTTTGTGCAAGATGGGTGCTGAGCGGGGTCGAGAAGGGCCATCTTCAGGCTCGCTATGTCGCCGGCGCTTGGAAATTTTTCGATCACCCCCCTCTTCTGTGGGGGAGCTGGTAGTTGAGCCCTCTATGTATTGACATTTCAGTCGTCTTTCTCGGCAAGATAGGCATGGTTCTCCGGGAATATCGATGTGACAACGAATCTTTCGCGAACGACATCTTGTACAGGCCGGTACTTTGTGCGAGCGATATGGCCTGTTCTGGATGGGTGCAGCGCTGGCCATCAAAAGGAAGCTTGATATGCCGATCTATGCCTTGGTCTGGGATGTCGGAGCTCGAGGTCGCTGATGCCCGAGACGAGTGGGTGGTGCTATGATAGATTGTAGCTGTGAGACGTAAACACCGATAGCGACAAGTGGTGATAGCTGCTTCACAGCTTCTCGGTGATGGTGATGATTATTTCACGTGCATTTGAGGTTGTTCAGACAAACGGAATAGAAATAAGTTGTTGATCGGTGACTGGACGCCGGTAGCGGGCCGACCAAGCCCACCTAGGCAAGCTCTCGGTCATCACTCCGTCCTCACCGCTACCGGCAACCAAGCGGTCATACAGCAGCATCGAGTTATCATTCGAGCGCATATACGTGCGCATGTTGTTTTCCCGCATCGGTTTGTTGTGACAACAACTCTGGAGAAAAGCATGGTGAGGCAATGAGCCTTTGACAGTGGGCCTCGGTTGCAACCACCAGTTCGTGAACATGACTAGTTAGAGGGAGCGGCCGTTCTACGCTGATCAGCCGGTCACTCTTATTGCGCTTTCCAGTTACTTTTATCCCGACTTATCCAGTAGAGGCTACAGATTATATACATGCTAGATGCGTCTTTTCATGCTCCATGGTGTAATCAAGTGATGCTTCGTCGTGATCGATGCATTTGTTTGATACAATTATCGGTAATGTGGCTGATGGCCCCCGGTTCCAATGTGGTAGTAGGTAGGTATTGTGCAGTAGATACAAAAAAAGATGGCGATGCTAGAGATTACGCGTTCGGATTCTTCAGAAGTAGCGAAATATCGCATGCATGTCACATGACGTGCATGTGTAGATGTTGAGAAGTCTGTAAAGGCAAAAAAAGAATGCCTTCGGCCAGAATTGAACTGACGACCTCGTCATTACTAGTGACGCGCTCTACCACTGAGCTACGAAGGCTGCTGTTGTTTGTTGATGACTAATCAGAGTAATAACAATATATACAGAGTTTTGTTTGTCAAAAGCCATGGTTATGGTGAAGCATCACAGACGGTGTGTCTGTTTCTGGTGTGATGACGGTCCGCGTTCAAGGTTAGCGCGATCTGAAGACGGGAAGCCCCAGGCTTTTGTGATTTGACACGTGTTGAATGGGGCCCTGCCCAATTCGTCCTGCTCGCCCTTTTAGTGGGACCAAGGAGGGACCTGCTTTTGCCAACTTGTTGCGCGTCGCTGGTCGTGGTTTGCTTCTTTTTAATGAACTTGTCCGACATGCCCCAACGGCCGCTAGCTGCCTACAGTATCCTTGGGATTTCGGCCTGCCGTGTTAGGACTTGATGCCATGCTGACGGGTTGACGTCCCAGAGCACGCGACTGCGGGAAGCCTTCAGCTTCGTCGCATCGCATACAAACAGCTACCCGTATTGCAATCGGATGTGGCTTTGCGGTGCCAATCAGCGATGACGTGCGAAATTGCGACTCGACGGTCTTCCGGCCCAAGGAAGCATAATACAAGGCATGTCCGTCTGCACGCAATTACCGGAAGCGCAGGCTACTCCTGGGGTGTTGCAATAACGTCACTCGATTGACACTTTATCGCGCCGATCCGGCATGTCCCAAGGCGCGGATTGGATGAGAAGATGGACGTGAATCGATAGTTGGTGGCAGGACTGCACGAGCAAGACGCACCAGCCACATTTGCCAATAGTGACTTCATCTTGGTCATGTATGAATCGTCACTCATGAGCTGTCAAGCCGTATCGTCGTTTCAAACACGATAACTGTCGATAAGGGGCCGGCACCGCCATTTGCACGCAGCAACGTGGAGCGTGGAGGGAGTGGGAGGCGAGAAATAGAACACCCCAGGAAATTACACGACGGGCCCAATCAGCACCACCGAGTACCTGCGTCTTAGCTCAGGCTAATGCCCAGGCCGGCATGATGAACGCCTGCACGGCTGCACGGCTCAATCATGGTGGTTCGGCCTTGTCAGGCACGCGGGCGTTTCGAGCTTGGCTGTCCACCTACCGTTTGTTTCCCTGCATCCCGTCTCTGCCGCGTCTTACTGTTCTCACTGCTCGCTGCTCGCTCTCTCACCTCGACGCCGTCTCTCTAATTCCCCTCACCACACTCGCTACTCCTGCGGCCAGGTTGTCGTCTTGCCCTTCCTTCACCGAGCGCAACCTGCCGCATTTCACTCCTTCACCGTTACAATACTTATACCCTCTTTTCTGTTTAGTGCCTAGTCCACCACCTACACCACACACATTCCACCTTGAAGCCTGGCCCGCCATTGCCGCATTCCTTGCTGCAAGCCGACATCCCTTGAACCAACTCGTAGATAATCGACACCCTGCCTGTCATACGTAATTGCGCCCCCATACGAATAATCAAAATCAAAATCAAGAGCTGGCGACTGTGAATTGGCCGAGTTCGACTGCAACAAACAAAAACACCAAACCCTACAATCTCCCAACTGCCCACCACAGCCTCACCTGCACGTCACAATGCACGACATGGCCCACCTGCACGCACGATCGCATCATCTACGACGACAGCGCAACAACAATGACCCCGAAGTAGAGGTTGTCACGGCTATCGTCGTAGCGACTAAATTCGCAGATGACGACGACCCAGCGCCCACCATGAAGCCTATATTGCTTCCACCACCTGCTGTACGCCCACGTCCGACTACAACGTCTGCCGATAACCATGACGACGACGACGAGCCCCAGCAGACTGCCAAGCCAACTTCCACCAGGAAACCGCCTCCTGCACATCATACCAACAATGCGGACGAGACTTCAACCCCGAAAAACTCCCCCAAGCCAGCCTCCACGCTCATGGTTGCGACCAAATCACCTATGCCAAGCGTTGCTTCGTCAGTTACAGGCCTCGTATCTGCCACAGCCGCCATTTCCGCGAGCGCCTCTCCTTCCTCAACCGGTGCCGCAGGCTCAGAAGACGGCATGTCCACCGGTGCTATGGCCGGTCTTGCCTTGGGTATCCTTCTGTTTTTCTGTGCGATCCTGACTGGTATCTTGCTCCTGTACCGCCGTAAGAAGAACCAAATGGCTTCCGCAGCCGCAGCCAAGGAGAATGAGAAGACCGAAATGTATAATGCACCACCACCCAGGCCTCCACCTCCCCAGGTGGTAACTACCCCGGCCCCGGCCCCGGCTCCCATCATTAATTCTACGCGCACCCCGGCCGCTGCACCGCGTCTGAGCCTGCGACCCGTCACTCAGTTCGACCCGACATTCAACGAGCAGGCTAAAGCTGGAGGAAACTCTCTCACTGTCGCTGCCGCCGCTGCTCAGTCAAGCAACAAACATTCACCTTCTGCATCGGCTGAACGTCCAGTCAGCGCTTGGGAGCGACATGGAGCCTCAAACGCTCCTACTAGTAACCCGTTCAGCGACCCTGAGCCGCAATCTGGTCCCGCTTCATCCAATCCCTTCGGAAACAAGGCTGCCGTCGATGCTCAGCAGGCTTCAATCCCTGACTCGCCTCCTAGTACTTCCCCGGTCAATTCAGCAATGCACTCCTCCCAGCCCAGCAGTGATTCTGCCAACCCAGCCATTGCCGCCGCTGCAGCCAGTGCTGCCGCCCTGGCAGCAGCAACGGCTCCTAACCCACCTCCCAAGACTGACCTCCCGCTGCCTCCATCAGTTGCCGCCAATGCTGGAGGTGTCCCGCCGAATAGCATCCCTGCTTCTCCCGGTCCTGCTCCGAGTGGTCCCCCTCCCGTCGCTGGCGCTGTAGCTGGCGGTGCTGCTCCTGGTCCCAACAACGTTCACCGTGTCCAACTTGACTTCAAGCCTTCTATGCAAGACGAACTTGACCTTCACGCCGGTCAGCTCGTCCGCATGCTCCACGAATACGATGATGGATGGGTACGTACTAGCCTTTTGTATAAATGTGTTTATCTGACTAACTTGATCAGGCTCTCTGTATCCGTATGGACCGCTCGCAACAAGGAGTTGTTCCCCGCACATGTCTCTCCAAGCACCCAGTCAAGCCGCGCAACGGTCCCCCTCGTCAAGGTCCGCCGCCGCAAGGTGCTATGCGTGGCCCTCCTATCCGCTCGCCCATGGGTCCCGGCAGTGTACCTCAGCCACGTCCTCTTTCGCCCGGTAGTGCCATGAACTCACCTTCCATGGCTCAAGGTCCCGGTAACATGAGCCCTGGTCCCCGTCAGATGCCACCGCAGCAAATGCAAAGCCCTCGCATGCGGTCCAACAGCAACGCCCCTGAACAAGGTCCTCCACGTGGCCGCTCCAACAGTAACGCTCCTTACGCCGCTCCCCAGCGCTCAATGTCGCCTGGTCCCTACGGTGGCGGACCAGAAATGGCTCCTCCACCCCAGGTGGACGGTCGTCCACGATCAAACTCTGCAGGCCAGGTTGGCAACCCTCGACGAGGCCCAGCCCCCGGCCCAAGCCCCATGAACCCCAACTCTGTGGCGCCTGGTGCCCCTGCTCCTATTCCAAACCGGAACCCGGTCCCTGGTTTGGCCATCTAGAGCAATTGGATCAAGAAAAGACGGGTGCTTTTTTTTATGAGGAACG